ATATTCGAATGTAGTTTGAGCTGAAAAGAACTGACAAAAAACTTTGTTCTTATTCTTTGCAAATGATATTAATTTCATATAATTACGACAATACAAGTGAATGTTTAAATTATGGTAAATGCAGTAACCACCAGCATATTTTATTAGATTTATATCAAAAGAAATGTATTTAATTAGCCAGCTATATTCCGAATACACCAGCAGCAACCCGTTGACGATTAAGAAGGAAAAATGGTAGATTACTTAAATAGAAAGATACCTGCACATATACATAATAATAAAGAAAAATATATAATGTACACTTCTGTATTTATAGACTGCTGCGTGCCTATATATTCCTCGAAAAATATTAACCAACACTAAAAGAACCTTTCAATTCTAATCAGTATTTAGTTCCTCAGATTCAGCGCGTCCGACTAAACAAACAAGCTCTTCAACTTTATAACATTAGTATAAATATTATACTACTCCGCATTGTCAGTTTTGCATGGTATCGTGTTTAAATAAAATGAGTATAAATTACATAAAATTACGGTAAACTATTAAAACTTGTTTAAACTGTTGGTAATACTGTGTGTAATATCTATGAGTCTCTGCATAAATCTAACTAGTCTGAAACGCTCAAACTCTTCTGTTTCTCAACATCTTGTCTATCTTTATTCCTTATCATGTTACTAACGTCTACAGTCTACGACTGGACAATAGTAATAATAATACGAAAGAAGTAGAAGATAAAATATATTCTTAATATCGAAGAATTTTACCTAGCAAGACTTTGAACAAAGTCGATTGTGTCATTTTTAAAATAGCTGTGTAATATAAAGGGTAAATTGCAGTAAATGTAAAGGGTAAATTGCAGTAAAGTTATAAAGAATGCAGATATGTCATATTAGTCCTAATTATTAAAACGTATGAGGGGTAACAAGAAAGTCACACATCCAGGGTGCTCTTCATAAAAACTGTTTAAACCTCTCCCTCAGGTGAGACATCAACTTGTTTGCTATTCTAAATGCTTAAAAAATATCTAAATTTTCTTGCAGACATTTGGGCTCGTCGTTAAAATACTGTCGCATTCGAATACGAGATTGAATCTTCGATTTCTTTTTAGATAATAGGTTTGTTTACAATTTATTTGCTCCGAACGACTTTCGGTAGAAATGTGTTTTTTCACAGCAGCTTCTATTAGGTAACGAGTTTATCTAACAATAGACAACCTTGGTGAACAACACATCTGTATGTGGTCTATTCATCGTTGGGCAGGTGTGAAGCGGTTTATGGGTGCTACTTCACGCTTCGATAGATCTCTATATACTGAAATACAACAAATCAGCAAATAGACCAAATCCTATACATTATACAGGAAATGCCACTTTCAAAATAGTTAAAGTAAAAACACATTTCAAAACATCTGAAACCGACGGTAGAGTTCATAGAATCTGAGTAAAGCTCTTTGGGAGATATGAAAGAAGAGAAGTTAGAACACTTGATACGCCTAATTACGCCTAGTCATCAAAAGACACAAAACAGAAGAAAAGAGGGGCAGACTTGACGATGAGCACATCAGAAATAGTAAAATATATTAAAAGTGCCTGAAAGTTCTATGAGTAGTTTCGGTAAACTTTAAAATAGACAGAAATTACTTTTAAAACTAAAACAACTTATTACAGTCCGATCGTTAACGAAATATACGGCCAGCTTAAGTGTTTAGGGAAAACAGCAAAAAGTAACTTTTCACGCCAAAACTTTTATCTGTAGTGAAAGCTACAGAACCATCGATTAATCTGAACAAAACTATTAGATTTCTCATTCTTGATTGCATATAAAATATTTATTTGTGATAATGTATTTCTTAAATATATATCACATATAAATATTTTATCAGATTAGAATGGTATAATTTTTCTTGAGTAGATTCTACAAAAAGAGAAGTAATTTTCAGTCAATTTTGTATGGATTCCCATTAATATTTTTTCTGCTCGTTTGTCTTTGAGAAAATCGTTTCGTATACGAAAAGGAAGAAAATTAAAACTTAATTCAACTAACACTATATTCACTGATATTAAGGCGTACAAAGTCTGCCGGATCAGCTAGTATTTAGTTAAAATATTTTATTTTGTATTATACATAAAACTTGTGTAACAAAACTTGGATTAACAGGAAGCGAGACGATCTGGAAGGAATGTTTACCTGCTTCAACGACTTCTATTTCGAAGTGAATACACCCACGAAATTGACCTGTGCGTCATAAATGTGCAAATTGCTTACATCTCCGTGCCGCGCTCGCGAAAGATGTGGCGATTTTTCCTTGCAAACGTACACCGATACGCGGGCTATTTTTGCAGGGGAAATGTTCTGCGGAACGACTCGGCACGCCCGAACCAATTCAGGTGATCTCAATACGACTCTACGTGCAGACGATATAGAACTCATCTCCACAGTTTTCGATAAATATAAACAAACCAATATCTGGTTTGTGTATGCAGATATGTATTTATATAGAGTCATAACAAGGCACTAATAAAAGTAAAAATTGTTTCTAAAGCATGAAATTAATAATAAAAAGAATTCAATGAATACGGTCCGCACGAGTATCATATCGTTAAATAAATATTATTTTTTAAATTATTTACAGGTAAATCCATTTAATAAAATTATGAATACTGTAATCTGTTACAATGTCAACCTTTCTCAAAATAATTTATTCCATCTGAAAATACTATTCTAAAAGAATAGAACCGGAGAACATCCCTGGTGATATATTAAACCGACACGCCAGTCAAGTCATGAAGAAAACCTATTTGAAATAACTAGCCATTCGTACACATAAAAACGCAGTTGACTTGAGAAACGATTTTTATGAGTGTAGTTCTAAAAAATATAAAAATTCAAACGGTGTGTTGAGTTCTATTGTAGTTGAAGGTGGTATATTTAAAATAGTACACTGCAACTGTAACAATACAATACAGACTAGTTTGTAACTGCTCATTAAAACTTGTCTATTATAGAATAGGCAGGATACCTATGTAACCGCAAGCACTCAGCTGTAGTGTACACCAGTGGTTCTCAACCAATAGTCCGCGGACCACCCCTGGCCTGACGGAGCTAAAACGGTAGGCAAAATATTTAAATTTTTAGAATGTTAATTGGTTTTACACTAAAGTTTTGGTTGCCACGAAAAAGCAAAGTGATCTAAATTACAATATGACACAAGTAGATTAGTTAATTGTACGTTTGTGTTTCTACTACTAATACTAAAAAGGAAAGATTATATTTTCTATACTTGGAAGTAATGGATAAAATAACCCAATTTAAAAATTATTTCTTCAACAGATAGCTTATATTATTAGCGAATAACATAGGCTGTAACCCCGTGGGAAAAGGCTAAAGCTTAAAATTACTTATTAATTAAAATAATTTAAAATTAGAACATTTTACTTTTAAAACTTGTGAATCCGTTGAAACCCCAAAAAACAGTTTTTACAGTCTTTTATGGAACTGGCATAGCAAACGAACTGACAGAAACGTCACTATGTGACGTGTGTGGTATCCCTCATGCGTTGCCATACGAGCAAGATGTCATACTTAGAGGTATAACACCTTACATCTGCGGAATGGCACTGGTGGACCCTATAATTTACAAGCTCCTCGGTAAAAAAACAGATTGAGGATCACTGATGAACAATATATGAACGTGGCTACGGGCGAGGTACGCATTCATATGCTAGTTTGTGACACGAGTTGAATAACGTTCGGCATCCATTCAGATAGGAACTTCTGTCTTAGGCGTGTGCTTCTCATTTCTACACAATTACGTACCATAACTTTACAATGCATGCATACCATTTGACGACCTGGTAGTGGTTTAGCACACCGCTTTGCTTCCGATGGTTGCGCGTTCGATTCCTCGCACAATACAAACATTATGTTCATGAATATGACTGTTTATTTTTATTTTATGCAGATACGCATATCAATACAAGATAGTGATTTTGTTTTATGTACTTACTATGTCTATTGAAAATGATATAATACTTTTTCCATGTAATCAGAATGACAGCTCACCTGTGACAGGTAAGTAGTAGTAGTAACCGTCTAAATAATCGCCTATATCCATGAACAACACTACGGACATCACGTTATCACGTCTTATCCATGTTACCACTTCTGCGTCGCCATTTCAGAGGTAATCCTCTGATATCATGTATTTTTCTCATACTAAAACCGAAACACCGCTTACAAAGCATGCTATTTGGCGGCTGAAAAATGTGAGACTGAGGTACACCCCATGTAGACTTTTTAGTCTACCTCGCTATATGAAATATACAAAAGATATCTAATAAATATGAATTTCGTATAAAACTACAATGTATACCTAACATGTGATTTTTATTGACCGAATTCAAATACCCAGTTGCAGTCCCATACGGACTTGCTTCAGACGACGTATGAATGTGAATTAGGCCGTAAGTATACGAAACCATTTCGTAGGAACTCCTTTTTATACACACATTGTATTTATGGGTTAGCTTTCATACCAACTTTACCTAAGAATAAATTCCTTCGAAATTAAACTTGGGTGTATCTCAATGAGATCCGTGGATGTAATCATAGATTAAAAAACACAAGTATGCCTTGTGACCAATTTAGTACAAAGTCTAAAATTATGATTATAGTTACTGCTGTATACACAAATTAATTATAAAAAAACGTAACTCTAAAATAAACCCTAAAAAGTATTTAGGTACTTTGAGGTTATACCTTAGATGTGTAACGGGTAAATAGCCATTACACGTCTAAGTGCTAACAATAATATAAAGGGCTTATGAGCTTGTAATTTGTAGCTAAGAACCATCACTATCACGTCGGTTTTCAAACAAAAAAAACCGCATCAAAACTGGTGCGTTCGTTTAGGAGCAACGTTGCCGCAAACAGATATTCATACTCGTCAAATTATACCACCCTCTTTTTGGATCTATGGTTAATAATAATAAGAGACTCACCGATACAGTGTTCCGGAATGTATTTTCTTCACGCCGTCCATTTCTGTTGTGTTATGCTTATCATGTCTAATTCACTAATTCCTTAATTGTTCATTAATGTGTTGGCAGGTGTTGTCATTATGAGCTGCTCTTGATAATACTGGTGCACGTCGATTGGGGTCACCTAGAACAAACAATGCACTATGCGATAAGTATAATCTATATAATTCTTGTAATAAAATTGTTATTATTAGTTATTTGTTCGTTTGAATAGTTACAAGAGCCGAAAAAGAGATGGATGGACTGTATGAAATATATTACGGTAAGAAAGGCAGTGAATAACGACATAACTGCGAACATGAATTAGTGGAAGAAATGAATGTAATAAGAAAGAAGCAGACGATGATTAATTATTTGTTAAATAGCCAGTCAGAATATAAATGCGTGTATGTCTATATATTTGTAACTTTACGATTGAAATTCATCCTTCTATTGTCCTCTACAGATGAACTGTGAACGGTATGAAGATGAAGACATATCGGTTCACCCAGCTATCGTGCCGAGTTCAACGCATTTTAATCAAGATCGTTTCCAGAAGGTATCGTGGACGTCAACCTAGTAGGTTCCAGTGTCAGCAATGACTTCACAGTCCCCATTAGTAACCCCTTCACCCCATGAACTGATTGGTAATTGGTACTAAACACTTAATATTACGTACACCTCAGTTATACTAAGTACTAGCAAGAAAACGATAACATTTTATTTTAGACTAGAAGTAAATAATTTTTATTTGCTAAAACATTTAGACAACTGCTTACTAACGTAAGAAATTATCATCTTTTGTCTATTATCAAAATCAATATATCAGGAAAATGAAAGGAGAGGGTAAGTCCATTGCTAACCACCACGCTAGCACGTGCTAAACTTGCCGGACGCTTTGCTAGACTAAACGCAGGGTTGTCACTTGAAAAGATGGAAAGAGCAAAAAATTTTCTGAAGTCACAATTCTAAATATATATATTTCATAAATTGAAATAAAATTGCAAATTATATAAGTCACAAATTAGATGTGACAAGCCCTAGGATAGTAAACAAAATCATGGATTTTTTTAATAGATGATAATGATTTACACTGGCGGGGCACCAGTGGTGAGTGATAAGTTCAAGATGAGATCGGGTCAATTAGGCCATAGTGACAAATTGCCTAAATTGCCTATATACTTTACTCTATAACCTCGGAAATTATACTTAAATCATATTTTAAGTAGGTCAAAATCTAATACAAACTTCCGTGGATCCTCGTACGGTTGGCATCCTTGCCTCTACACGTCCTACGAGTCTGCAACTACTATACGTGCTATAACTTCCCCATTGCATCTTGGATATCGAATTTACGTTAATTTGATGAATTTGCTTTGATTAATATAGTAATAATTAATATAATATAGTAACTCCTGGTTCTTATGTAATAAGGTTAAATGGGCGAAGAAAAGCCACTGATTTGCCAATACATAGAAAAAAGAGAAAAAGTAACTAACGGCTACAATCCACCATGACACAACTGTACGGAGGTTTCCGTGCAGTTCCCTGGAAATCATCTTAGTTAATTTTGAGTGAACTTACCATATTGTGCTATCTGACCTAACTTCATGTTCATCCTATCATTCTCCACTGCTACCTCGGCTCTATATACCAATAGCAAAGACGGGTAAGATATATGAAATGTATGGCACCTCATTATTGTGCCTTAGTACTCAATTTATAGCATAATACACAAACTACTGTTATTTATAATCCTATAGAACTGCCGTCAAGTATCGGCAAAATATATCATATTACTATTTTTTTCAATTAATCACCTTTTTAGTTTCATTTTAAATATGTCTTCGTTTAAATATTATATTCTGTCTAAATATGTGTTCGTCAAAAATAGTAATTCTAAAAATATTGAGACGAATCAACCCCATCTCAGTGAGTCAAAATTCATAGAATACACTACAAGTAGTTCTATATTATTCCGGACAAACATCTCGATACGAGAATGTTATATACATAACGTTATTAAATATTCATTTTATTACTTTTATATGAAATTGGAATAGAAAACAATGTAATATGTGGTTTACAAAACTTTCCCAAACCGTCAATGATAGAATGAAATAGTATTGTTCACATCAAATGTATACACAATTAACAACAAAAACATGGGAAAATTTTAACATTTAAATACACATAAACAATGATACTTTCTCTAGTGTTAAAATAATTTCAAATAATCATTTCATTTCATTGAAAATCTCCCAGATGCATATTACGAGTATATTATTTATCCATACTAATATTACTATACATCTAGAATATGATTTTGTTATAAGCAAAGTAAACTCCGAAATTTATTACTATACGTATTTAAGAAATTCGTCCACTGTTTGAAAAGTACAATGCTGCTGCAACTGCTGCCTTCTTCTGGCAGTATTATTAGTAATGGGGACTGGTGCTTCCACTCTCATCAATGTACCAATAAGGGCGACATCTACATGGTTTCCCATTGAACTGTCAAGATTATGAACTGAATATAATGATATGAACTACCTTCATGTTCGCCCTATCACCCCACGCTTTCTTTTTACTTTACTTAATCCCCCCCCCCCCCATCACCCTAGTACTTCGTAACAATACAAACATCGTATTTAGTATGTGACAGAATTAAAAGAAGCTTATCATATGTTTATGAATGTCTGTTTGTTGGTATAGTATATTTACACAAGTCTTATAAAATGATAAGGCAGTAAATGTGAACAGGTACCTACTAACACATGTACCTATGACGAAAACTTAATAACTAACTGTTGTGTGGAACAGAGTTTACTTCCAATGTTCAGGTTCAATTCCTTGCACAGTACAAACATTTGTATTCATGAGTATGATTGTTTGTAACGCGCTGGATATTTTTTTTTTAGGGTTGGTAATGGAATGGTGCACCCGCCTGCGCTAACGGTTTACGCTGGCGGGGCACCAGTGGAGGATGATAGGATGAGCATGAGGTCAGGTCAGTTAGCCCATCGTGCAAATTCACCAGGAATTTAACACGATGGTTTCCAGGGGAACCGCGTGGAGGTCGACCTGACATGGTACATTGCTAGCAATGGGGTTATCAATCCACATTACTAACAATCCCCTTCCCCCCGCGCTGGATATTTCCTATGTACAGTATGCATGTATTTACAAAACAATGTATATACAAAAAATTGTTTAGTACCATAATGCAAGCATAGCTTGGGACTAGATGGTGCTGTGTGGATTGTGCAGGGTTATTATAATACAGAATGTATTAACACATTGACCACCTTGTCAGTCATGGGTGATTGATACTGGAAAACTCCAATGGGGCTATGTCCGTCACCAGTGACTGACACTGAGTACCTACTTTAACTTGCTATTTCCAAAAATGCATCAAAGTAAATTAAACAATCACATCTGTACATATTTTTTTTTATTATTATTTTATGAAAAAGCCTGTTGGCTGTGAATGTGTTATAAATAGTAAAAATATTAACATGTGAAAGAAGCTTATTGTTTTCAGTGACTGTACACACACATACACAAGTACACACACACAGTTGTAGAGAATAAGTATAATAAAAACCAGTTAAGATTTGTGGTATAAAACTTTTTGTATATTATTTTGCAATGTTCGCAATTTAGGCTACTTTAAGGACTTGGTTGGTAAAGATGTGTATTATGAAAGGGACAATAATAAAATAAAAGAACAAAAAAAATTATATAAAAATTTACAATGATATAAAATGGTACATTAGGCACAATTACCTCACCAAGCAGCTTATATAGCTTTTTATTTTTAGTCCTTATCTTGTTTACAGATTTAAATGATATGTCCATTATTTACAATTAAAAAAAAATAGAAAACTGCTAGTAATGTTTATGCTGTGCTAATAACTGTAGGCCTTCAGGATCTAGTGGTTCAGAACACCACCTTGCTTCCGAGGTGGCATGTTTATTTCCTTGCAGGGCAGAAACATTTGTTTTCAAGGGTATTATTGTTTGTATTGATCTGGGTGTTTTCTATGTATAATATGTACATATTTATGAAATAAATATACCCATGTATTTCTATCAGTTATCTAGTACCCATAACACAAGCTTTAGCTAGGATAACTTAAATCTAGATGGCAGTGTGTGAATTGTCCTTAGATTATTATTATTATGCACAGAAATTATATAAGATGTTGGTGAATCATCAAAACAGTCATAACATAGACATTAAAAATAATATATAAGAAATCTAAAGGGCCCCTAAGTCTACAAGTCAATATCCCCTAAGTAGGAAATTGGTAGTAATACCAGTACTTAGTTCATATTTTTTACAATTTCTCATCATTATTTCTTAAGATATGCTGCATATAAATAAGATTCAAATGACAAATAAAATACTTCCTTTGTAAAAATTGAAGAAACTCTTCAATTTAATATTAACCAATATTAATGTTTTTGTAGAAAAAACTTAAAAGTCAAGGCACTGACAATAAATACTATCTGATTGCACTATTTTGGATTACTGCATGCCTCTTACTTGTTACTGTGAAATTATTTATTTAAATTAACATTTATTCAAAAGAGCAACACACAAGTTTCTTGTTCAATCTTCTTGTGATGAGTCTGCGGTCCAAATGAATGGTGGAATAAAAAATATGACTATGCAAAAGTACTGTTATTGGGTTTATTTGAATAAAGATTATTTCTATTTCTATAAATATTAGTAATGACACATTGTATTCTCATTCAATCGCAAAATGGAGGGTAAATTAACATAAGCATTTTAATTAAAGAATACAATTTTATAGACTGTTAATGTTAGATCCGCAATCTTACAACTATAATTCATAACCCACAGGAATGTATGATAAATATCTTCACATTAAATTTGTTTTATACGTCTGTTCTGCTTTAAGTTGTAGAATATAATAAGATAACAAACAGACGGACTGTCAATTTTCCATTTATAATCTTATTATGTATTTTTCTTGTATACTTTTCATCAAACATGATGAGTATAACAATTCAATATTGCACTAGAACTATGAATATTTTTTTGAATTAATGATCAAGAAACCTAAAAGGTTTCTTGATCATTAATACAAAAAAATACAAAACAGGAGTGAACTCTAACATGATAAAATTTGTGTCCATATAATACACTCCTAGTTCTATTACTATGATATGATGACAGATTGTATACCAAAACACAAGAGCAAATGCTGAATTACATTTTTTTAAATAATGTTACAATATTTAACAATTGCAGTTGCTAAATATGAAATACAGCTTGTATTTTAATAGATATATTTAAAATAAAGTTCCATTATAATGCCATTTTTGTGACTATTTTTGCTAAACTTGCTTATCTGCTATATGAGTAAGCCCCAAAACAGCAAATTATGATGCTTGGTATATTCATATGCCCACACCTCATAAATGAGGAAGTTGCATTATAAATTGTTGTACACTATTCATGAATAGGGCATTCACATGCCAAAACAGCCACTAATACTGTGTAGATTTTAATCTATTTAGCTGAAATCTATGTCACATATGCAAATTTAAATAATATACTTAATTCTATGTCAATAAGTTTCAATTTTAAACTCATCTTTTTGCATTTATTAATAAATTTGAAATTTAAAACAAGCATAAGTTCCAATATAAATAAAAGAGAATTTCCGAAATTTAATTTATGGTATTTGAATCAAGTACCATGTAGTCAATAAGAAATACGACAAATTGAAAATTATTGAATTAAAGTGCGATGTATTATTAACTTACAAGCTATATTGTATTCAGGTAATCCATGTGGTATGTACTTAGAAATTGAATATTCGACACGTAAATAAGACTGTGGAAAACTGAGTACTCACCGAAAATGGCTACAATCTTGCAAAATGCACAGCCTCACAATCACCTCATAACGCTCGTAATTATATGGAGCGTGGGATAGTTTTTTACACTAACAATTTCCCGTACGAATGCACTTTCCAACAGCTTTTACTATTACGGCCCGTATCTGAGTAAGTAGTACAAACAGGCATGAAAAATACTTGTCGACTGACGCAGGGAGCGGTCGGAATGTAATCGGTAGCAATAAAGAGGTAAGTAAGGTTTGCAATTCACACTTATACTCAAATCAAGCACTAAATAATGTTATTTATTTCAATCCCTACATGAATATGGTATCACAAATAGGAAATTATTAATTTGGGCGACAACGAAGCGAATCGTCCCTCCTCCCTTCACCGTAAATCAGTCATAGACAAGATGTTTATACTTTACTACGACGTTATACATTTTTACGCAATGGAAACTACAATACCAGTCTATGGGCAACAAGAACTAAGATATACTATACTTAAAGCTTCAAATTTCATTTCAGATATATTTAACGGAACCGTTTATGCTGATACTATAATATATATTATATTCGAGCAGTAATATTTTATCGATTATTTATGTGAAATTTTACTGTGTACACCCTTATACTCATTAAACCATAATATGACAACATTACATTATCAAAATTATAGGACGTAATATTTCTGAAGAATATGTACAATATAAATAAATAGAGCACATAAAATGCCTAATAGAAATCCATTATTGCGAACATTAATGAAAACATGAACAAAGTAACCAAAACCAGCATTAAAATTGATCTCTTACGTGTCCATGAGAGATAGATTTTATTTTGTATAGCTTTTAATAACTGTTTAATATATAAAACTATATAAATATTATTTCATAGCAATCATATTAGTAATAGTAGTGATTCCTTTTAAACTGCGTACCGACGTATATTTTTTTAATGATACGGTTACATTTAACTTACAATTATAAATTATAAATTTTAATATTATTTAATTTAATTTGTAACTTTGTATAAATGGTATCACAAAAATTATTAGTATATAATGGCTTCATTATATACTAATAATTTTTGTGAGTGTTACATAACATGTACGGTTTGAATTGCATTTCCAAAGTTGACTATTAGAAATAACAAAGATTACTATTTATGTAATGAAAATGTACTGACTAACATTTTCATTACATAAACTTATGAACTTTTTGATTTTAATGTGAAAACCTAAAGACGTTTTAAATATTATGCATACGTAAGAATTTTACCATTTTAAAATATTATTTCTCTATTATCTCAAAATTAACTACAATTACGAATTTACAATAATATATTGTGTTCACTGTATTGCTCCAAAGTCGTCGTACGAAATATAGTGTAATAAATATCTTATACTATCTAATGACGATCAACATCGATTGTATCGTATTCGTAATCGACTATCAAATTTGTTATTTCGACAGAAACAGAGACGCAAATTCATGTTATTATAAAAAAAATATTATAATCTCAGACTGTAATGCTTGATACGTAGCCACCAATTCATTTCTGTTTAATGATATAATATTTATTTTAAATTGCAACAACATCTTGATTACCAAATCGAAAAAAAATTTAATCGATTAAGTAAAATTAAACAAGAGACATTTTCACATCACTATAGTTTTCCGTGTGTGTGCACATATTTTATGTATCTGTATCTGTATGTTGTGTTGTGTGTGCGTGGTGATTTGTGTTAATGCTGATGGAAAGAATAGAAATTAAATAAATCAGTTATATTTTGACGATGAAACTAACATAAATGTGAAAAAACGCAGTGTATTGTGTTATCAAGTGCAAGTGAATCCGTCGGGAGGCGGTAATCGTGTACGTTTATTCGCTATTTGTGGATTCTGGATCTCGTCGATGTACCATAAACAAAAATGTCAGCGATCCCGATTTTTTGTTTCTTACTGCATACCCATCGTTATACCTTAATTAGATCACACGAATGATATAAAATAATGTTAGACGCTTTCTCCGGCGGCGTGTTTTTAGCTAAACAGTATTCCCCAAGCGATAAATCGGCCATAGTAAACGTGCGCTTCGTGTGCTCGCACCCGTCTACACCCGACCTATCTCATTGTTTATGTATGGAGAATAAGCCAGGAATTTTTATGGGGTTTCACGGCGTATTCTCGTTTTAATTAAATATCTGGATACGATCAGGGATTGTGACGATTGATCACCACGGCGGGGTTACTACGCTGACCAGCGTCCCAACGAGGATCAAGGTTTTTTTCATGTCTCTATTTATAATAATCTCTCGATCATTTGGTATACTATAATGACATTCTTGTAATGAAGTGCCGTTTGGATTTGCGGGACATGTGCCAATAATTGTGGTCGTGACGAAAACGCGTCAATATGTTTTGTATGTATACAATAATATTGTGTCCATATTAAATAGAAATAGGTTTAGTAATCCATATTTGGTTAGGCTAATGAAAACAACAAACATATACAAACAACTAACAGAAAATTATATTTAGCTTGTTATATTGTATATTACAACATCAAATGTTGTTTGCAAGTAATATGAATTTAAATTAAGTACAATAATTATATTAATGTACATGTCATAACCTTAGCCAGTTTTGAAAACATGATTGACTTAATTGTAATTCATGTGATAATTTAACTTCAACACATTCTGAGGTCTGTTTACAACTAATGATAACTGTATATTATGAGTTATATTTTTATTTAGATATTTATAGTAAAAATGAACACATCAATCATAAATAATATTATATCTGATCAATTTATGAACTTATATTTTTTGTGTAAAAATATATAATATTTTGTACAGCTTAAAAATAAAGTGATGATATTAATTTTACTTTCTACCATGTTTTTATAACTCTGGAATATACATACTAAGGTAAATGAAAAGATTTGGACTCACCACATATGTCTGTCTGTAATAGCAAATGCATTCAACACAATGCAAATAATTGTGCTTGAATATGAGTAATTTATAATACAACAGTTTCATGACCACACAAAAATTTAGTAAAACACTGAAAATTATAAATACATTCAATATGAACAATGATACTATTTTATATTTTACATAAATTTACAGTTAAATCATTATGGTTTTAAAAAAAGTAGTCTATCTTGTTTTTACATGGCGGGAAATCTAAAATACACTATATAGTGAAAATGGTCATGTGAATCATGACCTCATCTTTTAAATGGAATATAAAATTCAACAGACATTATCAGTATAGCATAGAATAACAGGTCATATTATATGCAAAAGGATTAATTTCTTATCACTACCATAACAATGCTTATGAGATGAATAAGCATTAGAAATTTAAAACACAGTTTTTGTATGACTCGAAGAATTCAAGAGTCTTTGAGTAATGATTATAAAAAATTAATGGCATATGTTTATTACCACAATGATATCAATATAAAAGTCTAGCATACATTTACTGATGAGATGAGGTTATACATTGTTAATTTATTGTACTTACTGTAAAGGAATAAAAAAGTAAATAATTATTATTGGTTTAAAAATTAATAAAATAGAGAAGAGGATATGTATATTTTATAAGTCTTAATTATGGATTAAATATGAATATTGTATCAATAAACTTTTTGGTAAAACATATTAAATAATAATTATATGCACTTAACAATATCTATTGACTGTTTGATACCCAATGATCGAAATATATGTTCAATAGTCTTATAAATGTATATATTTTTTTAATTTGATATGATTACTATGTAATTATTATATACTTATTATGACTTTAAAATTTTTATAAAAAAATATTTTATGATATTGTAAAAGTAAACAGTATTTTAGTAATTTCTGTTATTAGTTATATGTTTTTTGGGATCACTGTCATGTTATTTTTATGGTAAATTACTGAGTTACATAACTTTTTTATAATTATAAATCAATGCCTGATTAAATTAAAACATTTTTATTATGTTTAGTTCTATAATAATTGTTAGTTTAGATATAATATTTTTATTTTAAATTTCTCAGTTTGCCGCCCCCTTTACATAAAAAAAATACAATAAAATGATTATAGCCATAAGACTGATGGCAGATGGAAAGAGAAAAGAAAAACAATAATAAAGCCCAATAATTTTTAGCCTACAATAAGCTTAAGATGGCTGGGCTACAATAAGCTTATTATTTAGGATATAATCTGATATGTAGGTGAACACTACCAGCATCAGGATGGCTTTAATATGCTACTCATTATTTGGATGATTCATTACTTCAATATATTAACACAATGTTTTTTATAATATAGTCAAGTTGGCGAAGGCACGCAGGGGTATGATCAAGGAGAAGGAGAAGGGCGGAGGCGCCCGCCTCAAGGACGAACCCAACGATCCTACAGAACCTGGTGAGCATAGAACTTGTTTCAGTAGTGATTATCATACATAATACTAATGATATATCACCATGAAAACTGATAAAACTGATGGTCCTGGTTATAATTCTCACATAATACAAACATTACATACATAATAAATATAAATATTTGTATTGGTTTAGATATGGATATCACCTCCAAATAATAAGAAACGTATCAAGACATTAGAATATAACAGTGCCATCTAGTAACTACTCACAACAACTTAATTGTAAACAACCTTTTGAAATAAATATGTTTACTTAAAAATAAAAATATTTAGGGTGTATCTTAAAAAAAAGAGAATAAAATCTGTTTGTTACTCAAATTTCGGAAGGAAATCTTTGTACACATATACAAATATATTTTAAGTATTACAGTGTTTTCATACTTTCTTTCAAATGAGAAAAACAGTTTGCAAGAAAAGCACAAAAAAATTTAATATCTGAAATGGGTTTGTGAGATGTATCGCATAATGTGGACTAAGACAAAGGATTGCGCGCAGGAAAAGCCGCAGTGAACATTTAGTTATAGATCATAGACAATAGTCATATATTCACAACACAATATTGGTGAAAGCAAAACTGCATGTACCAGCGATGCATGTAATCTATTCATCTCATTTATTATTATTACCAATAATTTCAAAGAAACTAGTATTAACTTTTCTACAGTTAATTATAACGGACTATTGGCGCGTTTGTTCTTGCGTGACGTTATTTTATTTATAGCGCTTGAAGAAAAGACAGAGATACTAATATACCTACTTAGTCTTCATAATAAATATGATTCTATTTTTAAATGTTTTATTTAATTTAATGTTTCAAAAGAGAATGAATCAATGCTAAGAAAATGATACAACGAATTTTGTGAATGAATATCCCAAATACAGCCCATATTTGGGGCATCTATGTAGGTATACGAAGGAAACGATTGATTAAGATAGTTTAAAAATAGAATGAAATAATTATGTAAAATACATAAAACTAAGGAAAAGAAAAGAATGTGATAATTATAATTGATTATACACATACTTTTATTTTCGAAAAATAAATTATAATATATGCATAGTAAACATATACATGTTGTCTGATTACGATGGAAGGATCTAATAGAGATGTCACTATATGCTTAAGCAACTGTAAACTTTTACAGGAAGTAAATAAAAAACATAATGCCACAGCAAATATTTTCTGTCCAATACTAAAATACGTAATGCGGCATTAGTTAGACCAGTTTGTCTCGGTGGTCTAGCGGTTTAGCGTACAGTCTCATTATCTATGGTCGCGGGTTCAATTCTCGCACGATATAAACATTTGTATACATGAATATATTAATAAAAACGTAAACGTAAAATATATAAAAAAAAAACAGTTTTACACGTGGTATCTTATGTTACCGAAGTTAATAAATAGTTTTTAGGAAACTTTGCTTGTGCATTTATACACACTAATCTTAGTACCATAAAGGTTACTTAAATAGCAAAAAGAAAAGAAAATCTAGCGAAATTAAGATCATGCTTTTACTTGAAATTGCGACATTTAACAACACAAAATACATATGTATACTTTTATATTTATACCTATTTAATATCTTATATAATTTTATTTAATAAACTAAACCGCCTTCGAGTATCAAAGCACTCCCGAAAAGTTGGCTGGTAGAGAATGTTAATAGCATTAAGCCTACAAAATTCAATAAAATTTAAATAAATAAAGAAAATAAAATTAATATCGTACAGGTCATGGATCTCGTCCACCTTCAGCGTCGCTCCCGACCCCGGCAGCGCTGAAGAAGGAGCCAGACGAGCACAGAGTCAAAATGGAACCCCACAGCCAGTCTGGTGGTGACGATTCAGCTGCAGAGTTGGCAGTTGACGGGATCAAGACTGAAATTGACGGCCTCATGGATAGCGATGGTAAGTTGTATTCCTGACATCATATGATTATTTATTGATCAGTGTGTCAATGACAAACTTGTGATTTACCTGATGGAAAGTAGCAATTGTTGGCTCTTGACGTAAACAACATTACGGGCATCATGAATAAAAAAATCTGATTCCTCATGCGAGGGGAAGGGGATCTTTGGTAATAATGGGGTTATTAGTCCAGTTAGTTTAGTTAGTTAGTGTTACCAATTTACCATGTGATGTAGTCCTCCACCCGTTTTCCCCTGGAATCATGATACAATCTTGGTGAATTTGCCACTATGGGCTAACTCATCTGACCATTTGCTCATGTCATCCTTCATTGGTGCTTCGTAGCCCGCCTTCCAGCGTAAAATGTTAGCGCTGCCGTGTGCACCACTTGGACGAATTCATTAACCCATATGCGTTGGCGTTTATGACGAGTAACGTATGTCTTCGTATTCTGTAATTTCCCCTCCATACTACCCTTCAATTATGTACATTGGATGCGTAAGTATATGTATATGTAAGTACGTAAGTAGTTCTATGTGAGTGTTTGTATGTCTATGTATGTGCCAAATTTCATCCCGATTATTTCGGCCGTTTTAGGTGAATTGAGTAAAAAGTTCAATGTATGATCAGTAAGTAAGATGACTTGGTTATATGGCCACTCTGTTTTCTGCAAATAAACTAATTTCATTTCACTCATTTTCATACAAAACTATAATAGTTACTATTGGCCAGTGAAAATTTTGCTCGTCATATGGGAAAAGACCTCTAGTCTACAGTCGGGCGTTAATGGGTTGTTATGGTATGGTACACAGTAATAAACATCCAAACAGTTTTAGAACCTCTATATTTATAACATAACTGCCCCAAATAGCATGGTGTTACTAAACGAAAACCATTAAAAATAAGTGAAAAATGATGTTTATCTAAAAGGTACTTGCGTACGGAAATTGATTTCTTGCGCGCTCTACAACCTTGATACTTTATAAATAATGTGTTACAGACACTAGGTACCGCTTTGTATTGTAAGAGAGGAAAGAGATGTGACTGGAGATACAAGGAACGTGTCCACTTGATGGAAAGTAGGTCCATCGCCTATAGAATCTCTGCACCATAACTTAGTTTTCGACAGTGGATAAAAAGTATTCATTTGTTGTCGTTATGTTGAATAAATGCTTTCTGTGCGTTTTGGTAAAAAAATATGTGTAACGACAAACAATTTATTGTAAATTAAAATTATATATATATGAATCATATGGCCCGCCTGATGATAAGCGTTCTCGATCCATATAACATAAAGATCGCAGCTCACAGTTCGCGTTTTAGTTGTATACATAAATTTGTTTTACTTTTATTATACTAATACCCTTAGGTACATGAAAGCAAAATATAATAATAATCTTTGAACGCGTTCATTATAAATCGATCTCGTCACTATTTTACGTATTAGTTATGAAACATTACCATAACTTTAATTTTTAGTTAATTTAAGTTTTTTATTTTCATACTTAAAATGTAATTTAATGTCAGTTCCTCATTCAGGCGACCCCACAAAATCACCATCGTGCGACTTAGGTGGTCCTGGCTCATTGAAGTCAGAACGCCTTTCATCAGATTCAAATGACATATTGGATCCTCAGACCGGTCTACGTGGATCTGCACCCAATGTACAGGTAATTATATATTGTAATATAATTAAATGCATGGCATTTTCAAATGAAGAATCTGAAAAATATCTTGAGAATGCTTGGATTGTTATGTGAATTGGATGGCATTGTTCATGAAATAGCACAACAGTGTAATATTTGAAAATTATTGAAAAATAATCATTTTTAAAGCCTATGCATGCATTAAATTATTAATTTTACATCATGACCCCTTGATAAAAAAATCGTGATTCTTCGGATTGATTTATAAATGTACAAATATTTAGTATTTATACTTTAATAAGTTAATCGGTGAAATAATAATAGTTCACAAATAAAATAAAACCAAGCAATATGCCTGCAGTATATCTTTTCTGATTCTCGCTACAAACATGTCTGCAGTTAGATTTCTTATGTGGCTCAATCGAAAATAAACCTTGCAATTATTAAACTGATAGCATAAACTGTAAGGCAACTAAATATTGTTTTTTGACTGTTAGGATGGAAACCAAAATTGCCGAAACCCGAACGTAGGGCCAGAGAGCATGGGGTCATGTCGCATGGGGGGCGGTGGGGGTCCAATGGGGCCAGGCGTATCCATGGGGCCAATGTCCGCCAGTGAGGCGCAGACTCTTCCATCCAATGTCATCAGCAAACAGGCGGGCAGCATGGAGGTAACATTGGCGAATAGAGTTGATTTTCTGCTCAAATCTTATAGTAGTCACTGTTAAATTGATTTAATGTGTACTCCATTATTAGCATTCGGTCTCTCTTTTTAGTCATAGTGCATATGAAACCGGGACTAACATAGTCTGTCAATAGCATAGATGGTTTCATGATTTTTACATGAAGCTCTCTCTCTCTTACGAGAATCATCATCATCATCATCGCAGCCCGGAAGACGTCCACTGCTGGACATAGCCCTCCCCCAAAGATCTCCACGACGATCGGTCCTGCACTGCTCGCATCCAATGCCTTCCAGCGATCTTGACCAGATCGTCGGTCCACCTTGCTGGAGGCCTCCCTTCGCTGCGTCTTCCGGTCCGTGGTCGCCACTCGAGGACTTTATTGCCCCAACGGCCATCTGTCCTACGAGCTATGTGCCCTGCCCATTGGCACTTCAGTGTCGCAATTCCTCGGGCTATGTCGGTCACTCTGGTTCTTCTGCGGATCTCCTCATTTCTGATTCGAACGAGAATATTATTTATTAATTGTTTTTAAATTAAATTTAAAAATAAATTCGTTTTATACATTCAATGTTTTTTAAACTACATGGAATAGAAATGTGTATCTTAGTGACTATTATGAGTATTTGAGCATAATGTTCGCATACTGATATTGTAATTATTATACTGAGAGAAGATGTGCTAAAATCATCTTTTTATCCCAGCAGCAAAGCCAGATCTTCGTTTTCTCAACGCTACTGGCGAATAAGGGCGCCGAGGCAGTAATATCTGGGCAGCATCACTCCATAATAGCGTATCATTGCGCCCAACCAGGCACTAAGAAGTATCTGGAGGTATGACAAATATTTATTGCCAGCATTAATTTCGATTACCATCCACTGCTAAAATGTTCATTTCCTAAGGCTAGTTACAAGATGCATGATTGCAAGGATTTTTGTAACATTCTAAGAAAGTTATTGACAGTTTGCCCCTTGACTATATTAATTCATATTTTGGATATATTTACAGAAACACCCTCTGAAAATGGGCCAATTTAACAAACAAAGTCCAGCACAATGGCTTAATAATATGGCCATGGCAAAAAGAGCGGGTATGCGTGGTGGTCCTAACATGATGGGAGGGCCCAATCAAATGGGGCACATGATGGGCGGACCCATGGGTCCTAATATGGGACCTATGGGACATGGTGGTATGGGACACATGGGGCCTAATATGATGGGCCCTAATAGAATGGGTGGGCCCGGAAACCAAATGATGATGATGAAAGGAGGCCCCGGTCCCATGGGCCAGATGGGTCCGGGGATGGGGCCTATGGATGGGTTTCCAGGGGGCACCCCGTCCTGTGGTGTCATGGACGGCATCGGTGCTGATGGTGAAATGCCCTGGGACACCGTAAGTATTTTTATTATTTTTATGAATTGAAATTCAAATATGAGAGCTTAAAGTTATAAATGTTATCGAAATGGCGATTCAGTGACCTTAGCACTTATATTAGAATTTAAATATGCAATTGTCATAGGGAGAATAACTCTTTTTTATTCGTTTATGTTATTAAAATGAATTTAGCAAATTTTTAGTACTCGTTTTACAACTCGATTAAGGAAGAGGGTCTTTATGGTTATATTACTTAATATTATATACTCACTAAAACACGTATTTTTCGAAGCACACATCACACTGGCCAGAATGACATCTATTGACTCTTTTTTACAAAGTACCCACTTTAGTACATAATACACAATGTGAATTCTCTAGTCTGTATGTAATTGATATTTCGCAGAAAAACCCCTCTGTAATGTCGAACGGCATGGCCAACGGCGGCGGCGGCGGCGGCGGAGCCCTGCCCCCGTGCTCGGAGCCCGGCGACGCGCCGCCGCAGGATGCGCCGCCCACAGACGCACCCTGCCAACAGGGGCCTAAAGGTAACTGTATCCCTCGTTTCTATCTACCAAAACATGTCCGACAATGTTGTCTAATGTTGCTCATGTAATATTTGGAACAAACATTTGGAATGACAACTAAAAACTTACCTAAATAACATAACATCTGATACTAAATCCGTCTTAACTGCGCATTATTCATTACAGACTTAATTGTTAAAGACCGATAGTAGCACTGGAAATTCGAAATTTAGTAGTAAAAATTAAACAAATTTAGTTGAAATTATATGTGTAATTATATATTTTAATGTATGTTTTCATAGGTGTTAAGATTCCAGATGAAAACTTAACGCCACAGCAGCGTGCGCATCGTGAGGAACAGCTAGCGACAATTCGTAAGATGCAGCAGATGCTCTTCCCGGAGAGCGGTAGTGGCGCTAATCAAGGCCCCGGTGACGGCACACAACCCCCCAATGAAGTAAACCCCCCTAACTCGGCGGGCAACATGAATATGCCTTTCCCGCCTATGTCCGGTATGGGCCCAAATGGACCTATGGGCTCCGGGCCTAATGGACCAATGGTATCGATGCCAAACAGCATGAACTCGGGCCCGAGCTGCAGTATGGCTGGCCCGTTAGGACCAAACGGACCGATGGGACCTGGACCTATGGGCCCCGGTGGACCCATGGGACCAAATGGACCCATGGGCGGCCCGATGGGAGGCATGGGTGGTCCAGGCGGCATGGGAATGGGTGGACATGGATCTATGGGGCCTAATGGAATGATGGGACCGAATGGTCCAATGATGCCAGGAATGGGGCCGAATGGACCTATGGGGCCTCTAGGACCTTGTGGAATGAAAGGAATTCGAGGAGCTTGTGGAGGTCCAGACATGAAGGGTGGTATGTGTACTGACATGCACATGGGACGAGGTTGTGGTGGTCCTATGGGGGTAAGTTGTCTGAAAATCATATTGCAGGTATAAATATATATGATATATTATATAAGTTTACTCATATTGTTTTAAATTTGCAGCGTATGCCTAACCCCATGGGCGGAATGGGAGGGCCTAAACCGTGTATGATGGGCGGACCACATATGGGACCTAGAATGATGCCAGGGCCTAATATTAACGCAATGAATGGTGAGTACACAGTGAATGAGAGAAATTGTTAATTTGTGTTTATATGGAAGATAATATCCAGAACAACTGCAGCTATATGAAAACATTTTTAACATTGGATGGGTGCATTATTTCATATGAATATTTAGACTATATATTGTTCAACCTGGATAAAATCGGAATTTCGATATATTTTAATGTAAATTCATCAATTTATTTGTTACAGGTGGTATAATGATGGACGGTATGATGGGCGGGATGGTGCATGGTGAATGCGGTGACCATCACCCATTGCCGAATGGTCCTATGTGCGATGAGTATGGACGTGGTCGAAATGTAAGTCGATCGATTATTCATAATTGATAAATATTGACGTTGTATCATTTCGGTAGAACTCATGATAAAATTTTGTTAGATCGCGCCTACATAAGACGATTACCCACAGATTTTAATAATCCAATAACTTCCACTACAGAACATGGAATTCCTATACGAAATGTATAGCTTACTTGTCTTCCATATCTTTAAGTATATGCTTTAAATATATTAAAACCTGATACATCGAAACTGGTCAAGTACATAAATAATTACAGTCATAAAATTGATAGTTTCGTCATTATTACATGTTTACAACTAGATTTGTTTGCAGATGGGCCCCGGCGACCCCGGCGGGTTAGGCCCGGGCGGGATGGGCCCGGGCGGCCTGGGCCCGGGCGGCCTGGGACCGGGCGGGGCGGGGCGAGCGGGGCCAGGCCTACGAAGCCCCAAAAGCCCGGCGGCCGGCGCCGATTTCGATTGGCAGAAGTTGCACCACCAGTTCTTCGACGACCCCAAGTCCATGGATACTGAATTAAGTAAGTATAAATAATGATATGATAATCTTAACATATAAATGTCACAATGTTTGTTCACTCCTACTGAAACGATTGTGATAAAATTTTACTCTGTAGGTTTAAGAATTAGTTGTTATCTATTTTTATACACCTAAATGAGGGTAAAATATAATTTAGTCTTTGGTTTTATCTTACCCTTTATGTGTGTATCTTTTTAAGTGATAGCGTTAAATTTCAAAACTAATTATGATAAAATTTTCACAGATTAATGTACTAAATACTGGTAAATTGGCTGTAGCCACTTTCAAATCAAATTAAAATATCTTTATTTATGTAGGTCTATTACAGGCTGATATGTCAAAAACTATCGTCAGTTCGGAAAGCATTCAAGCTAAGAAGAACTGATAAGAAACTCAGCTTTTACTCTTTTCAAATTTGCTTGTACATGTTTACAAAAATACAAATTCAATTTTAAATTAACAATTAAGCAGTATAGATAAATAGAATAAATTCAAAATTAGGCTTTTTAAGAACCTAATTTATAACGCGGGTATGCTTGTATTAACTAGTTTGATTTTTTGTTACTTAATTAGTTATACATTTGACATTGTATTTATGTGCCTTTTAGTATATTTACAAAAAGTCTTAAACATGTAAATTTGTTACCCCATTCTTCTTGCCTGAAATTTGCCTTGCCTTATATTCTGAATATGGGGATAAAATAAATATAATTAAGATGTATCTTTATAATAATATTATAAACGCAACAGTTTGTAAAGTATGGATGTTTCTACGTAAAAACTACTGAACGGATTTTGATGAAACTTTATAGTAATGTAGCTTATGCATGAGAATAACATATGGACTATATTATTTATTGATATTTATAATTGAAATTTATCGCTGGTTAAACAGCGGTAAATGTCAATACCTAGTAATAGAAAAAATGGGTCATATTGTTTTAGGTACACAAGTGAAATCTCCATGCTCAGAACGAGGCGGTTGTTTACCGCCACCACCATACGGCGCCTCACCGTTACACAGATCCGCCTCAGTACCTATAGGTTTGTGGTTACTTTTTTTATGTAATTAGTATGGCAAACAAGCGTACCGTCCGTGGTACCATGGTATTTATGCATTATCATACCTAGGACTGATATTTTACCGCCCCTACAACCTCTATAATCATCAGTATCAAAGCAAGCTGCTTAGCCTCTGTAAAAGGTGATACTGAGGTATCCAGAGCAGAGAACTTTACTTACTGTATTTCATGTACAATATATATTGCTAATAAAATTCTAAATAACTCATAGGTACTATTTTCGTAGAAGAATCAGAATGATTGATGTACCTAACATACAAGTAAATAATAGTTATAGTTGTTGTGAATGAAATAGGATGACTAAGACCATCATCGCTCATTCGCTCAAAGATAACTATTCCTAAACATCCTCCGCGGTAACTGCTTGTTTTTCCGTGTTCTTCAATCGTGCGTCCTTTAGCGGCTTTTTAAAAATTAATTATCAAACGTAATGGTGGGCATGTAACTATGGACTAAATACATAATTATAGAGTTATTAATAAACTATAAATCTTAAACGTGTCTTTAATAGAAAATTAAAGATTTAACAGAAATTGAAATGACATGAATGAAATACGCGCGAAAGAACAAATTAAGTTAAATGCAATTCCCACGATTATGCGTGCTGGCTTTCCCGCGTGACGGAAAGGCAGCTAATGTTTATTTGTTTGTACAGCGACAGCATCCCCTGGTCATGGTGGTGTGCAACTACCAATGTCTGCAGAACCCTCCCGCGCACCTTCAGCCTTGTCGTCGCCCGCGCATTGCAAGCCACCGCCTAAACAAGACGCGCCGGGTAAGTTTGCAAGCAACATCAACGCTTTCTATACACTACCTTATCTTAGGCACTTGTCTCACTCCGGCGTATATACGACTGAGGATTATTTATTATATTAGATGTAACAGAAATTCGAGTAATGTATACGTTATATTTTTTATAACTTTGAATTTAATAACCTTATTGTTCCGTTTTTCTCAATAATTATCTCTAATTCATCCCGATATTTTCTTCGGAGTGAATATAGTGCATTCGTAATAAAATATCGTATACATGATAGAGTGAAATCTCAGTTATTTAAATTTGTTTTTCGCTACACGTCGTCGGTGAGACAATTGCCTTATTAATTCCATTCGCTAATTTCACTACCGTGCCGTACCCAGTACTGTAGTATTTACTTATTTAGAAGGACGGTTTTTTATGTTTTTTTTTACGTTCTGTTCATCAGTGTATTGAATCTCTAAACAATAGAATAGAATTTCTAATCGAGAACCATAAATAATGTACCTACTCATTTAGTAGTTTAACGAAAGATATGAACTCCACCTTATAGGAGAAATTTTCCACTGCAAGGCATGGGTCCGTTCCGTAACAGGAGATATTAATCTACTGTTATTAGAACTACTGTACCCGAACGACATAATCAGAATCTATATCTTTATCCGTAAATAATATGTATGTTATATATATTACTTTGTTTCAACTGCCATACTATGTCGTACTATCTCTAAGCTCAGATACATGAACTTTATACGAATACTTGCGTATTCGCACAGGTGCAGTTGTTGTTGGAATCTCTAATACTTTTGAAAATGAAATACAACCCATGTTACTTGGTACTAATGTTACTTTCTATAAATATTCCAAATCGCTTGGTATGTTGTTTCTCAGTTCATCATTTATTACAAACAAATATTGAAGTGTTTCCTCTTTAAGAAGTAGTAGTAGTAGTAATTTAGATAACTGTTTGAGTATTCAGTTTTTTATAAGCTATTGTACAAAACCGTCCTTTTAACACTCTTAATTGTTTAATTATAAAATAATGGCCTTATTGGGTAAGTCGAATATCAGAGAAGAATATCGCATGTTTAAACATTTCACTAGGACATTAGAAGCCATAGAAGTAGCTGAGCATGCTGTGTTTACGTGTTAGACATTTTCCCAACCACGAGATTTTATTTCTTTTTATTTTCTACACATATCTTACCAAATGCAAATGGTATGATGTGCAATTTTTTTAAGTTTCTAAATTTTGTTTTTTTTTCTGTAGTTGTAATGCGTATTTTTTGTTTTCCCCCCTCCCTCTCGCAAAACGCTTGACGCTTGAAATCCCACCGTGTGATGAATAACAACGAAAATATCTAAAAATACTGCGGACCCTAAAACTGGACTCGACACCAAACGTTTACGAAACAAATATGGCTTGACAATGATAAAATTGTCGAAATATTGAATCCAAAACATTGGCATCAAAAGAAATACTAGAGAAGTTGGACGATGGCGTATTTGTCCGAACACTACAATGTTTGGCGGCGCAACAGCAGAAGAATCAACAGGGCGGGTCACACGGGAAGGAACCCAGTTTGATGCCCGTGCCGTCCCCACAGCAAATATCCTACCTCAATCAGTTTGAAGGTAAATTGGCTTAAATTGACGACAGAAATAATTATGGACATTAGGCTGGGACTACATTCTGTTCGTTTTCGTTTCAACACGTCTATACTTGTGTGTAGGGCTAAATAAAGGATTTCAATCGCACCTAATAATAACTTTCAATACATTAACTAATTGTTAGTTCTGTTAACTTGAAAATTGTCGCATGTATCTGAAACTACTGTTTTGTAACCTCAGCTTTAATGTTAAACTATAATTTCTTCTGTGTTCGATTCAAATTAAGCCTTCAAATGTTATTATGCTTACAGTCAAATAGTAAACGCTGCAAGATGGCCACACAATAGATATTTTTTGTTGACCATTTGTCTTCAAATTACTTCATGTAGCTGATATGTAATTATAAGTATTATTATAAAGTGAACTCGTACGGTGATAATGAATTTAAAAGTATCGTGTTCGTATTTTAAATGTGATTTTTAGTTTACTGACAAATTTTGTACTCATATGGTAATGACATTTGGTAGTATTATATGTATAAAAAATATGAGCTCATCATCGGTTTACATATCGGCTACAGATTCATTATTATTTAAATTCAAGTACAAAACCATTCAAATTGGACTTCTAAAAGTAATTTGTTCACACAAAACATTTTTAGTTCCTGTTTAAGTATTCTATTGTACATAGATGCATGCATGTGTGTGTGAGTATTATATTCAATTTTATTATTATCAGTAGTTTTTGTGTCGAAGTTTACATATTTATGTTTTAATTTCTTGTATTCTGTTTTGTGCAAAGGGTCTTTGTGCTGTTTCTATACTCTTATTTTGGTGGTGGTTGGTGAAAATGTGCTAACTTACGTATCTTCATACTCTATGGCTAATTCGTTCCTTCATTCTACATCGTCGGTTTGACGCTTCGTTTCTCGGTGTTTATGGTATACATATTTCTCTTGTGACAGGTCAAGAGTTAACGATACAGAAACAACCAAACACATCGTTAAAAGACAACGGGCCGCCATCCAACAGCGGGGGACAAACGCCCCAGTCGAGTTCTAATCAAAAATCACCAGCCGGGTAAGATATTTCATATGATTCCTTTATCTAATACTATAATGTCAAAATTTCACCAACATATACACAAGTATACATATAAATAAAATTGGAGTGTCTGTTTGTAATATTGAAATAACCGTTTTTTACTACATGCATATGAATATAAAATAATATAAATACGGTACAGACACCAAAATAACATTTTTTACAATTTTTGTCTTTCTGTCTATTTGGCCCAAGTTGTACCGATTTTGACAGGACTTTTATTGGCAGGTAGCTAATGTAATAAGGAGTAACTTAGGCTACTGTACTTTTATTTTAGAAAAATGAAGTTAAATTCCACTCGGACGAAGTCGCGGATGCAGCTAGTTATATATATATAAAAACAATATTAATTATAAATTCTTTATTGTACACATAGAATAAATGCAATAAGAAAAACAATATGACATGTATTTAATGATAACCTCTTGCTAATCATGTATAAAGAAAATGTAGTACAAGTGTTGGTTTCAGCATGATGCCCGGTACGCCAGAGCCACACTCGTCGCTAGCTGAGCAACGCACGGGGAGGTTCTCACTCGAGCAGAGTCCCGGGTTCAATAATCCACAGACACCCACCTCCGCCGCGCCCACCAAATGTGCCCAAGGTAAGAAATATTTAGACAATTTTCACGGAACATGGAATAATTACGTGCTATAGTGAAACCATTTTCCGAAAATCAAGTTAATTATGAACTATTGTTTATTTAATACCAGCTATACTCGCGGTTTCACCCGCATTATATTTATTTTATAGCCTATGTGTTATTCTAATGTATAAGATATATTGTTGTAAAGTTTCATTAAAATCAATTCAGTAGTTTTTGTATGAAAGAGTAACAAAGATTCTTCCATTCATTTATCTGTCAACATCACAAACTTCTATATTGATAATATAAGTAAGATTCTCTGTGTACCCTCAAGGTAAGGTTGAAGAATGGAAAGAATGGAATGGAGAAACACATATTTTCGTCGAGTATATTATCTTTGATAATATATAATATATAAGAGCAAAACATTTTTTTCCCCGTAGAATTGTCCAAAATCCCTTTTTCAGATAAAATAAAGTGCAATATTTCTGCAGAATATATCATAAGTAAAATAACGAATGTAATAACATTTTTATTATCAATATTTTTTATAGACGAAAAATCACGACCGAGTCCGTCATCGAATCGGTCGAGTCAAGAAAGTGCGTCAAAAACGCCACAGCGGGACTCGAACCTCAACCAGGGACCTTACGCGCCCGCCTCCTCCGCTTCCTCGTGCGCTGGCAGTGTCAAGAGTAGTTGCAGTGTGGCGTCGAGTACGGCGCCTACAACGGCCAGTGGAAGTATAGAGGACAATATGTCAGCTAGTAGTGAGGTAAGCAGAAATCTTTACATATAAAACATTCGCCGCCGCTGTCTGTTCACTTATATCTTTTAAATTATGTAACAGTTTTTAATGCCGATTAAAGCAACAGATAGAGTGATTCAAGAGGAAGATTTATATGTATAATACAAGCGTATTATAGTATAGAACAAGCCGAGAAATTCAAAGATTTGTAATGCATCCGTTCGAAGACGGGACGGGAATGTATATAAAAAATTAAAGGAAAAGACATGGCAGATGTCTTTTCCTTTAATTTTTTATACTACGATGGTTGCAAATGTGCTGTCCCGTCCATGTGCTGGTATACGGTTACCGTATCCTATGGACGCATGAAACACTTAAGAAAGTATCTACAATTCTTGCTTATCTTGCGCGTCTAATTGCCGTAGAAAATTGTTTGCCATATATCCTAAAATCCCGATTGTTCTAATGAAGAATTTCTTCTTAAAAACCTAAAAAAGTGAATGCTGATTTGGTATATAATAAAATAAGTAGTACCTCTAAAAGAAATATGTATGAGGATTTTAAAAAGGGTATTTATTTTTCTTCATGTGACCTCGTGACTAATAGTATACCTTATACCCTATAATTTTGCAACCCTATTTCACTTATAATAGAATATATCTTATAAAATTGTTTTGGGTCAGAAACAAGGTATATTGTTACGGCTACTGCAGTTCAAGAGCTATAACCGGGTGGTCCACTAGAATACTGGTATAGCATACTAATTGTAATGATATCGTTTTAGACGACGTTATCGGGCGGCCCGAACAGCACGAGCCTGCCGGGCCCGTTCCCGAGCGCGTGCAGTATGAGCCGGCCCGACAACATCCCCATCAACCCGAACCAGGGCCCCGGAGGCCCGCTGGGCGGCGGCGCGGCGTCGTTCGACCCGATCTCGTCGCTGGCGCAGATGTCGCAGCAGCTGACGAGCGGCGCGCCCGGCGCGGGGCCCGCGGGGCCCGCGGGGCCGCCGCCCTGCGGGCCCTTCGCGCCCGCGCCCCACCACCTCCCGCACCACCACGCCATGCACCCCCACTCGCACCCCCACATGATGATCAATGATTTGGGTGAGCTGATTTTTGTTATTGCGACTGTTGATGATGTGGACTCGCATCTTGATTTCCAGAAATTAGGGTAGTCGCTTCCACCGGTCATAAAATACCAAATTAATTTTAATTTAAGTTTAATTTTATAAAAAAGTATTCTGCATCTTTAGTAACTAGAAATACCTCAGAACAAATTAGAATTGCCACAAGAACATAGCCTACATTTTACAGATTTAATGAGAAATTAACAACATTCCAATTAAAACTGACCTACTATTGTCTTGTCAATATTGAAATTGGGACGTTGCGGCTTCGTTAATTTTTTGGCGCATACAAATTCGAATCTTCAGCAGCGTCTATTTCAATAAGGATGTTCACTGCACTTGTAAGCCTTTACCGGGACACCCTCGAATGTGTTTGCAAGGAAACTGGATACTGACAAATCAGAACCATACCTTTTATACATTTTTGAGGGAGGTCCAAGATGAGAGAATTATGAATTAGTAGTGATATTAATTCAATAATGTGTTGGTGGTTACCCTGTCGCGGCAAGAAATTCTAATATCAAACTAGTATTATCTGTAGTAGTAATAATAATAGAAATTAATTATAATGTTAACATAATGGTATTCGTATCAGGATGCCACATGGACAATATGGGAGGCCCAGGAATGGGCGGACCCATGGAAGGCATGATGGGCGGCGGCGACTTCCCGCCGGACATCAACCTCAGCCCGAAGATGGGCGCGGGCGCCATGGGCGGCATGGGCGGCATGCCCGGAGACGGCATGATGGCCGCGCGCATGCCCAATGCTGCCAAGATGCCGCCCTTCAACGGCGCCAACGTGCAGGTGATTTGATTATGCTTTTTATTTTCTTTATTTATAGTCTTTATACTGATAGTGAAGTTAATGTTGTTGCTTGTTGCTCACTGCTTCAGTTCGTCAGCTTGTCCTAAGATATAGGATAGTCTCATCCCATAGACTCCACGTTCCTCTGTGCTACTGTATTATGCTTTAGGCGCTTTTAATTGTTTGAAGTCACTTTTATCACTTGTTTGAATTTTAAAAGATTTTGTTTTAGTTAAAATTTATTTTAATATATATGCCTGTTAAATTATAACCTTTTTTACATGGCACATAAATCTAAAATCTGAATTTAAGGCATTTGCTTTTATCCAATCTTTAAGTTGGCGACAATAAAGTTATAACTGTCTGCCTCGCCTTGCGATGGCCAGGGGTTTCGATCAGTACACATTGAATTTTATTATTTCGGTTTAAGAATGTTTTTAATATACAAATATATTATATTTATGTATTTACAGATGTTTATTTATTTTATTTCTTTAGGTACAAGTTATTTTTATTTGTGAAGTACAGGTAACTATGATTATTCTATCCCATTGTCTTATGTCTACGTATAAAATTTTCTATTTCAATCAGTTTTTTTATAGAATTTTATTTCTAGTTTATATTCTCTTACATCGAAGTACGCTTGAAAAGAGAAGGCGTATATTCTAACACCATCCCGAAGTTGAAACAAAGAATATTTCAGGTGAAGGCGAGCGCGCCGAACACGATCCAGTACCTACCCACGCGGCCGCAGATGGCGTGCAACTCGGGCCCGCGCGGGCCGCCCAGCCTGGAGTTCCTGCAGCGCGTCACCAGCCCCATGCAGATGGAGGGCAAGGGCGGCGTGCAGTACTTCCCGGGCGCGCGCGGGCTCGACGTGGACGGCATGCGGGGCGTCATGCGCGGGCCCGGCATGCTGCGCATGGCGCCCTACCCGGCCGGCTTCGGCTCGCCCCCCAAGATGCCCGAGTTCGGGGCGCCGGGGCCCGCGCCGGCCGCCATGTGCGCCGGCTTCCGCGGCGGCAAGGGGCCCATGGGCCCCGCCGTGCGCATGGGCGCCGCGCAGCCGCTGCCGCCGTCCATGGCCGGCCCCGGGCCCGGCTTCAAGGGCCAGGGGTTCGCCATGCAGTCGACGGCCGACCCCAACTACGCGGCGCAGTTCCACAACTTCCAGCAGCAGCTGTACGCGACGGGCAGCCGCGCGCAGCACCAGGGCTACCCGCCGTACCAGCCGTCCAAGTGATGGCAGCCGGCCCGGCCCGGCCCGCTCGTGTCCTGACGCCCGCGCGCGCCCCCCGCCCGCTCCCCGGACTGTCCCCGCGTGCCCGGCGTGCCCCACGTGCCCCACGTGCCCCACGTGCCCTACGTGCCCCGCGTCGACGCCCATGTACTTAATTAATTATACGCCAGTGAAACGAGAGATCAAATATTTTGTTAGTGATTTTCGTTAGTCCGCATACTTGACATTCGTTCGATATTGTGAAGTTTTAGAAGCTGCCACCCCTTATGTTTACTAGCGTACTAATTTTCAGGTTAGGTTACTATCGTAGGTTTCTTGACTGAGCATCATTTTTTATGTTAGTGAAAGCGGATGCGTTTGTACAAATTGTACAAAATTTAGACGTGTTATTGTGTACTCTACGTGAATTAAAGTACAGTTAGACGTAATTGATTTGCTTATGGCAATAAATTAGTTTAAGGGCAATTTTTTTACAGAGACATATGCCAGAATTTCAGTGTATCGGTTCCTTTACTTAGCTATTTTTACGTACGATTCCTATGCACACAGATATCTAGTCAATTTGAAATTAACGGAGCCCGAGCCTGTGCCGGCCGCGAGCGACGCCGCCCCGGCCACAGACGAGAACATTACACAAGTACATTATTATAAACGATTTGTCCGTCTTAGTTTTAGATTAATTAAATCCTATTTAGTGAAATTGGTTTATCATTATTGTTTTGGCTGATGGCCAGTGTAACTTGAAATTAATGTACCAGTCTAATGTTAGGACTTTTTTATTACTTTTGATCTGATAGCAATGTTTTTTCTGTCTTCCAATACCTTTTAATAGACTCTTAAATATTACAATACAATAAGGAGTATACAAAATTATACTCCAATAATATGCTTCGGACTGCACAGTGGTTAGTTCGAATAGTCTTTACTTTTAATATTTAAAAGTACTTAAAATCTGATGCCATATTATTTGCCACGTGAATTTAATTTCGTGATATTTTTAAACTATATCTATTTTAATTTATTGCTGTCTACAGTTTCTTTATAATAATGCCAATATAACAGAAATCATAACATTTTTAACGTCATAGGACTTATTAATATGCTAGGCTAGTAGTCGCACATTGTGAACGTCACAGTGGCCTTCGATTGATGTCTCTTTGTTTGTAAAGCAATAAAGCAGTTGGCGCGATGTAAAGCCGCACCGGGTTGTAGCCGCTCGACACACTGACGGCCCGACCGTCCGACGGCTCGACCACCCGACGGCTGGCCTGCCTGACGGTTCGACTTCCCGACGGCACTGTAGTTAGTATTGTTCCGCGCAGTCCGCCTGTGGTTTCACGACACTCGAGATTATGAACGGCATAGCAATTTCGAGAATAACAAGCACAACAGTCCAGATCATAACACCCGCTAGCGTTTAGATAGTGTTAATTTAATTGTAATTATAATTGTAAGGTAAAGAATGGTTCTTGTTTTAGGGTAAGTGAAGAGCAATGATATAAAATAGTTTGTCTAATATTGATAAGAAATGAAATTAAGATGCAAACTATTGGTTGTGATTATGACACAATTTGTTAAGTTGTTCGTAGATTTGTCACACTGAGAATTGTGGAAACTTAACTGAATTTCACGATAGAGGGTCCCTTTTTATTTTTTACTTCTTTGTTTTTTGGATATTTTTACTTGTTCTCGTTTGTACATCGCTAACAATAATTGTACAGAGTACTTTTGGACTTAATTTAAGGCAATAAATGTATTTATTTTATAACTCGTGATGTAAGAATTTATTCTTAATTATTATAAAAAAATATATGATATGCTTGTATACTCATGTTTTATTTATATTTATTTACGTAGTAAATACAGAATTTTGTTTATTAGGTACTTCACTATTAAGATAAGTGATAATATAGTTACAAATTAATAAGAAAGCATGATTTGTTTTTACTTAAAATACATATTTTTTATTGTAGGAATTTACCAGTTCAAATGTTATAGGCAGAAATAGACTATACTCAAATAAACGGGCTTGTTTGATTACAGTATGTGAGTGATATTTATAGTTTTCAACGGGACCTATTTACTTAAAACTAACGAATCCTGAAGCGCTAACATAAACCTCATTTCTGTACAAGTTCATAAAGTTGTAATCATCTGTCATTTAATGAAGTATTCTTAATATTTTTTTCTAAGAAATTGTAAATATAGGTACATATATTTTACAGAACTATACAATAAAGTATATGGATGTATCCAATAACATTGGTGATAAATAGTCACAAAGTTGCTAATATCGTAACATTTATTAACGGCCCTTGCGAAATAGTGTCATTATTAAAATATTTTTTATTATCCTATTATTGTTATACAAGTTACTATGGTACTTTGTCAGTTCTTAGCGTAATTTAACGACTGAATTGATCATCACGAAACATCATAATTCGACATCGAACGAAGGCAGTAGCATCTGTGGTAGTATAGTAATAATAGGAAAGCTACTAAACCTGTTCGAGACAAGTCAATGACACAAATAAAATCCGTCCTTTTAGGACCGTAGGTATAAATGTATGTATAAAATAGGAAGTTGTTTACATTACTTAGGTGGGAGCGGGGGGAATGGGTAGTAACATCGAACAATATTGGGGGTAGTAACTAAATAATATTAATACTTGAATATACCCAAAAAATCTTCCTTATATGAGATTGATATGATATATTGCTAACAGTGAGGACACTATTCCCCGTCATTCTCTTATTAATGATCTCATCTCCCACATGATGTATCATTCCATATTTTCAGATTTTATTTAATGGATGACAATAATAAAGAGATTGAATTTACCCAGGAAGTCACACGGTCTATGCCGTTAGTAAAAAACAGGTTATTTTATGATAATGCCTACATTTTGGTTTTGTTTTGGTTTTGGTTGTGTGTTTTTTGTTGTAATTATAATGGTGAACAAACTATTTGTTTCAAAATAAGTTTTATTAAAAAAATATATAAAGCGCCATCTATACTAAAGTTATAAACTATGTGAAATAGCTATTTTTATAAAGCGTGACATCTATCGGTTGATAGTCGTGACAAATAGCATCATCTATCCTTTAATACCACTAATTGGCACGGAAGCCATAGACAACTGAGATTCTGTAGTTTGTCTAGTCTATCTTTTATAAATCAAAATAAGATGTATTACATTTTTTTTATTTTATTTTAATAACAATGCAAATACAATTTTTAATACTATTGAAATTTTATATAAAAATAATTACATTTATAATAACAAATAGCACAGATTTCTTACATTAATTTTATATTTGATATTGCCAGCATCAACTTTTTTATTATGTGATATTTTTTTAATTTTATAATAAATTGTAACTAAATTACTGTTACGGTTTTTGGTAACGTATCTCAAAACATAAAATAAAATAAAGTGAAAGTGGCATCCTTGACTAAAGTGGAAAATTACTCCTTCAATTTATTATTCTAAATTAAAAAGTAAATAAATTTGTCTATGGAAATACAGAACGGAATCTTGTAAAAGATTAGGCCATTTCATAAAACAAATGTATAGTAACTCGCAGAAAATATCTTCGGGACAGTTATATTTATTTCAGCTTTGCATTTTCTTTTAAATTGAATCGTGAACCGGATTGTAGGTCCATTGAAAAGGATTCATCTTTGACTCTTGCGGAAGGGTTAGCAGTCTTGATTCTGCAATAGAAAAGATTTGCATTGAGAGGAGACAAGGTAAACATCGATTTTAATTTTTTCTCCTTTAAAGGAATTGTTTGACGAAATTCAAGATTAGGATATTACATACGTAAGAGGTGATGTATTGAGTGTTTATAGTATATTTATAGTGCATCCTTGTACGAAATGAAAGTTTGACTTTTGCCACATATTCTTTCGAATGGCAGCTGACGGACGTACTTCTAGTTACGAGAGTAGGTATTTACTATGCAACGTAAACCGTTTTGTGTAAATACATTGATGTTATTTTCTTTATTTTGACCGTGATCGTGAGGTTAGAAACGTATACACACCCATTAGAAAAAGATTGGATTGTTTTTCCTTTAAGAAAATGTCAAATTGTGAACTTGTCAAATGCTGGGTTGAGTCATTGTTGCGATCCATCTAGTCTTGAGACCCACATAATTGTTTAGAATATTTACCTTATCAGCTTTGCAAATATCACTACTTTCTCGAACTTATCTATCAAAGCCAATTGGACTCGTGTTTTTGTGTTATGATGCTGCTCACATTACAGTAAATCTAATTGTTTTTACATGACAAAGACCTTTATATACTTATATTTAAATGAATCATCATATAGATGTAGGTAGGCATTATATTTTATAGAAATAATAAATACCTACTCTTTTGTAACCTAATCCATGTAAACATGTTTTGTTTACTCTACTTTCATTACTACATTTTGTTATTATATTTTTATAACCAAATTTACTATTTATAATCAACCAAAAATAATCCATATAGTTGTGCTAAATAAGATTAAAATTAATTTAGATTTGTTTAATTTCATAATTCTATTGAACTGTTGCCAAATGTGATATAATATATGACATATCTTTTTATAAAATTAGTTTTTGGGATACCCTGCATTATAATTATTCAGGTTCACAATTAACAAGCTCATTGTATTAACAAATTTTTCAAAGTTTTATTTTAAATAACAATAAACAACTAAAATTATTGTAGCTATTTATTATCTATGTCTATCTATCAGCCTAATATTTATTTTCTTTTGTTCACAATAACACAATCTGCTTAAAATAAAAGTGAATAAATTAGTCACTATATTGGATTTGAAATTGGGCTAGAATTTATGCTAATAAAATAATTAAGTGTAGAATCACTAATAAATTTGAAACATAAATTACCTGACTATCTTATTTATGAATTTAAAGAAACTGTACTGGTTAATCTCTATCGAGTTTATAATATAAGTAGGATGTTTATTTACTATCAATTTTTATAGCCTAATAATTGTGATGTAATCAAAATTTGTTGAGTAATGACTTACACCTTTTAAATTTGGTCATTAAACTTTACTGATATTTAATTTTATCTGTATTTATATATATTTATTTATGTGAGTAAAATTATTTATATACTAATATATGGAGCAAATACTTTGCACCCATTTTTAGGTAAATTGTGCAGACGGTTGAGTATTAAAATTTAACACAGTTACAGTTTGTGTAGAGAAGTAGTATTGAATACTAATATTTTTTTTATTTTATTTATTACCACAACAATCACTATAAACCTATGCTCATTTTATAGTAATGTTTAAAAATACATACTGTCATACATTTGGCACATGTACACACATTTAGTACCTGACAATAGAACTTTAATAATATACAAACTTAAAATATATATGAATGTCCTATTTCAACAATAGGGTAAAAAAACACTATTAAGTTGTAATATTGCCACAGCAGTATGGCAACTCTTATCATTTTCACATATTACTAAGACATTGTTATTGTGATAAAGTACAGGTGTTTACATATTATTGCACATGAATATACAGATAGCTTTATAAGATAGCAGTGGCAAACTATCAAATAGATCTAAATGTGGTAACACTGTAAAAGTAGTTTTTACACCGAGTGTATTGTAGTAGCCAAATATAGCACATGAAGAATAAGGAAACATCAAATTCATACACTATACAAAGCTGCCTGCCCAGTGTGGCAATAGTAGCCTTATATTCTTTGGCAAAAGCTAGCAAACATTATAACAATCATATCTAAAGTATTATATAGGAAAAATCTCATATAGTTAGACATTTATGCTTCACAGTAGGTTGTTAATAGATGTAGTAGTGTACCAAATATCATAAAATCATATCACGAGTGCTGCTTGTAGGGATGGGTCTGCATCACTACAACTGATTTTCTCTTATTGTATATTTAATATTTTCTCTATTTGAGTATTTAATTGAATTAATGCTAGTTGGTAGCTTGTATTCACACACTTCAACTTAAAAATGTAAAGTAACAATAAAAATATTTAAAAGAGCAACATGGAAGTTCCTTCTTGTGATGAGACACCTCTCCTAATGAGCAGTAGATTGAAAAAAAAATGTGATGACTATTCAAAAGTGCTTCAATGTAATATTATTTGATTAATGATTTTCTGTTCTATTCATAAAATTAATATATTAAACCTAAATTCCAGCTCAATAACAAAATAAAATTATAAAGTACTAAGAATACCAATGTGAAGGTTTAAAAACCCCGCTATGCAGATATTATAATAAGATTTGATACACATAATCTACCAAGTCCAATTGGCCCATGCTATTACATGAGTTGAATATTAATATATTAGTGCAATTTTACTTTTATTTTATTACAGGTTATGGAAAACAAATTCTATTGTAATTTATATAAAGTAACATTTTTGGACCTCAATCCTACAAGTGGCATTTAAATTTCAGTAGTGGTTGGCAACAGAAAACACCCACACATTTTCCAAGACTTGAATGTGGGTGAATTTAATCTTTACTTTGCTTAAAAGGGTCATTTGTGGGAGGGCTGAATTTATTTTAATATAACATTACTACATTATCTAAGTAATTCATTCAATTACTAGTTTAGAGAAGTAGCTAATAATATTATGTGTATTAATACTAGCAAAACATTGAGCAAAAGAAATCTTGAGAATCTTTATTTATATAGGTTCATAGTATCTGAAGAGAAATACATAAATGATAGCACAAATTTCATTACTTTTACTTCTGGTCACACCCTTGTTACAATTACTCATTTTTATGGGACTAGTTCGACGTCACACATTTTTTTACATGTCACAATGTATATCTAGAAAACTATATAAATAGTTCTTTTGAAATTACTATTATTTTCATTTAAAATTTGTATTAATAAAATGTAAATTTTGAAATATACCGTCGCGAAATTTGTGTTCTTGCATTCCTTGTCACACAATGTGGCAATTCGTCAACTCCGTCTCCTTAATGTATGACGGCATTGTGGATAACCGTTTATGATACGTAGTTTATTGTTTTAATATTGCTTTGTCTAGTTAGATAGTTTTTTTATTCAGAAAATCAGGAAAGAAAGATGTTTGTTATTATTCAAGAATATATACAAAGTGATTAATTTGTATAGTACTTAGAGTAGATCTTTATCACTGTTACATGATTACTCTGTAATAAATACAATATAAAAATGAGCCATAAATAAATATGCAACTGTCAATCATGCACAATGTTTTCCACTATGCAATCACCTCAGTACCTACTATAATTAATGAGTTTAATTTAAACTAATGACTTGCACCTACTTTGCATGAATGCAATTATTGCAATTAGATGCCTCTAAATTTTTAAATGCTGAAATATGTATTTTCTAAGAGTGAAACTTTTTTTTAAATCCATCAAAAGTCAAATATTTCGTTTAGATAATATTATAGCAGACTTAATGCAATAATTTTTTTACACTATATTTAGGGATCTTACATTAATTATATGTTTTATAGGATCTTTTTACTCTCTCTCTATCTATTTTAGACTGAATACCCGCTTATCCAAAATTACGTAAATTATATATGGTGTAGTAAAATATCATCCCTGATTTCGAGGCTCACGTGTTTAATGAACGACCCCTACTTATCAAATTCATCTGTATTTATTACCTTTAGTTATTATATTTATAAAACGGTCGTCTAGTGTTTATCATAGCATGTGTTATCTAAAGATTGGCGAATCGATTTTAAGGTTGCTACACACGGGAACGATTAATAACAGCTGACATTTGTCACTGTTGTTGGTTCGGATATTGTAATTTTAAGTCCCTTATTAATATTATAAATTGACTACTGCCCGCAATATTGTGATAGTGATTAAAAATACCCTATCTCCATTTCCAACTCGAATACGACCAATATGACTTTCATGACGATTGATTAAGCCGATAAGACCCGAAAGCATAACAAACAAACTCCCTTTTCGAATTCATGTTTGTAAGTAAATACGCGTACATTCCTATTCGCCTAAGTCGTTAATATTTTATTCGACGTAATGCAATTTTTGAAGTTAGATTTTTACTGATTGTTCACGATAACACTTATCTGATTTTCATAGTCAATATTATATAAGGGTCTTATTTAGGTTAAAGAGTGTTTTTTACATGTATTGCTACACGCTTTTTTAAATTTTATTCTCAAATTACTCCAATTTAAATCTATACATATAAATAAAATTCGAATATTTGTTTGTAATGTTGAAATAACCGTTTTTTACTACATGCGTATGAATAATTATACAATTGTTGTCTGTCAGTCTGTTTATTCCGGCTAATTTCTGAAATAGCTGGACTGATTTTGATGGGACTTCTATTGGCAGGTAGCTGATGTAATAAGAAGTAACTTAGGCCACTGTTATTTTAGAAAAATAAAGTTAAATTCCACGTGGACGAAGTCGCCAGTACAGCTTACATTTCTATTATATGTATACATGCAACTTATCATATTCAGCATACAGAATGCACATAAAATGAGTATGGAACCAGCACGGTAGTAATGAATGCAAAGCGAATCAAAATCATCACATACAATAAAGTAATGAATCTTTTCGTCTTGGAATTTTGTTACAAATTGCCTTTGCCTGCACTTGTCACGCATCTATATAATTATTTAATTATTACATTAAGTAAACATATAGCAACAATGAAATCAGATTATGTATTATTGTATATAATTAGATTCACGTACGTATTATTTCTAAGTAATCCATTATTAGATATAAAAGTTTCAATATGTATATACTTAACGTGCTATATATAGAAAAACAGGAAATATATATTTATATTGTCTCCAATTGGTCTGGGTATATAAGGGTTAGTACACAAATACAAATGACTAGAAACGTTAGTACGTCTGTGCAACCACAAATGTTGACTGCAAATAAAAACAACAGGTCGATACATTAAAAATATTTGTTATCTACTCCAATTTATCCAATGTTATAGGTATCAAATTTTTCCTCAGATAATTGATAACTACTTGTGAATTAAGAAATGATAAGATGAGACACGATAACAATATAATAAATTATTATCTTTGAAAGAAAGATTCAGCTTAGAATTTATAATATCACTGTCACAGGCTACTATCGTTTGTTTTTTTTATCTATTTCAGAAAGATCGCCAGATCCTTTGGGAATATCCATTTTAATAATGTATTTTTAAATTTTGTATGATTTTTGAAATTATCTTTTGTACTTATTACACTTCGTTACATTTAGAGGTTATATTTTTATGTCATTATTGTGTATTTCTTTCTTTGCTTGGATACAAATTCCACTGACGAAAATTTCACTTACCTGTACAGTTGTACACTGAGTTTGTTGAGATTTTATCGAGATTGACTACTTATCTTGAGTTAACGTAATTAATTAACCTAAGAACCATAGGCATTATACAATAATTGCTCTATCCATTTTCATTCTTTCTCGCAGACCGCCGACTGTTCTCTCTTTTGAGTCTTTAAAACACTATACACTATATCTTTTTATTTATTTAAAATTATTTACTCACTATTTGTTATAATGTTGTGGGTTTAATGCAAAGAGAATGGATCTAAGGTAATTATAAAAATAAATGTACTTTTAATTAATTAAATTACTTTGATGAAACATACGGAAGGGAGGATCCATATGAAATACGTACGCATTTTATATGGAAAGGCATGCGCGCGCGCTTTCTCTGCCCTTCTTGTTACACGATCCTCATTCCAGCGGATGTTGCCTAGGGATACATAAATAAGCGTAATATGTTATAGGGACCTCTACGTATGATCAGTGCCAGATTAATCAATAACCATGTGGGGGCTCTTTATGCAATCCAATTGAGTGCGCTGTTTTACCTTTTTCTTAAATATGTTTTTTTACTTCGATGCTATAGCTATTCTTTTATTATCTTTCATGGTACCCGGATTTCCTTGGTCTCAGAGGCAGTTGTTGATCCTGTGCATGATGGATAATATCAGAGTTGCCAATCTAAAAAAGTAGCGTCGTATGAAGAAATAAATAATCAACCAAATTTCGTACATTAACGCAATTTCTTTTCGTAGTGCAAAATCTCGTACAAGCCTATACTAGAATGAAAATGTACCTCGAATTGGTACTAGTATACTTGTACAGTTGGTATCCCTGGATAATATTCATATAGATTTCCTTTCATCCTCTGGTGAATCGTTAAATCTACATATATCTCAACAAAAATTACTCAACCCGGGTTTTAAGCCATGTTCACGTTATTATGTCAAGACTCTTCCTGACAAGATTTGAAATTTTCGTTTGACAACTATTATTAATATTAGTACATAGCTTGTTTTACCGTTCTTTCATATTCACATGAGTATGTTGTGCTCCAATCACCAGCAATTATGACCTTAACCCGGTGACTTGTTAAAAAATGCGTTGTACGCGAAGACGTTACAACTTTCGTACAAGAAACAGCTGTTGACCTCAGCTACTGCCTTTCTAATATTTGATCCTTACATAATGTGCATCATTGCTTCTTTACTTACTTTATCAGTCGACGTACTATTTAGAATAAATCAGACTTAATTTTATAACCACAGTGAGTAAATTTTAGAAGGTTTCGATATTAGCTGTTTATTATTATTATTATTTTTATGTAATTTCGGCGTAATATTTTTGCAAGAGCCTACGCTGGTTTTTGAGATATATTGGTACATATGATGTATATATCTTTTGTAAATACGTATTGTACATATAAAACACCCAGACCGATACAAACAATGATACTCATTAATATAATTGTTTGTACTGTACGAGGAATCGAACCCGCGACCATCGGAAGTAAGCCAGTAAACATAATAAATAAAATCATATTTATTATGTCCTACTAATTGAATTTTTAATGCATATTATTTTAATTAAATCAATGTGTATTAAAAAATAAATCCAGTTATTGACAGGTAATTATCATTAGTCATTGTAAATAGACATTTGATAAATTAAACGATACCGTTTAGTTTATATTTAAATATATTCGTAAAAGTAAACAATCAGTAGTACGTGGTTAGAATACTCAATGTGTTGATGACGATGACACGATGATGACTGATCAGTCTGTATCCTCACGCATTACTATTAACAATTGATACATTTATTTTTAATCAAAATCGTTTTTAAATATCGTAAGAGCATGTATTGATTGTTAGAATAACGTCAACAGACTCGATACATTATTAGATTTATTTGTCACTAGTTGTTGCAACTTAATTTGTTTTTGGTACTCCGCCCCTATGGGTCGGTGATGTTATATTATGTAGGCATATTATTATTATTATTATTATTTAGGTATTCGATAAATGGGCAAATACTAAAATAGTTTTCAAAATCGGGTCAATACTACCAGAGATTACCCCGAACAATCAAACTCACAAACTTTATCACTTTATAATATGAGTATAGATTATTTATTATTTTAAAATTAATATTCTTCAATATTTGTTCTACATGGATATTTATGAATAATTTAATTTTACTATGTCCTACGTCTTTTTTTAACTTTACAAATCACAAACACAATAAATGCAGACTTTTATATAGCGATATTGTTAAATGCATTAGATAAACACTAATGCATTTAACAATATCGCTGTATAAAAACACAATGGACTTAAGTTATTATCGATTGAATTAAATTTAGAGTTATATCAGTACATTAAATATGAATAATTAGCTGAATTATTACTATTTTTCAGTAATGTTGACTGCAACTTTCGTTTGTGTTTTGAACCACAATTGTTGCCGTCTTGCTCTACTTACGAAACAATAAAGATGACAGTCTGTTGTTATGTCAAAGCAGTTTTACCTTGAACTTGAAAATTGTGTTTACAAGTTACTCGGCTAATAATAGAAAAGGATTTGAATAAAATAGATGTTATCTTGTCCATTATAAAATATAGTTTACAAATATTAGTCCCGATGCTCGTGATATTTAAGTATTATTTTTGTAAACACGAAAATATCCTGTGTATTTTTTAAATATAGAACTTTTGAGGGTAGTTTGACTTTCGTTTGTTCTTTCAAAGTGCTATTCTAAATATTATTTGTGTGGGGAATTATTCGTTGTTTTTATAATGTTACCTTACACCATAGAAACAACGAATCCTTCCCCATGTTACCCCTTTAATTTATTTGATCTAAATTAGGTAAACATGCTAAGAGATTATTTATTTAGAAGAATTAGAATAAGATTATTTTAATTATGAATTATAAAATTAGTATCTGTTACCAGCGACTGACGCGAGTGTACTTGACCTATATACTTTCGCGTAAAACATTCAATATTCATGTCAAATACTATTAAGATTTTCATAATGACTCTCGCTATATAAAAAAAATTATAAAACGCGTATGTATAGTACATCTTTTTTTTTACTATCAAATTAGGTCGGTATGAACAGTGTATATTATTATAATATTCTAATACGTCCAGTGGCTCCTAAAATTTCCTTCCAATATGCATGAATTCATAAATACTTATTTCACAAAATCAAAATTAATTTCACAAAATCTTCTGTTACAGGTTACAGTGCAAGCTGACGTTGGTTCGCATTTCACTGGACGTTACGGAATCTTGGGTACTCGGGATTAGGATGTCAGTGATGAACCAGAGTGGAGAAGAGCAGGTATATAAAGTCTGTTGACTATGGTAGTCATTGTTTTACCAAAGTAGACTGTGAACAAGTTTGTCTGCATGGGTAACTCTGTCTATTTGTATTGGTCTGGTATAGTTACCTATATATTTAAGCCACTTAGCAGCTTGGCTTGTAAATTACGATTTTACTTAAAGGTTGAAATTTGGTAGTATAATTACATGGTATGAAGGAAATACACCTTAGTTGTCAAGAATAGTATAACTTACGGCCTCGATGGTCTAACGGTTTAACACCGACTTATTCTCTAGCCACGAGTTGGATTCCTCGCAGAATAAAAATATTTATTTTCATGAGCATAAGTGTTCGTATTGGTCTGGGTGTTTTCTATGTATATTATGTATGTATGGAATTACAAAAATGTATTTAGGTATTCTATCAGTTGTCTAGTACATTATATTACAAGCTCTGTTTAGCTGGGGACTAGATGAGGTTGTGTATTGTCCTGCGTTATTATTATTATGGCCTCGCAATACGAGGTTTCGTGGTTGTACCTATATACATAGGTACAGTTCCCACTTTCCATAGAGTACGCTCTCAGCTAGAGATCATTAGAGTTCAGAATTTACTATACCTTCCCCTGGTTCGAGTCTTACAATTAAAAATGTATATAAGTATACTACAATATCGTAATATTACCATTAAAAAAGTATATAAGTACATACATGTAGTTTATGATATATTCTTTCCTTCTGGAACTATTGACATTTAATTGTTACACCCATATATTTAAAACTCATTTACTGTAATTTAAAATGTGTCAATACTAATATACTTACATAACAATAATATATACCTACTTAAAACTTACTGTATCATAATATAGGCTAATAAATATATTATATATGTATATATAATACATACAACGAAATTATTATAGATAGAAATATAACGCCATTACTATTTTCTTTTCAGGTGGAATGTCCTTTATGTATGGAACCTCTGGAGGTGGACGATCTTCACTTCTACCCGTGCACATGTGGTTATCAAGTATGTTGACACTATATATTTCATAGAGTATGCACAAAGCTATGATGTGTAATTACCGGTTAGATCATTGTGACTAATTTTCTATGGTATTGTAAACTACACGTAAACAATGGTTAAATTGATAGCCTACTTTTTAATTTGGCCGAAAATATCGTAAAATATGTGGCAATGAAATTACGGAACACGAATGCATAATATCTTAGTCCTCCGGGCAAATAATAGCAACGCATCAGGGGTGTTAGCGACCTTACATGACGACGTAATGTCATGGATGCTCGTAATGTATGAATATAGGCGGATATTGCCACTTACCACCAGAAACTTAAGATTATTTGCCATTCCAATTACATAAAAAAAACCTAAACATACAGGTAAATTGATAACCTTCCTTTCCTAAAGTCGGTTGTTATAGTTTGAATGTTATAGTTTTTAATAATGGTATGAATATTTATTTTTATCCGGAGTGTACAGAAATCGTGTAGAATAAAAAAAATGCACTTCAAAGCCTGTTTTATCGAGGGGACTACAAAATGTATCAAACATTAATATTAACAATCAAAGTCTGCTTCCCTCGGTTATATTTGTGCAGTTGTTTTGGCTTTTAATGAACGTTATCAAGTAATAGTTTTCAATTTTATAAATAACACTACCATCGCTATGTGATATAAAGTCAGCATACATTGTGTTTATCAACAATGGAATAATAAAATAAATTCTTTCATAATTGTCAATACATGCAAAATTATTAAAACTATGCACGTGTAATATTATAGCTATTACATATTACTTATTATTAAAAAAGTTAAATATTAATAATAAATTAAGTTTAATTTTTTTATTGAACTGCGTAGAGCTTTTAAATAACTTAGTATATATAACTTTGTCTAGCTATATATAATTTTTAACTTGAAATTATATTACAAAATTCTCTAATAGTATAGTTTGAAAAAAAAAACAAAAAAATTGAAAATATTGATTTATATAAATCTAGGGATATTTATATATCAATATTTTCAAATTGTTGATACGATAGAATGGTCAAAATTATTTCATACTCATTTAGTAGTATTGTAGTAGTCACTTTTTTATTTTAGTACATGTGCGAAGCCAGAGTATGCAACTATAATTGTTATTGTAAAGCTAGTTTAGTTGTATGTAAATATATGTCATTACAATATAATATTAGTTCCCTTTAATTACTTAATTTCAAATCGTCCTAATTTAGTTGCGTGTCGTGCTTCATTTTCTGTACCGTACACGCAAATATAAGGCTATTCATACTAGCCATGGTGGGATTTATAAATAAATATTATGTATTACAATATTTAGTTATTGTCTTATGTTATCAATACTAATACTATAAAAAAGAATGATTTGTTTTTTGTTTAGAATGTATAAATTATAAGAAAGCTTAAACTATTTAAAAAAGTAATTCACCTTTAGAACTACTTTATCAACGTGTAAGATAGGTGGCATATTGATTAAAAATAAATAGAACTTCGTGCAATAATTGCTCTGAGCAAATCCAGAGAGAGTCGCTAGTTAACAAACATATTCGAATGGGAATTCGAACGACTTAGAAATATTTTTTACTCTCGTGAAATTTAACGATTCATTAATTATATTCTGATTATACTGAAAATAGTGTTTAGTTGTTTTATAAACTTGGTTGAATTTTATTTTTTTAACTATATCATATTTAAATCCCGATAACGTTTTTCATAGTTGTGTAACTTAAAATATTATAAATACTTTATATATCATTGCTTTGAATAGTAACTGTACGTTTCAGATATGTCGGTTTTGCTGGAATCGCATACGGGAAGGCGAGAATGGCCTCTGTCCGGCGTGTCGGAAGGCATACCCGGAGAATCCGGCAGACTTCACTCCGCTCAGTCAGGAGCAGGTAAACATCAAAAATTAGGCAGATGGATTGATCTGTATTCATCATCATTGCCTTGCCTTTATCCCATTATTTGGGGTCGGCGCAGTATGTCATTCTCTTCCACTGCTCTCTATCGGTCGTCATATCTAAACATACTCTTCTTTTATTCATATCATCTTTCACACAATCTATCCATCTTTTCTTAGGGCGTCCCCTCCCTTTACATGATCTGTATTCATAATTTATAAAAAAAAATTGCCGTCATGTGACAGTCAGTCTCAGTGAATGATTAAATTTCTAATTAATAAAAACCAATATAAAAATATAAGCACGCGGTAAATATGTTAAGTATACTGTGGTTGGATATATGTAGTAAGAGGCTTATATGGAGAAGTACCTACACGCATGAGAGTCGAGAGCAGAAAGGAGAAATGAGAGTAACGACAAACTGGCCGAATTTAGTGCCAAAGTGCGTTAATAGACCTTTTTCGTTTCCCCCTTTCAAGTTAAATAAAAACATACATGTTCAGTCATGTATTGTGACAAGTAATTTAGTGAAAATGGTGAGTAAAGGCATACATCAAATGGTGATGATGTAGGTGGCAGCAATAAAGACGGAGAAGAAGGCTCGCGAGCAGAAGCGGCGCAACAAGACGATGGAGTCGCGGCGCGCGCTCGCAAACGTGCGCGTCGTACAGAACAACCTCGTGTTCGTGGTGGGCCTGCCCGTACGCCTCGCCGATCCAGAGGTACCTATATATCTACGTCACTTTCAACACACGGTACACTACAGCAACACACCCAAACACGAGCTCGCACACGTGCACACATAAGGGCTGCTATTACACTATCCTATATGTGGTATCGTATAATAATAATAACTAGTGGTCGCCTTTTAGTGAAAATTCGACAATAATTAATTTTACATTCAGTAAGCCTATAGATAAATAATATTAAAGACAAACTATATTAATCTATTCTCAAATTGACCCCAGACTAATAATAAACAACACACATAAAGGGTGTTATTACACTAACCTATCTGTGGTACTATATAAGTCCCAAGCTAAGCAAAGTTGTGTTATGATATATTCTTTAATGTAATGTATTTCTAACTAGTATCATTTACTGTCAAATATTCATGTTCATATTTTAGGTTACGAATAAAAATAATTTTTACTTTTACTGATTATTTGTACTCAGTAATTATGACAGCAGTAATTGTTAAATATATTGTTTCAGATTCTCAAACGGCAAGAGTACTTTGGCAAATATGGAAAAATTCACAAAGTAGTTATAAACCAAAGTACAGCATATGCAGGGACACAGGTAGTAATCAAAATATTGTTTTCAATGTATTTCGTAAACAGTTGTTAAAAATTGTGAAAATAGGAATAGAAATATCTAAAGAAAACAATTATTTCCATGTCTTTTTTCAAAATATTTAACAATTTCAATTTACTTTTAACATATGTTTTTAATAATCGCATATCCGTAATAATACTATAATTCATATAAACGTTAAAATATTCAAAAGCCTAATTTAAACTATGAAACCTGTGCTGTGGGATAATGATCACATACACATATGCGCAACCTATGGTTTATTCTAATGTATAATATAGCTTTTATATCAGAATAACAAATAGGTGACTATATAATTAGACAATATGTTGCCAGGGCCCGTCGGCGTCTGCGTACGTGACGTACGTGTCGCCTTCGGACGCACTGCGCGCTATCCAGGGCGTCAACAACGTCAGCTTGGACGGCCGCGTGCTCAAGGGCTCGCTTGGGACTACCAAGTACTGCGCCAACTTTATGAAAAACCAGCCCTGTCCCAAACCTGACTGCATGTATCTGCACGAGCTAGGTACGTAAACAATGGCTAAACGACATATACATATAAACTTATTATTAAAAATACTATTCAATGTGTTAATTATACACTTTTATATGACATTATTATGATTCTACCCCAATTAGATAGAGAGATATAGAGAGAGAGACCGAAAAGTTGTTTCTTGTGTATTCTATTTCAACTTTTTGCTTTAGCCGCCTAACGCAGCTTAGTATTTCGGTTACAGATTAGACATTGAAATTACAGCGTAAGAGGCTAAGAGAGAAAATTAAACATAGATTTTTTCGTACTAACTTGATCGCGCAGTTTGTGTAAAGTTTTTAAATATTATTTAAAAATTTCCACTATGCTTCTTTGGGAAAGATTATATTTAATATTTTATTAGAACTGTATTTATTTATTACACACAAGTTACTTAAATTGCTACATTTAATATTAAAGGTGATCCAAAGGCATCATTTACTAAGGAGGAGATGCACGCAGGCCTACATCAGGTGTACGAGCGGAAGCTCCACAACCAGTTGTCACAGGCGCAGCGGGACAAGCCAGATGAGAAACAATGTAATAGTTCAGGTATATTCTATATCATTTATATCACTGTCATTAGGGGTGGACTAACGCCTAAGCAACTTAGGCACGTGAGGTGGGAATTGTTAGTAAAGTGGATAGTTTGCTATTGCTAACAATGTACCATGTCAGGTTCGCCTCCATGCGGTCCCATCTGGTCGAAACTTAGTGGTAAATTTCTGGTAAATTCACTACAATGGGCAAACTGACCTGACTTCATGCTCGTCCTATGATCCTTTACTAGTGTACCGCCGTATACATTTAACGCAGACAGGTGTACCATTAAATTATCAACGCCAAATAACCTAGGCACGTGCCTAGCGCCGTTATTTTTTAAAGCTACCAAACGCAAAGTATTTGTCTTGACTAAAAAATAGCGCCAGAATTCCAATGTTGGCCTTAGTGGCCTTAGTGCGCCACTGACTGTCATTATTTCTTTAGGACAGAGAAAACAAATGTAACCGAAATCGAATTTCCACTATATTTTACGTTTGCTTTTCTTTTGTACTTTTCTTAAGTTTTAGTTTTTTAGTGTTGGTTATGATTTTTTTTTCATAAACTACCTATTCACATCGTTTTTGTAGGGGTGTATAGTATACATATGTGATCGGGGTCGTATAACTACAGTAGTATTATACAGGTAGAATAAATTATCGAAATTATATTTTGAAAACGGTCGCTATGCGAATGTGTGTGAGGCATTTTTACACTATCGCGTTTAATACACATTATTAATCGAATAATTTTATGGTAAATAACTGTCGAGAGAGGTAAATACCTTTATTTACCATAAAATTATTCCTTTTAAATCCGTTTTTTTTTGTAAAAGTATAAAACGACGTACTATTGTATAAATTAGTTACTGAAAACATATTTATACTGTAGGTAAACAAAGCAGTTTCAGCAAGGTAAATGAATAGACATGTAACTTACTTGTAATCAGAAAATAACAAATTTAGAATATTCCTATTCCAATGACATTAGAGTTTTCCCATATCCATAGCAGTTAGTTTTCCAGAATATACTCATATGGATCATATTAAATATGTGAATATTATGAAGATATATCGTAAATGATTACAAAAGTATTTATATAAAATGTTTGTAAACATTAAATTTGTCATAAATTCCAAAGTCCTTATCATTATCATATTTTGCTATCTGATACTCAATTTACTAAGATACTCAATAATGGGTATAAAAACAATAGATAAATTTAGATCGTGATTCTCAAGTTTATTTCGATGAAAATATCTCTGAAAGCTATATAGTTAATATAGCGTTAAATGAATTATATCTTAATATACTATAATAATAATAATGACCCTGGACAATTAGTTCTAAGCAGACAACTAATATATATGTTTAAATACATTTTTTGTAAATTCATGCATAATATACAATAAAACACTAAGACCGATATAAACATAAATACAAATGTTCAATAGAACCCGCGACCATCGGATATAGGGCGTTGTAGTAAACCGCTACCCTCGTAAGGCAATATAACGTGACTAGGAAAATAGAATAGGTAGGGTAACATGCAATAGATAAGCAGCAAAAAGTGTATTTCTCTGTCGTAAATACCAAATTGAATGACGATTGATATGTATGATTCTTTGTATACATTTCACAGTAATATAAAATATGGTTAATTTAAATGGTTATAATATGTCTTCATTTGCTTAGGGTATAAAGTGGGCAAGTTGTCTGTGTTGGCCACCACAGCGGTAGCAGTCTTTAAGACAGACAGATGCTATAACTTTATATTATTAAATAATTCAATGAACTTGGTGGACAGGTAACTCTAGTACGGGCGCAGAAAAAGGCAGTTCAAAAGATGGTAAGTATTCAAACTTAAACCTACTTCGTATATAATTTTATGGTTTAATATCATGTTCATTATATTACTAGTCTATTTTACGGTGTTGTCTTCGTAATAAATAATACAGAAACACAGCTTAGAAAGTAGGCTGCATGATGAAATATCTCTTCAATATTTATGTTGGTTTTGTACTATTTTCCACACCATAGTTTGCTAACTGTATGTTATGTATCAGTTTCAAGGTTAATATGGAAACTGGAAGATAGCTTTCAAAGAAAGTCGCACCTGGGAGAAATGATTAAAGGTTATAAAAATAAAAAAAACCTTACAGACCCGCGCATCTTGTATTCATCAATACTTACATTCAATTACATTCAATACAATACTTGACATTTATTATTATATTTCGCCCAATTTACACATCTTTTTAAATTATAGCCTGTGTTATTCTGATGTAGCTATATTAATGTAAAGTCATCAGTCATCACAATCCGTTCAGTAGTTTTCAGTCCATTATCAATAACGACCTAAACAAACCTGAAATAATTTACTCGACGACGCAGGACAGATGTGTCTGACGAAGAAGAAGTAGGAAAGCCGACCCAAAATGAAATGAGAAATGGCTAGGCAGAAATAAACAGAGACTTATACTATATGAATTTATATGTGTATATATTCCTTGTGGCGCGTATTATTTATTGTACCTGTATCCTTCTCAATTCTTCTCAGTCACTCAAAGATTGACTGGAAGAAATCACTCTGTTGTAATAAGTCCACCATTGTATCCATTTATTTTCTAATAAAGTTTCTTTTTGTACAAACTGAATGACAGTGATTATCATCCATTAAATCTCTGGTACTTATAATGTATATTTTTTATTTCCAGGTAATCAGTCGAACGTTACACCGACATTAGCGGTCACATCACCTAATATAAATATAGTCAATTCTACTAAGTGAGTATGGTTGTACCATAAGGGTCGCGTCCACCGATGTGATTAGCGTGATGTACTATTGCTACTCTCTTCTTTATTATTTTCTTTTTATTATTCTTTTTGTTACTCTTCTACGTAATTAGTCATGACATTGAATGAACATGAAACAAAGATTTCTCTTCTTGCATTGGTGTACGCGTTCCAGGAAAACATTAACGAATGATAATTTCGTGATTCATAGTATTTGCTATACACATACACACTGTATATGTCTATTGGCACATAAGATATATGTACATAGGCGGTATGTTAGTTATTTGATGCCTATATCGCGAGGTGTGTTCGAAAATGGATCAGAATCTCGTTATTTATTTAAATACTGAAACATTCTTTTGATACCGTCTTTTAGAATTTTGAAGCTTGAGTTGATCTTTGATTTATCATTTTATTCATTCAACGTGTCGTATCACAAATACTAATAATAATACACATTAACATAACTATAATCGTACTATTGGCCAATAAGTTAATCTGTGCCCACGGGTTCACTCTCATAAAATTTATAGGCTATGTGTTATTCTGATGTATAAGCTGTATTAATGTTAATACATTAATATCCAATCAGTAACTTGTGCCTGAAAGAGTAATAAACATCTATGCATACATCCATCCATACTCACAAACCTTCTCGTTTATAATATTAGTAAGATGTATTATTAATTATATATAAAAAAAATACAATATATTGACAGTGGTTGTATTAATGACAGTAGTAACGGTAGCAGCGCGAGCGGCAGCGATAAGGGTAGTGGAACTAATGGTGTTAGCAGCGGTAAAGAAGCCTGGCCCAGCCTCGGTTCCTCGCCGCCATCAGACAGTCCAGCCAGAAAACAGCCCAGTCCCAAGCCACAACAGTCTACGGGTAACAATGTTTTACTAATATATGGCTATTTATGTTCATATTTAATTTTGTTAAGGAATAAAACTTGTAGAATATAGCTATTTACAAAATCGTCTGCATGGTTATGTTTGTCTCGCCTTTATTTTGTAGCTTAGCAGCTTGGTTTATTAACTGAACTATGCATACTGTATCGAAAATGAAGAAAGTAAGTACTTAAATGCATATGCTTTGGCATACAGGTAGCTGAAAGCTATTTGAAAAAAATATGCAATGACATTTTTTCATTATGGACCCAGAGTGCGACGATTTGAGGTTGACGTACAATTACCGTCCTGTGGGTAGTCAGCTAGTTTTTCATTCCAGTTACGTAAACAAAATTTATAAAACATTTTAACTTGAAGAATTTACTAAATTGTACAATTTATGATTACAGTTAAGTCACAAGAAAATGGTACATCAGAATCTTCAAGTCCCACACTCACACAACAACAGGCTCAAACGAAACAGAACAACAAAGAGCACATAGAAAGCAAACCAAACAGAAGCAATAAAGACAGTAGCACAAATGGACACGCAAAGAAGAGTAAATCAGAGAAAAAACAGAAGAATAATAGCAATAGTAATAGTATAAACGAAATGGAAACAGAAACAGAACCGCAGCCAAAACCCCCTCAGAGTAATAGCACACAAGCACAGAATACGGCGTTCGAGAACGACACGCATACAAGTTATTTATCAAACGAACTGAATGAATTAGAATCAGATAGACACAGTTTGCTAGAAAATCATGATTTATTAGATAATAGTGACCACGGCCTTTTAGAAGACGACAATACCCACAACCTTCTAAACGATAGCAACAATGATGCAATGATGATGTTGAGGCATAAAGAAATGTTTGCGGGCCTAGTAGACAGTAATCACGTACCGCCGCATATGAAGAGCCCGCTAATGAATGGCTTCGGTATATTAGACAGAGATACAAGTTATCTAGGTAATGATAGGCAGATTAATCAAATTAGTCAAAAAATTGCACTTCCCAAGGATATGAGAAGGGAAGAACTGAATAGAAATGAAATGTTAATGAGACACAATGAAATGTTAGCAAGACAGCGAGGCGCAATGGAGCACAAACACTACCTGCCCGCCTCTAGTATAGGACTTGAGTCTTCTAGTGAAATGTTAGGTAAGACATTATATATACATAATTTAGTACCCTCTCTGGATTTTTTATTGATGATATTATTTCATTGAAATTTATTTTTGTAATTTCTCCGATTTCAGCTAAAATTATGATGAATTCTGAATCTAATAATTCAGTAATGGGCGTTTATTTTTTATATTTTTTTATGCGTCGGGCTCCTCAATTATTTAATATTATATTTAACTTGTAAATAGACTAAACTTACGACTTTAAAATACTTTGTGTGGTTTGTTGGTTGATAAACTGATTAATTAGACTTTATATTTCCAGGTGCTAATTATCATCCAAATCCCAATATGCTTCCACCTTTTGGTATGCGAGTAGATAATTCATTGGGTACAAGTACACTAGGCAATTCCTTATCTACCACAATGTCAGCCAGTTCCTTGGGCAGTATGGCGAGTGGTGTTCCAAACTCCATGGGCCTCGCAACCAATTCAATGAGTGGCGGGTTCATGCTTCACAGTCAACAGTTGTTACAAAATCAACAGTTGCAAAGTCAACAGTTGCAGAGCCAACAGTTGTCGTCAGGCGTCGTAAATGGATTTGACGGCCCCCAAACATCAGTAAGTTAAATTGTTTACAAGTTACATTATGATATATCAACATAATCAAATAACTATACTTATTAATAAGAAACAATGTGCGGCATAATTTAGTATATATATGTATATATACATGCACTGCGGCTGAATAATATATTGGGACTTTAATTAATTAATTATTTTCATTATTTTGGTTGTTCTCTTATACTGTACATATTTACATTGTACGTACCTTAATGTACAAGGGTATAGCAAGGTTATATAATATCTCGAGAAAAACTCCTACAAAACTGCATTGTCCGAGACTACTTAAGTTTCAACCTGTGACGATGATTTCTCTGTCGATGAAAAGTTAGCTAGGTAGATGTATGTTGTTACTTAGAGAATATAATGTAGCGATTGCATTCCATTGCAGAACGAGGGTCGATACATGGCGGAGAACATGGATAAATTCTTCACGGACTTCCACAAGGCACAACAGCGGCGGTTACTGATGTCACGGTCCGAGGACTGCTACTCGGAGCCCCAGCAGCAGCAGCAGCAGCAGACGCAACCACAAACCCACTATCACAATATGGTCAGCGCTGAGCGACTAGAGATGGAACACAAACAGAGGTAATGACTTCACCACAATTCTATATAGTGAGTTTTTTAATGTGATGATAGAAAGATGTTCCGCCTGAGGATGATACGATGATAAGCCCGGTGAGATATCCCTTCGAGGCAAATGCTCTTTCTCTTATTGGTTGATAAAGTATATACTGTACTATCCTTTTTGAAGCCTTGAATTGAATGTACCTGATACGCGAGAAGTTTCAAAGCTTTAAACATTGTAAAAGAAAACATGGAGATAATTAAAAGGTTGATGTGACAGCGATATGTGAATGCAGCAAAAATGATAATAAAATTTATGAATATAAAATGTATCAAGGAGTAAACCTTTTTCGGGATATATTCACTACTCTGGGGAACATAAGTATGAGATTTCTGGATACAATAAAAATCTATGAAATCCTTTGAAAAATTAGTCCTTAATTTATTTAAACTGATAGTATATAGTAAATAAGTGAAGTACCGAGGAGGTCGTCTCTATACGTGCAAGACATTATGGTAATCGCAAAATACATCGTTACCCACATACCATGTGCATCATATCTAGCGTTGCCATTCCTGAATATTAATGGGTTGTAACTCTGTAGCTTGTAATTCTATCCTTTAATGAAGTTGCATCGTAAATGCTTGATAATCTAGTAATTGTTAGTACCTAATAATTTGCATCATAAAAATGTATCACTTCAGTATAACTAATTGCAAAATGGGAGATCCAGCTCAGATAAAACGATTACACAGAAAGATATATACCAAGCCCTAGTTACTATAGCCGGATCGTCGTATGTTCCCCTGGAGGAACCGCCAACGATCTTCCTTGTTACGCGAGGCACACTCCAGATCTGGTTTCCACTATAGGCTACAGAATTTGATAAAAATACTACTTCATAAGGTTCTTCTTGCATATAATATACGAATTTTTATTTTTAATAAACACAGCTACGTTGCAACTATCGTTTCGCATCGTATCGACACTCAACTTTAATTAGTAAAATGCGAAATGTTTGCTTTCAGATTGAACAATATGCGAGTAGTTGACGGCATGGGTGTTGGTGTCGGGGCGATGATGGGGTCGCGTGCCTCCGGTGACGGAGACGATGACCTCGACTTTGACCCCTTCAAGGAGACACAAAAGGCCCTCGCCGAGCTCATGGAGAACGAGATGATGCAGAACACTGTGTCTAGCGGGTACGTTCACATTGCAATACTACTAGTAATTTTTGAATCTTGTTAGCTGATGTTCAAATCCCTAGATGTCCTCAGACTCAAACTAAAATCGTTGTCAGGAGAAGTTGGCCTTTAGCCGCTCCATATGTTTTTCCTTGGTTTGGACATTGCACTTGTACTTTCGTCTGGTAAAGCTATAAAGTGTAGAAAAACACTTTTGCATTTTATTTACTGCAGCACTTTTAAGTTTTGCGTTCGAAAAATAAATGACGGTCTGTTGCTCGCATTGATGACTGGCTTATACCTAATACTCGTGAACGACCGATGCTGCAGTGATTTATCCACGATTTTCAACGACTGTTTTGTTAATTCTATTTTTATCTTTAATATCTTGATTTTTTATAATATTGCGCTATTTCATAGTTTGTGAAAAGAGTAGTTCCCTTTCTTTATGGATGAATTAGCATTCAGAATATGACGGTAGAATAAAAAAAAAACATTATTCAAACATACATAAATAATTGCATTATTATTTAATATTATATACTCTAGTGTGGTTTCAGAACTTTTACTTGAAGACAGATATATGTTAACTTTTTCTTGATATAACATATATCATATGAATCAATAATAAATATGAACTATTTGCAGTGATAACATGGAGCGAGTACGGCGTGGAGGCCCTCGGTTGCCGCCGCCCGGGTTCGGACACGTGACGCTCGGCCAGGGACCCCGCCACCACCAGCACCAAGGTAACAAACACGCTGCCCGCCTCCATTCTGATTTTACTCTATTTATTAAGTATTCTTTATTAACCACATCTATAAAAATGTGCGGTTTAAGAGAACTCGATGCTTTTGACTGCCGGTCAACCTTTGGAAAAAACTGTATATACATGAAATACTATTGAGACCTATGTCGTCGAATTCAACTTCGTTTTTTTTTTATGACAGTTTCAAATTCTGATAATATTTTTTATTAGTATAAAATACGCATATTAATGAAATGAAATATTTACAAAGACAAGTACATATTTAATTTTAAATCAACTGTTAATTGAGCACATTTTATTCGTTTATAGGTTACAACTCAAATAACGTAGCCATGTTCTCAGACTGGACTCAAATGGACCCAGCGATTATGTCCACGTCGGTAAACTTTAGCAAGAACGTCCAGCAACCACAACAGAGCCTCAACCAGCAGCAACAGGAACTATTCGCAAAGTTCAATCAGCTGGGCGTCCAGCCCAACGGTGTAAATAAATTACCCGTGCCACTGATTCACCACCAGTGGCACAGCTCGGGCAGCCAGAAGCTGCCGCTGCAGTGGGGCGGCGTGGCCTACAATAACATCCCCCTGCCCCCAGGGTTCGCCCCCGCCAAGACCTCCCAACATCCCGCCGAATGTATCGACGCCAAGTAAACACAAGTGCAATCTAAAATTAAAGTCTCAGACAGCGGATATTATATTTTCTATTCAGTAATATTATTGTTTCTTTCCGTTGGTGATGTGATCGATAAATCTTTGTATTAAGAAGAGCATATTTTAACGAGAGAAATATGATAACAAAGGAATTTGTAAAATAAATTAACCTATTTGTTTTATTTAATGAAAGTTTGATTTTATTCTTTATCGTTTCTCATTCTGTCTCGGCTCACTGTCCCCATTTTGTATTATCATATTTCTTACATTTTTATTCGTTTCACTATGCATGATATATGTATATTAGTTATTTTATATATTTACTAGAATCATATCCCTGTTATGACAAATTATATTTTCTATATTAAAATGAGATGCCAATAACTCGCTGTTCCATTTGTACCTTATTGAGCCATTAACCATGAAGATCATTAAATTAAACCAAGAATTAATTACATTCATTCTTTTAATGGAAACACCTCCATCTCACAACTATACCACACAATATAGACTAGACTACGTAGATATTATATCACGCAACAATTGAATAATTAATTCTTTTTGATAAATGTTTCATAACTTCTAGTTATTCTATATTAAATACATATAGCGTCCGTATATACCCTTATACAATTATTGTAAGTATTATACAACATAAGGTTAAAATTAGTGAAAACACAACTAGTCGCAGACAGATGCGCCACACCCAAATAATGATTAAGATCATACAAGTAGTGCAATTTGAACTTTATTATGAATTTCGGAAATATTTTAACTATATCCGCTGCAAATGACTGAATAACGTGACGGTTATTTTAGTGACCTTCCATCATGTTTCTACTTTAGCAATGAACATTGACAGATTTTGAGAATAATAATAATAGTTATAGTTTATTATGGGTATTTTTCAATCGAAAGTAGCTTGCTTTATTAGGTGTGTGTGTATCGGTTGACGGGTGAGATATGGCAGTGTAATTACAGGGTACAGAGGCAGAACGGAATGGAATGCATGAGGGGTTCTTCGGAGGTCACATAATTACTTGATATTGGAGGTCCATGGCATAGAAGGACAGTAGCCACTTACCATCAAGTTGGTCGACTTGTTTGAGGTATTACTCATATAGAAAAATGCCAATAGTGTTAATATAATACAACGACTTATTATGTGCTGAGATTCGAGCGCTATGAATCATCATTGCTAAAGATAAATGTTGAACTTTTCCCAATAAGATGATCACGCGATAACGAGCAGTTTAATAATCTCTCCAACCTTTTGTTTAGATTGGTTTTACCTCTCCCGTTTAGATTGGGTTGCACAAGTAACGGCTTAATTCAAATACAGTGATGTCAATGTCGGTAGACGTCTGCAGTTTGTTCAGCTACCGTCACTAGATAGTCCAACGAAAAACGCTACGCATACGGCACACAAGAAGCACAGGTAAATACATACTAAGTCGTTTATCAAAAAAAGTAGACGGTAGGTATAAAAAATATGACGTGCACAAGAGGGCAAAAGTTCCTATGGAAATAAATGATTTTGAGCCTTAAGATGTCGCGGATCACGGTTATTTTACCATATTGTTGAAACTACCTTTTTTATATAGAATAGGGAACATACGAGCTGGTGACTCACCTGGTGGTAAGTCATTACAGCCGCCCATAAGCGCCCGCAAGATTAGGGGAATTGCAAGTGCGTTGTTGGCCTTTTAATTTAATTTATAATAGTTTTCACTACTTTCAAAACTATGTATAGTCCTAAGACCCAATTATAGTCTCCCATCTATGTACCCTCTCGGGTCAGGCCCGTGCCACGAGACGGCCGTGCCGTCGTGCCACAAGTAGAGGCCGCTTCCCATGGGCTCCAACGCCAGCCGTAGTGGCTGCACGGAACCCTGCTGCGGGGATACGTTGCCGCCGCCTCGCGTCATATCCGACATCACATATCCGGGGTGCACGCAGTTAACCATGATACCTAAAACATCACGTAAGTAAAATAATTATTTATCTTCCTGTAAAAGTCGGGGGCAGTTTGCTACTGTATTAGAATAAGTTAAGCCGTTTTTAAGATTAGCGAGCTCAAATCTAAACTAATATTATAAACTAATATTATAAAGCTGAAGAGTTTGTTTGTATGTTTGAACGCGCTAATCTCAGGAAATGCTGGTTCGAATTGAAAGATTATTTTTGTATTAGATAATCTATTTGTCGAGGAAGGCTATATAACATTACGCAAACGGGGAAAGTTATTCATATTTGAGACCAAAGATAATCGCAATAGTGTTTTTGTTAACCACGCGAACGAAGTCGCGGGAACAGCTAGTGCATAGATAAAAATTCTTGATTTGACTACATACATCCTCCACTAAAGCACTGCCAACGTACCTACATCGATAGCGTAGGCGAGCGCACCATGCGATTCGTCCATTAAAACATTCGTAAGCTTCTAAAACTATATGCATAATCCTTTCATATTATGGCCCCGACCTCACGCGGGCATTTAAATCTTAATGAAATATCCAACCTAAACTCAGATATTACTCTATTCATGGTTCAAAACTTTGCACAAAATACTAGCTACCCACCCAGACTTCCGGGTGTACATGTATTTTATATATAAACTTTCCTCTTGAATCACTCTATCTACTCGTATTAAAAAAACCGCTTTAAAATCCGTTGCGTAGTTTTAAAGATTTAAAGCACTTTGTTTTATACTATGTAATGATGTACAGACAATAGAATTTTGGTCTGTACTTTGTGTACATTGATCACAGAAACCTGTCGGTCCTCGGTTACCTCTTCTATTTGCAAGTTTTTTTCAAACTATAATAAATAAAAAAGTACCCACATACCTCTATTTGCTAATCTGCGATGTAAATTGAAAGTATAAGCGTTGACTCCAACCTTGGAAACGACATATGGAGATTCTCCCCAGCCCTCTTCTATATCTCTATTGTCTCTTACAGCCTCTACATATTTATGAATTTGTTTACTTAATACTTCTAAAGATAAATCAGGCGAGCTAATTATTTTGCGCAGTTTCTCTGACGGTATTCGAGATAAATGTCCCGAAGAGCTTGATATGTTAACAATTTTCCCGCCATTTTCCATCATAGGCAGCATAGCTTCGCAAAAATTAACTAAAGCTGTAAAATTTACCAAGATTGTTTGTTCTGCTTGATGTAATTTTGGTTCCTTGGCATCTTTCAGATAAAGTATTCCAGCATTGTTTACAAGAATGTCAATTTTGCCGTGTTTTTCTTTTATGAAATTATAAAATTTTGTTATACTGTCGTAGTCAGTGACGTCTAGTTGATAGTACTTTGGATCTAATCCTAGTTTTTTCAATTCTTCACACGCATCTCGTCCTCTGTTGGCATCTCGTGATGTTAAATATACATTTCCATCATATTTCTCACAAAGACCCTTAACTATGGCGAACCCAAGTCCTTTATTGGCTCCTGTCACTATAGCTATCTTTTTCGACATGTTTTATTATAACATGTATCTAAAAATTATGGCAATAATACTTTTATTAAAAGTATTTATATCTAATCCAATTTTTTATATTTTCAATAGCTAATAATTAACTGAATACTTTTATAACTTGATTATTGTTATCGCCTTTATCAGTTTCTGTAACATTCTAGACGGTTTAATTACTGGGTACGAATGTTCCATTGAAACACAGTTCATCGTCATTGACATAGATAACATGGGGACATTAATACTTTACGATTCGTAAGCGACACGAGGTGATATCATACTATTGATTCAAATTAAACCACAAGGACATAAAAATGCACTTTTAGCTTCGGTGCTTTAATTATCAAAAGAAAAGTTTTGTATGGATTCTTAAGATTTTTTTCTAGATATGCTTACACAGAGTCAAAATATAGTTTTATACCTGCATAGGAGTATTAAACTGTACAGATATTCACAAATATAGTGTTTGAGCGATAAATTCAAAGCTATAATAAGTCGAAAAGTGTGAAGTTACTATGAAGCTTGCAGTTACAAGTATACAATGAATGTCACGGTTACGTTTCGCAATCGTATCGAACTCGTTTCGTCTATGCTTGAATACCGCGTCGGCTTTTTGTTCACAACGCCATCTATGTGTTCTATTATACAATTCATATATATGCTATTGACTCATGTTTATGTCATTATTTTATAGAAGCACGCGCAGAGTAAACTAACATTTGGTGAAAATTCTGGAATTGTGTCATCATGTCACTATTGCCGCTTGTTTACAGGCCTTTTGGTGATGAATTTGTGTTGAGATCTATAGATTGGTTAGAAAACTATCCGTGGAGACAAGAAAATGTTGTTAGGACAGAAAAGGACAAATATGAAATCGTTATACAAGTCAAGGACTTCGGACCGGATGATATTTCTGTGAAAACATCAAATGGATACGTAGAAATTGAAGCACAGCATGAAGAAAGAAAAGATGACCATGGTTTTATTTCAAGGCGGCTTACGCGAAGATTTGAACTTCCTTCAGATTGTCGACCCGACGATGTAATTTCTACGTTATCTTCTGATGGAATATTGACTGTTACAGCCCCAAGACAAGTTTTAGTTAGAAATAATACCGTGATTCCTGTTACACATGACAGCTCAAATTTTAAATCTAAACTTTGATATGTTTATGTGTGCAACTAATATATACATGTGATAAGATGAATCTATTTTGCAAAAGTAGGATTTCAATATATATATTTCCAAATGTTTAATACGCTGTGTAAATGCAGACTATTGTTACGTTGCAGACAGACACCAGCCATTCGCTAAAGTGTTTTTTCCAGACAATATTTTTTTCGAAATCAACTACTACATACTACCCTTAGCTACTGTGCTTTGTTGACGCTACCGTTGGTTTCCTATAATGGTCTCCTGTGTAGGTATCTACGAATATGTTTACGCAGCGCTTTAAAATATGGTGGGTATACGTGTAAATGTCTAATGGGTAATTAGACCAATTTAAGTGAATTTCGGGGTTTAGATGTTGATTAATGAAATTTGGTGTTGGATGGGACTATATACTTAAAATATATTTTTTGGTTGCCTAACATATGTATATGGAGATTAAACAAATAATATAAACGACTGCAATGTCCGACATACATGTCGATTAGTAGAGATTGTAGTTGTGATTATATTCAGAGTAATTGTAGGCTTGACATATATCTGTAAAAATTTTTTTTATGGTCTGCGAAAAATATTCGCACTGTCATGTCAATGAGGGCAAACAACCATCACAGATTATAATAATTAGGGACGCAATATTATATTGAATACGTACGCACCATATTTTCTCGTCCCCCAAATACAAATTCACTACAACTGAGATTATTTGGAGTAGTAATTCACTACGAATTTGCTGTTTTATTAAAGTGTAAATAGATGTTATATATAATAATTAAAAATACTTGTAAAAGTAGTACTTTATTAATGGCAGGGCATTTGCCGTTGTGAGCAAAAATATATGTGATATAATTTATTTAAACTGTCCTTTTGTCCCCATTGGAGAACAATGTACTACTTATCTACCACTTGTGATACCTAAATACACTTTGATTAATAAATATTTAGTATTTTATTTTAATTACTGTTTTTTTATCTAATAAAATACGTATGACGTAATAAGCGATTATCTTTGCGGCCGCTAAATGACTTGTTTTTTGCTTTTAGATAACACAATCTTTTTTGTTACACGTAATACTAGCTATGTTTTGGTCTGCAAGATTGGAATATATTGAAAGAAATCAGTAAATGTTTGCGTGAATATCTATAGATATTTCTGTATGAAAGATGAACTAGCTATTGGCAGTGAGATTACTACTTTGTTTATACCATGATAGTGGCAATCAAGCATACGGCAGATGGGCCGATTGCTTATTATAACCTATTAATGTACGAATTCATAGTTCTCAGGAATGAAAACGTGTACTATGGCGGTACTATGATAATTATGTACTATTACTGTACATAGTGTACACTATCAAACTAGGGACGATTACAATGTTTAGATGAGTCATCAGCTTGTTTCTCATTCCAATTTCATATAGAAATTTACATTTTCACATAGAATAACAGTAGAGACCTGCAAAGCAATCTCCGCAAACTATTGTGGAAGCGCGGATCCGAAACTCGTCCGAGTTAGCTGCAGGCTGCGGTGTTAGTGACAAAACTCACAACTTCAAGAGAGGGTAGGTATTACTCAAACAGTTTTCTACCTTGTCATAAAAATAGTTCAATGCTAATCCTGCGAATATTATAGACACACCTATTTGTTATTCTTTCAAATAATAAATACCGTATGGATTGGTTATAAATAAAAAATATCTTATTTCCATTTATCCAGTATCTATTTGTAATTTTAAAAATAAATTAACATCTTTTCACTAAATGCATATTGAAGTAGGTATATATACTTGCATTAAAAAAATATTTTTTGTCTGTTCTCTGTCTGTCTGTTTGTTTTTTATTTTGCATGTAATTTAAGAAAAGTTAAATTTCACGTAGACCAAGTCGTGGGTAGGAGCTAGTATGATACATTTGTGTACTATCATAATAGAGATTAAGAGATAGGACTAGAATTTTTAGGCAAATTTATGTGTGCAGCGACAAGAGTTGTATTAAAAACTGTACAAAAGTAAATATCAATAATGTCATTGTGACCAAGTACTCGTGTTTAGTGTATGTGTACTCGGCAACACGTAGTAAACACGTCTTCGCGACAGCAATTTAATATAGACACCTATGCTTAATTATATCTTGATACATATAAGATTAAAGAATTAAATTATTTACTAGATAAAATAAATAACCTATACAAATAAATAAAATTTTATTGTCTGTTTGTAATGTCAAATAAACAGCTTTTCACTAAATGCAATGAAAGTATAAACGATACTTACAAATACAAAAAATATATAATTCCTGTCTGTTTATTATTGCTAATCTCTGTAACGGCTAGACCGATTATGATGGGGCATTCACTAAGATAGGTACTGTTATAGGAAATAACTTACGATTTAGGGGGAAGAGAATTGTTAGTAATATGGTCTGATAACCCCATTCCTAGCAATATACTATGTCAGGTTGACCTCCATGCAGTTCCCTCTGGAAAAACTCGTGGTAAATTCCTAGTTAATTTGCCAGGATGGGCTAACTTAATGGATGGGATGACTTGACTTCATTCTCATCTTATCATTATCCACTGGTGCCCCGCCAGCGTAAACCGTTAGCGCAGGTGGGTGCAGAATGTCACGTATTAATAAAAATTCGACTTAAAATAAATAAGTAAAAAGATTATTTTATTTATTTTAATAAATAAAAATATTTCATATCATGGAGGCGAAGTAATAGCTAGTCTATTTTACAATTCTAGGTAATAAATTAAATTATCATTTAAGTATGGGTAAGTTGAATTGAAGATCATGTGCACTGAAATATTGGTATGGTTCTTATTACAACTCAATAAGGGCTATTTACAAAATCGTCAAATGTTTATCGATTTTAATTCATGTGATTCGCTGTTACGATATAAAATATTGTGCTTTATTGTGATACCATAAGGTTCTATATAGTATGTGTCTTGTCTCTCGCATTGCTAATATTATTAAATCGTATCCTTGAAACTCAGTTTAGGCCAAGCTATGATCTGATGCAGACTGTTCGGAGAAAATTATAAATTTGTTGGGAAAAATCCATGAGGTGAGTCTGTTGATATACGTTTATAAATAGTTTGCAGTACCTACGTATTATAGATGTAAACACAAGAAACTATGCTATTAAGTAGCACTTTATTTTTAATGAAAATATGTTTTAATGTATAATAGTAAAAAGTATGTGATGTAATCCACATAAAGAATTATTCTCTTGTTTGTATTCTGTAGAAACATAATTATGTACATAATTAAACCCCTTGGTTTTTAGTAACGTAATTCAGGGTACAGTCGACATACTAGTTAGACGCCGACGACGGAATTAACCTCAGAACGTCGTTTACATGCCGATTTTGATTCTCAGCAGCCGGCCGACATTACCGTCGAGGAGTATGAATGGCTAGCTGTGCCCGCATGAAATTTATATAGTATGTGTTATTCCGTGTATAAGTTATATTACTGTAAAGTCATCGAAATCTGTTCAGTAGTTTTTCTATCCATACTCTACATCTCTACATACTACTATATCCATACTCTCAAAAATTCGCTTTTCGAATATTAGTAAGATTCTATGATATGAGGTCTATTCCCTGTAGAAATTTGGACTATTGTGAATAGTCAAAGTCTTACCCCTTAACTCTGCTGCTGCTGTCTGCTTATATATTAATTAGTTCATTTCATTAAAAATAACACTTTATAAATTTAAAAAATATTGTTTTACCTGCATAATAAATACAGACGTATTGAAAACGTCATTATTTTTGAAGTGGGCAGTTCATTGGCAGTGGTAGGGAACTACACTCTTTTAATTGACTTCATCTGGCAAAACATTCGTGAATAATTAAAAGGATAAATTGTTAAATAAATTATTAAATATCTACGCACATTATTAAAAGGACGTAATTATATTACGCATCTTTGAACCCTATGCAGTATTTTATTTTATTTTTACTCCAGGAAACAATGACGTTTCAAACGGAGAGCTTCGCCGAGTACGTTATTGTGGAGTACAGATGGCTGATAGTGATCGTTGCATTACTCCCAATATCGTTGTTATGGAAGATCTGGTCCACCTTCAGGAATTGGTTGGTGTTCACGCTGAACAGCGCTCCCAAGATGCACGATAAGAAGGTCAAAGATGTACAGAAACAGGTACTACTAATTTGTAAGTTCTATTCAATGTTTCCAAATGAATTATTTATTAATAATATTTTACCAAGCTACCTTGCAATAAAAGTTCCGTCAAAATCGGTCCAGCCATTTCGGAGATTATCCGAAACAAACAGACAGACAAAAATTGTAAAAAATGTTATTTTGGTATATATTTGTATTCATACGCATGTAGTAAAAAACGATTATTTTAATATTACGAACAGACACTCCAATTTTATTTATATGTATAAATTATTACGTGTTCCGCTTTGAAGGCTTTTCATAGCGATTTTTTCGAAGGATTTTGACTGTCCTATTTCACATATCGCACACCTTGTACAGTACTGGATTAACTCATATTTGTTATGATCGTCCATAAAAATCGCTACCACATAGCACAATGATTGATTCCGGAAACCACGTGGTCAAACTGATAGAGACTAACACTGTTAACTTCATTCCTAATAATGTAACATGTCAGGTTGACCTCCACGCGGATCCGCCTAGAAAGTATCGTGATAAATTCCTGGTGAATTTGTCACGATGGACTAACTGACCTGACTTCATGTTCATCTTATCGTACTCCACTGGTGCCCCGCTAGCGTAAACAGTTAGCACAGGCGGGTGCACCATTCCATTATCATCGATTGAAAAATACTTGTTACTGACAATTCCCTCCTCTCCATAATTAAAATATGAGGCCCATAACAATAATGCAATATAGTTTTATTAATTATCATTACCTTTATCCCATAATTTGGGGTTGCCGCAGTATCTCAATTTCCACAGGTGGCTCATCGGCTCATCGGCTCCATCAGCCGTCATCTGCGTTTAACACGTTTAATTTTATGAATATAATCATTCACACAGTCCATCCATTCTTCAGCTGTCCCTGCCCCTTTACATATTTTAATTTATTTATTATAATTCAATTAAACAATAAAATAAAATAAATATTTTCAGGTGAAGAGGTGGTTGGCAGGCGACCGTAGCACTCGACTGTGCACCGCTCGACCCACCTGGCAGACTATGTCATTCCGTCATGGCATCTATAAGAAGACCTCTACCAATATATCTGTTAATCTCGTGGATGTACTGGAAGTGGACACTAAGAATATGGTAAAGTTATCTACTTAATTTTTGGTATTTCTATAGGTAAATAATAATATAAGATAAAGACTCGGTGTACGGGGATTTTCAAGTCAAGGATAGTCAAGAAGGAACACAATTGTACAATCACAGAAGCTTAAGTACAAACTTAGAATATAAAGATATTTTTTTAATATAAAGTTTTAATGAAATAAAATAGTACTACATATATAAATTAATTATTTATGTACATTATATAGGTATAGGTATAGTCTAGACACGAATTATGTACTGATATCACATATAAAAATATTGTCATGAGAAAGTGATAGTAGAGTTGATAAATAAAACATTTTTTAAATAATATTGTGAAAAACATTTTATGTCACTCATAACGACCACGAACGACTCACCTCATGGTAAGCGGTAACCGTCGCATAAAACACATGATCAGCACTACGGATATAACGTCATTATTTGGCGCCCATGGAGCCCCTGCTTGCTTTGCCATTCCGACTCTAATAACTATGGATGCTGAATTCCAAAGCATTTCAAAATGAATGTTAAATTATACAGGTGTTCCTAATCCCACTAGAATTTCAGATAAGTTATTGTGGCTAACGGCACTTTATCATTCAACATACGTCAAATGACATAATCAAACTAGCTGTGTCGTCGTCAACCAATTTATACACGAAACGATAAACTTGATAATATTTAATTCGTACCTACCATGTTGCCATGCAAGAAAGTTATGCCTAATGTCCATGGGTACAGATAGACTGTAAAAAGTCGTTAGCGTGAGTACCTCAATTTCACCTATTTCAGCTGCCAAGCAGCTTGCTTTGTATGCTGTATTTCAGATGAAGGGTGCATATTAGACAGTGCACTTACAGGATAGGAGCCATGATATCTCAGTTCTCTGGAATGACAACACATGAATGGTATCACGTGGATTATGTGATAAGGTGATATCCATAGTGTTCTTCATGTATATAAGCGACGGTTTCCGCTTACTTACAGGTGGTCAGTTTGTTAGCTATTCCATTTACATAAAAATGGTCATTAGATGGCTAGTCATCTTGTTTGTTAGTTACATTAAATAGGCGTACTTAACTTCTGAATCAGGAGAAACCTCGACCCGTTGAAGAATAAGTGGTAGAAATCAATTATTCTTCGCCGAGTCGAGGTTTCATTATATCTCCCGTAATATATTATTTTTGTTACCATTTCCGAGAATAAAGGTATGATACCTCCGAATCGGTTAATTTCACGAATATTTTTTAGTTTTTATGACATCTGATCTGGAAAACAAATGTACATTCCAGACAGTTCGTTGCGAGCCTCTCGTCACGATGGGACAACTGTCACGCACCCTCGAACCTTTGGGCTTGGCATTGGCAGTGGTTCCCGAACTTGACCAGCTGACTGTGGGTGGTCTAGTCATGGGTACAGGCGTGGAGACATCCTCGCACATTCATGGATTGTTCCAACACATTTGTCTCCAGTACGAGCTAGTGATGGCTGATGGATCGGTCGTCACTTGCACTAAGGTAAAAATTATTTTTTATAGAAATACTAGCGGACCCGCATATGTCGTCTTGCTTGGTAAAGCAGCTCTTCCTCCTTTTCTAACAGTGTTTTCAAATCATCGAAGAACACATTAAAATATACAAACAAATTTTAAATCATATCGATCCATCCGTTTAGGTTTAGTTACATGATAAACACATGTACAGAAGAAGTATATACATTAAAATTAAACTATACTAATATACTAGGTCAGTTTTAATATATCAAGTCAAATTTCTGATACACTAATGAAACCATTTTAAGTGTAAATCTGAAAATAAATTTTGAACATTTCATACTAAATTAATCACGTAATTGTTTGTATGAAAGAGTAGTGTCACAGATAACATAATATTACATAGTAGTATGTTGTTAGTAGAAAAGTAAATTTTATTTGCAACTCTTGGTTTTATAAATATGTTATTTGACCTTGAACTATTCAGATCGAGGTATATATAAAAAAATCCGAATATATGCTTTGTTGTGCTACTACCATAACGTTTCGTTCTAGGACGAGAAACCAGACTTATTCTATGCCGTGCCCTGGTCCTACGGAACCCTAGGCTTCTTGACTTCCGTTGTGATCAAAGTCGTGCCAGCGAAGAAGTAAGTTTCTTGTTTTTTTTTAGTTGTACCTGTAGGACTGCGACCTGCAGGGATCTACAATAGTAGATTACCCTTACCCTTTTTTCGGAGTTGGCCTCCTAATAAATCTTTTTTTCGCCTTCCATCATAGGTAATCCTTCAATTTGCGCATCTATCTGTGATTCTTCACAAATATTCACGAAGTATTATTTGTACCCGTAGTAATAGAGTCAATTGTAAGGAGTATATCATAGGGTACTCGACTTCCACGCGGTTACCCTGGAAACCATCGTGGTTAATTCCTTGTGAATTCTTCGTGATAGACTAACTTACTTTACCCCATGTTCATTTTATCATCCTCCATTGGTGCCTTTCCAGCATACACCGATAGAGCAGATGGATGTACTATTTCATAATAATTTATTTATTCGTATAGAATAATCGAAGTTCTGATAATTTACTAGGTATGTACGTCTTCAATACGAGCCCTATACAAGTTTAACAGAGTTGGCGACGAGGTTCTCTAAAGAGTCATTAGATAATAAACCACATCAGTTCGTGGAAGCGCTTCTCTTCACCAAGGATACTGGTGTTGTGATGACAGGAGATATGGTGGATGAGGTCGGCACTGACGGAAAGGTAACTTATAGAATTCTATAACGGAAAAATAATATATTATATATGGAAACTTAGTACGTACATCTCCGCTAATATTATAATCAGTTTTATTGAATGTATATTGTTGATATAGAATCTTCAGAACATCCCCTAGAAGGGATAACATTGAAAAATAAGGGCACGATTTTAATTCCATCACGATTTACACTTTTAAGGCGACTTTTTTTAAGAATATTATATTGATTTTAGTTAAATTGCATTGGAAAATGGTACGCAGAATGGTTCTACAAACAAGTAGAAAGACACTTAAAGAAGTTTAAAGCGGGTAATAAACAGCCAGCTGTGGAGTACATACCTCTGAGAGACTATTACCACAGGCATACGAGAAGCTTCTTCTGGGAATTGCAGGTACAGTTAGTCTGTTCGTAACTTAACATTTATTAAAATTATATATGTTTATAGAGACCAATAAACTCATCTCTCTCTATCTCTATTTTGCGTCATTTGTCCCCGTAAAAAGTCAGATACTTGAATATCTCAGTCTCGCATAATATAGTATAGTAAGTTGCTTTATAAGTTGTATTTCGGTTGTAGAATGCAGATTGGTCAGTGAAATTACAGAATAAGAGGCAAGATATTCCTCTGGAATGGCATGTGTGGTCGACATATTATAACATGATGTATATAGGAAACGGTTACCTACCGCTTACCGATAGGTAGGTCGTCTTCTTGTTTACCATTCCTATTGCATAAAAAAATGATCGGGATAAATTTACTATAGACGAAGGCATCACGTTCTTTCAAATGGGCATTCAAATTCGAATTTCATCTACGGCTAATCCAGACTCTTATGATATGTCAAGTCTACCGTCAGTTCGGAATGATTTCGAGATGAGAAGAACTGACAAAAAACTCAGCTCGTAATCTTTTCAAATAAATGTTGTACATGTTTACAATAATACAGATTCATTTTTAAATTCAAATTTGGGAGAATAGAGAGGCCACCAGCATATGGTATTGCAAAATGAATTAGTTTAGTCAGTGTTCGTAATCCGAATAGACCAGTCCTCACAAGCTGCACCGGTTCACGAGTACGAGGGATGAGCCAGCCATCATTGCACTCATTCGAATTATTTACTTTTGCATTTATAATATTAATAAGATTCAAGTTACTTAACACATAATGCTATTAATATTTTCAATCGCAGGATATAGTTCCATTCGGCAACAACATAATCTTCCGCGTCCTATTCGGGTGGCTGATGCCACCGGAAGTGTCGTTGCTGAAGCTGACGCAGCCAGACGCAGTCAGTAAGCTGTACGAACGAGCTCACATCATTCAAGACATGCTCGTACCTATAGATCGTTTGGAAAAAGCGATTTTGAAATTCCACGAAGAATTTGAGGTTAGTTTCTACATGATGTAGATTTTCGCGCCAATCATAATCACATTTTGACACTACTGTCCAGTGCAGGTGACAGTTGTAGTTTTAGCACTGCCACCTACATAGAATATTCCGTCCGCCCTTTTTCAAAGTTCGCTACCTAGACTCGTCAGGGACAAGAATTGAACGATATTCTTACAAGCGATGTTCTTAATCTCCTCAGGATGCAGTGTGTACTTTCCAAAGGAGTTATTTCATTCAAAAGTCATGCTGTCTGACTACTTTAGGATCCAAGCAATTTCCTTTGTAAACTACATTTATATTGAAGTGAAATTAAAGGGTAAGACATCTGAGTTCTCCGGAATGACAAAGAATGAGTGGTATCACGGGCGCGCATTGTGATGTCCGTAGTACAGTAAAGTATATAGGCGACAGTTACCACTTACCAAACAGGTTGTTTGCCATTTAAATTACATAAAAAAATAATATCTTGCAGGTGTACCCAATTTGGTTGTGTCCGTTCAAAGTACTTAACCAACCAGGACAACTCAAGATTAAATCTGGCGACTCGCAGATGTTCGTAGACATTGGGGTCTATGGAGTACCAAAGGCTAAGGGATTTGAAACCGTAAGTACATCATCGACTATTAGTATAGTTCGCGAAAATGTCTAGACAAGTGTTGGCATAGTAAGACTAGTCATTGGGGTCCCTAAAATAGGGTCGAGGGCAGTAATGGCTGGCTCACCCGTTATACAAGTGAACGGGTGCTTGTAGGGACTGCTCATATAACTATAACTTATTTATTTTACTCAAGTAGCTGTTATATTTATTTACTTTTGTCATTCATGCTATTTGTCAATTTGTTATAACACAAAATGCTAAATATGTAATGCTAAACAACATTTATTTAAACGAGTAGAGTTTCTTGTTCGTTCTTCTTGTGAGGAGGTTACTTTCCAAATGAGTGCTAGAAACAAAAAAATGTTGCATGACTATTGAAAAGCACTTATAATTTGCGAAAATTCGATGCTCTTATTTGCTCTCGTCTTGGATCTCCCTGACTATTCATTCAGGCCCATACAGTCCCATTATATTTTTATGGACATACGGTTTAACTTTATAACGCTGTTACTAATAATTCTCATTGCAAACAGCTTAAAATCTATAGTTTTGCAATTATGTACAGACTGTTTTATGGTAGCTTACACCTGCACAGAACAATGATTCACAGAAAATAGTAAACCCATCGATATTAATTTGTTACAAATTTTACTATTACTAAAAATATAAGTGATCGCTGTCTGTACATGGAAGCTATAATTTAATAATTTATCAATGCAATAAAATCCAAATCAATAAATATGCCATTTTTGTACGCGCTAATCTCTGAAACGGCCTATCCGACTTGGTACATTTTCTACTAATGTATTCTGGTAAGCATAAAAATTTGCGTCTTTTTAATTATTTAAACTATTTAATTGATTAGTTACACAAAAAAAATACCAGTTGACAAACAAAATAAAAAATATTGTTGATTCTACCGTACCGGGTATAAGTACAATAAGAGTTTACTGTAACATGTCTTTCTCTAGGTCGCTTCAACCCGACGTATCGAGAGCTTTGTCGTCCAGAATAATGGATTCCAAATGTTATATGCCGACACGTATACAACCCTTGAAGAGTTCAGGAAGATGTTCGACCACACACTATACGACAAAGTCCGAGACAGTCTACCATTTTGTAAGGAAGCTTTCCCTGAGATACATGGAAAAGTGAACAGGACTGCCAGAAAATAATGTAATAATAAACACTACTGAGATATTAAAATTAAATTAATAACAATTATATTATTATAAGTTTACTTCTGCTTACGATGGGGCAAACAATGATTACACTAGAAAACGATATTATACAAAATATTTAAGAATCTATAAATGCTTGGCAATTTTATTAATAATTAAAATACATTTTTAAGTAAAATGCTGTTTACTTTTCAGTGGTGACCCACTATTTCCAAGAATAATCTACTGAGTTTAGTAATAACCGCCAAAAACGTTGGAAATTCATTTCTAACTAGATTCTACCCGCTACTTTGTCGTGACGTGACTATAAGCACAGATAAAATAATATTATAACTGCAATTAATGCCTACATTGTTGGTTAAACAGATTAAAATTTTTGTAGATATTGTGTAACATCACAAAATGTAATATGTTTGTAGGCTACCAACCTCCTTGCATAAACTAGCCATATAACACAAACACATTTTAATAAAAAGTATATTGTCGTAATGTCAAATTGTTTCGCTTGCAAATTACTGATTTAAAATGAGTTGTTAAATTAATTATTATTTGTTATTTTTAATTCTGTTATTATATACACTGTCATATATTCAATCTTTTATTAATATCACTCCTTCTGTATATCAACACGCCAACCATAACCACTGCTGTTGACCGATTTACAAGATGGCCGGAAGCAATACCTATAATAGATATTACAGCAGAATCTGTCGTTAAGGCGTTACTTTCTGGCTGGATTTCTAGATTTGGTTGTCCTGAAGAAATTGTTACAGACCGTGGTCGTCAATTTGAGTCGGCAATGTTCGAACATTTGTCTAAGATGACCGGGTTTCAACACAAACGAACTACAGCCTATCATCCAGCTTGTAATGGTCTTGTTGAACGATTTCACAGGCAACTTAAAACTTCAATTATGTGCCATGCAAATAGTTCTTGGACGGAATCACTTCCGTGGGTATTATTAGGTATTCGAAGTTCTTTTAAGGAAGACTTACAAGCTTCTCCGGCAGATCTTATTTATGGAGAGCCGATAAGACTGCCTGGTGAATTTTTCGATCGTTCTTCAGAAGGATCGACCGATGTAACAGATTTTCTTGCACGTTTACGTACATTTGCAGATAAAATTAAACCTGTTGCTGCTTCACGTCACAGAAGTGACAAAATATTTATTTTCAAGGATTTAGCCACTACCAATCACGTTTTCCTCCGAGAAGATGCTTTGCGTAGTTCACTTCAACCAGCATATACAGGTCCATATGTTGTAATACATAGAGGTGATAAAATTTTTAAATTGCTTGTAAAGGGTAAAGAAGTCACTGTGTCTATCGATAGGCTTAAACCCGCTTTTATTCTCAGTGATCAACACGAGTCTACCAATCAGGATTCCAATATTACCACAAATCGTACTACTCGTTTTGGACGTCGTGTACATTTTCCAGACTTTTATCGCCCTTAGCCAGGTCTCAAGGGGGGAGTAATGTAGGCTACCAACCTCCTTGCATAAACTAGCCATATAACACAAACACATTTGAATAAAAAGTATATTGTCGTAATGTCAAATTGTTTCGCTTGCAAATTACTGATTTAAAATGAGTTGTTAAATTAATTATTATTTGTTATTTTTAATTCTGTTATTATATACACTGTCATATATTCAATCTTTTATTAATATCACTCCTTCTGTATATCAACACGCCAACCATAACCACATGTTCAATAGATAAAGCTAAGTAATTCCTGAGAACAAGTACTTTGTCAACATGTACACCCGTGCGAAGTCGGGGCGAATAGCTAGTTGTGATATAAAAAATGGCAAAAAAAAACCATAGAGCATTCTTCTAAATTGGATTAAATGGATTCCTATCCGTTTTTGTCTCCTAGAAGAAATATCTCAAAGTTGATTCAAACACTATTTCCGTAGAAAATTATGTATTATGTAGTGATATTTTGTCTATGCCCTTATGTTTCTATAAATATCGTATCGTACGTTAAACCAATGGAAACTACGTATAGAAGTGGAGCAAAATTATAGCTGCCTTGATATTTAGCGCGCATTAACTTACTCAAATGACTGTTATTTCAGTTTATGGCTGCCGTAACACCATTATGCTAGTACAACTAAATGTAATGTTTACTGTTGTTGTCCGTTTAGTGGAAGTTCGTACATTTCAGTCGCCTGAGCTGATTAATTTCAGCCGTCAAGAAACTTTGTAAATTTTGTTTCAGATTGTACAATTAGATTGGACTGTGAAATTATGATATGAATGAAAAATTTTATATTTTAGTTTTATAAAAATAAAAAGTTCAAATAAAGAGGATTCACCACAAAAATAGTGTCTCAACTAAAATAAAACTGGTTGTTAAAAAAAAAACTAATAGTTATTAGCGTAGTATTTAATTTTTCGAGTGATATCAAGTCACTAGTAGTATTATTACGAGTAAATTTCGTAATTTCACAATTGTTTATAACTAAATGTGACGTGCGATGAACTTTTATATCGCTTGCGGTTTGGCGGCGACCCTATCAGTTGCTCTTGACCTACTGACCGTGCCCAATTTAACAGTGCCTATTCCAGAAAGTTAGTTTGGAGAGACGAACTTCTTAGCATTCCTTGCATTTACCGAGAGGGTACCGGGTCGGTGGCGTAATAGAGAGGGAAACTCCGAGCAGTTTCCGGAATTTGTGATCTGGGTAATAGGTTTAACATACTCGCCTTCACCGCTCGTGTTTCTCTCCCTGCTCAGCCAAATCCAGTAGGAGCCTGCTTTTGGAGCTTTAGATTTACGGTCTAATAGAAACTTTATTGCAGTTCTAGACAGGCCAAGATGTTTTTGAAGATTATTGAGAGATTTCGTTAGTATACCTCTCGCTCCCACTTCGACCGCATATAAATTAACCACCTTGTCATTTTGAGTTAATTCGTTTATTGGTTTGTAACCAGTTTTATATATTTATTTTTATAATATGGTCTTTAAATATATTTGTTTCACATGGCACAGTGAGCTCGATCGTCGATCAATATTACATGTCGTCCTAAAATACACACATTCCCTTTTTTTTACGTGTGGTGTTTATTTTTTTTAGCGGAAGAATGGAGTACTCTATTTACGCTCACTTCCGCTAAATGTAGGATACAGTAGTAGAGTAAGTAGTTATATAATTATTAACCTATGTATGTAATTGTATTGCTGCTTCGAATATAATTGTTACGTAAAAAAATTAAATATAGAAGAACAATGAGCGGCCTTATCGTTAACTCTCTCTTCTAATGTAAAGCAGTCTGGTAGAGATATTTACTTCTGGTGGAATAATAATTATGTAACTAATTGTTCTTATGTATCATCATAGATATCTAGATGCAATAGATATTCCCAGCGTTGTGGCGATTACGGTCCTACAGGACTACCGACAATCCGGGACAGGGATATCAATCATATGAGCATACTCGTATAAATTCAAGATTATTACGAAATTATTATTATTACGAAGATATTGTAAATGATGGCTTTATTTCTTATACTTACATTATATATTGGCTTTACTTCCAAAGGTCACAGGTTCGAGTCCTAGCAAAAATAATTTATATCAGTTGTCTAGCCCCCATAATACAAGCTCTGCTTAGTTTGGGACTAGATAAAGTTATGTGAATAGTCCAGAGCTTTTTTTTAATATTATTATTATTTTAATACAAGTTTGTACGAGGTTATGACCATTGGTTTAAATGAATATAAATACGGTACACACCAAAATATTTTTTTTACAATTTTTGTCTGTCTGTTTGTTTGTTCCGGCTAATCTCGGAAATGGTTGGATCGATTTTGACGGGACTTTTATTGGCAGGTAGCTCATGTTGTACGAGGTTAGGGACACAAATTCAGCTAATGTAAAATATTTTATTTCTCCATACGATAGCCTCGTATGTGTTGCAACCCTGATTAATATTGTCCCATACTAGTAAACTGTCCGGCATTATGTATTAATAATAATAATTATTATAATATGATTGAAAGTATACGGCGCCGGGGGAAGTGTTTGTAAAAAAAGGGAAATCAGGTCGATCCCCACGCAGTTCAACATGAATAAAATAGATCATCGTGGTTAATTCTTTATGTATTCGCCATGATAGGCTAACTGACCGCACTTCATCCTCATTCCATTAACATATCAAAATATCATTATCTTTCATTAAAAAGATTATACGGCAACGACCTTAAATAATTATAACGCCTTACGTTAGGACAGTACAGGAAAAAAATAATGTGACAGGCTACAGTTTCAACTTAAGAATAATATAAAATAAGGTAAATAGTTGAGCCGGCAACTTCCTATTAATCTTTGTTGAAATAAACTTAATATAGGTAGGTTTTATATAGTCATTTTTTTTTATTTGGAACTCTCATTTGGGACGCAGATCTATCAGAAGAAGAATAAGCGAGAAACTTGCGTATTGATCTTCTAAATATATGTTGTTTTAAATAAATATGGTACATATTAACAATGAGGAGGGATTTTTCTGTTTATAAACCGATTGGAATAAAAAGTATAATCTGTAAGTAGTAAAGAAGATGGCATTTATAAGTTATCTCCTACCAGTTTCGTAAATTTTTATCCCAATCTGTTACAGCTAGTCACATTTTATTAATTAGAATTTCGGTTTATTATCTTAAAATTGAATTGTGACGTAAAAAAATTTAAAACTCCGAGGAGTGGGACTTCTTTAATTTCAAAATTTTTATACAAAGTTGGTAACTCTTTCAAGTTTTTGTTACACAATATCAAACTATGTCGCCACCCCACTACCCCACCATTAAAGTGTTACGTAATTTACGGATGTTGTCCAGTTATTATTTCGGAGTCTATTATACAGTCCCCCAATAATAGTTTTTCACAGAGGCGAAGGGGATTATTAGTAATGTGGACACTTGCTTCGACAGTACATATACTATACTACTACTAATAACCCCAATGCTAGGAATGTGCCTTGTCAGGTTGACGCTGTTCTCTTGAAATCATCGTGGTAAACTCATCATATCATCAGTAAATAAAAGGTCATCCATAAACAAAATTGTATTACACATATCTTTCATGAACAGACAGCGATCAGTTTCATTTATATTACATGTGTAGATTGTTGTTGGATCCCAACAGTGGACCAATAAATGATCAACACAGAGCGTGCGCAGAACGTTATCAACATAGTTTGACCTGTACGAACATATTATTACATTACTTAATAAGACGCTACCCAGTGTACCCGCATACTCGCCACTACATTATACGAAAATTGTTATATTCGAAAATATAAGATAAATGTGTGTGTTCTCAGATTATGACTGTCAATTTTAGTTTTAATGATATCTGTGAATTTAAGTTACAAATTTAAGTTATAATGAAGTACACTGTGACATTATTTATAGTGTTGTGCATAGTTTTAAGGAATGTACGGGCAGGTGAGTAATTACTTTGTACATTTGTATAAACATAAATCATATGGCGAAATATTGTATGACCCGGTCAGAATTATATTTGAACATAATAATAGTTTGGACCAATTTGTAATAAAGACATTGTTATATGTACTGTGTGTATTATAATATGATATCTATAAACATTTAATTAATAACGGTAAGTGACCAATTATTGCATATATTTAGGTACAGACATTACATCTCGAAAATGACTGTAAAGATTTCAATATTTACTTCGATCCTATATTTTTTCAAAACATGTTTTTATATAAAAAAGTTATTAAACAAAGCTCGGTCGCCAAGATACCTTATGTAGTGCTGATGTTAAACTTCACATATACATATTATATAGGTTTTATTCAAATCAGTCCAGCAAAATATTATACGATTAACTTCTTTGTATATTATCATAATTAGAAGATTTTTACTTAAATTATACATAAACTTTAAGTACAAGTTTTGTGAGTCTTATTTCTTTTTAGAACTGTATGCAAAAGTTTGAACAATTTTGGTATTAATTATCATTTAGGTAAACTTCGTTAAAATGTCTGCAGTACAACAAATACTAACTACATACACATGCATACAAGTATTATACATATTAGGTATAGTATAAAATTTCTGTGCAGATGTTAGAATCACATAATAACAATAGCTACTTTTAAGGACAGATTTAATGAAGCTTTGAAGAATTATGTATATATCAGTTCTGATTGAAACAAATATATGAACTTTGTCATCACTTACTACTATAAAGTATGACAAAATAAGGATGTACTGGGTACAATAATAATCAGGAATGTTCATTATTATTCTACAAAGACTAGTAATTATAATTGTTCGGCATTTCAATATGTCTTACGAGATGCTTTTAGGAGAAAGATAAGGTAATTTACTGCAATTAGATCAAATGTTTTAAGGCATATAGACATCTGCGTATTTTCTATTAACACTTCCTCGTTTTCTTCTTGTTTAAACTTCTTATATTAAATAGTAGGTATTATTGTAGCACAGATATACTCGTACCTGGACTAATATACTTAGCCAATCTGCTATTCTGTACTTTCAAGGGCATTTTATGGCTATGTGCTATATACAGAATACTAATTATGGACCTCCCATGCGTAAAGACATTCGATAAACCAATTTTCCGAGTTTGGTGGTAAATAAGAATACCGGATGTGTATAATGTATTTAACGGAGTAACCAGGTAAATTCAAAATATCTTTATTAATGTAAGTCTATTACAAACTCTTACAATAGATCAAATCTACCGTCAGTTTGGAATGATATCGAGACGATAAGAACTGACAAGAAACTCAGCTCGTATTCTTTTCAAATAAATCTTGTACATGTTTACAATAATGCAGATTCATTTTTAAATTCAACTTTGGGAGAATAGAGTGATCACCAGCATATGCTATTGCTAAAGCAAATAGTCTAATCAATGTTCGTAATCCGAACAGACCGGTCCTCACAAGCAGCACCGGTCCATGAGTATGACGAGCCAGCCATCATTGGCTACAGATAGTACCAATACTAAGTGTCAACAGAATTCTTAATTATTCTATTTGTAAACTTACATAATAATTAACAATTCCGTTGACAGATTTGTAAACTTACTTCTAAAATCAAAATTAATTTATGTAATTTCTTAAATAATTAAGTTTTACCTGACTGTAGGTATTAAGTTGTAATAACTGATGTCGCTAACTCAAGCAGTGTTCCATGAGTGTGTCTGTGACTATAAAAAATGTATATACTCTTTTTGAAAGGGGTGGGGGTAGATATTTCCAGTAATAGGGACTACTGAGCAACAATGTACCATGTCAGGTCGACCTCCACTAATGCTCCACCAGTATATACCTTGAGCGCAGACGAGCACTACTAAGTACTACTAAAGTAGTCTTTATCATCCATTTATTAATTTATTGTATTCGTGTCGTAGCAAACATACTCAAAGGTAAAATCTTATTCGTGTAGGACATTTTAGCCACTTATATAGTTACTGCGTACCTACAATTAGCATAGTAAATGCGACCGGCGCCCTATTGTCATCGCCACTTTTGTCACTTCCACTGAGCAAAGAATTACATCATCTGTTAATCACAGTTAAATTAAATTGAATTAAATCATTATTCATTGTGTCATTCAAAGACGTAAATATAATTTATTCATTGGAAATATTTGTCATTCTTTAGAAACTAAGAGCAATATGTAACTTGTTTTTTATGTAATCGGAATGACAAATAAACTGAAGATCCTCATAATGGTAAGTGGTATGTGTCGTCTATATATATGAATAGCATCAGGGCATCACGTTATCACATAATACATGTAATACCATTCAGGCATTGCTTAAGATGTCATGAATTTCTGCTCTGTTATTTCACTGCTTTAACCGATACTTTTTGTACGAAGGAAACTGCATGACGGTTGAAAAAGGTGATACTAAGGTAGGCAAATGACTTTGTACAAAGTCTACATTGGTAGAACTTAGTAATCTGGTTCTATAATCCATAGTTCCCCGTATCTCCAAAATTTGTCATATTTGTTTTATTTATTACACACTATTGTATGTATTCCTATTAGTATAAGTAAGTTGGTTCTCCCGCTGATTCGAAATTAGAAATACTAGGTTTCCTAGAATCGATTTCCGATTCCATTCAAATGGGTATCTCAATAAGATGGCCAGAGCCAAGGTTTGAACCCTTACCAATGCTTCCAGACTAAAGTCGTATCCATTACTTCCCTTTCACTGGTTTGTCATAATTTCGTCCAGAGAAGCTGTAAAAGTATCTGTAGCATAGATAGGCAAAGGCAAAGAATAATTGGAGAAAATTCCTAGAAAGTATAAAGGAATCTTGAGAAAATATAAGATATAGAAATAGTAATGATATATAAAAGATATAGAAGTGTATTTTCCTCAATGGTAGTCATAGAGTCTTCCGGTGTACATTCCGCCATATGTACACATAAATTTAGCTTGAATAAATAAATTAGTATTATAGGAGATCACTCACCTTGTAAACCTTGAACCAAGGTCACACAAAAAAAATTACTAAGAAATATCTACAGTGGTTAGTTATCTGCTCTTGTAATATTGTTGTAGGTACTTTTCTAATGCCACTGATCATTCAGTATAATTTATTTATATATACGCATCATTATGAACTCGACACTGGATACCGATCACCAGCAGATCTATCCCCTCCGTATCTTCATTTCAATGGAAGACATTCAAACAAGGATCTAATTGAAAAATTGAACTCACATTCTATACAAGCTGGAGTTGGTATTCGGCCGCTGTTTAAGTTCATCCGCGGGTTGGAGGCCCCTATGCACTCGTCCCAATGTTCGTCCGGTGAAACTGTAAAAGCCGCCAAACTACGAGTATCAAATGCTTTATAATAGTTAGAAAAAAAACTGTATGATGCTATACTACAGATGAGGATGGGTTTCTCCCAGCAAGCGGAATCCGTGGTCATGTAATTTAGTAGTTTAACATAAGTTGAATGAATGAATGAATTAAGTTGTTTGCTTTAACAATTGTTTTAATAATAGAAAAAAAACTGATTATTGTATTTTATTAAAAGTATATGAATCGGAATGAATTTGAGAAGACACTTTTGTTTCTTCTTTACTTAAAATAATAAATAATAATATACCTTTATGACTTGACAGTCATACGTGATAACTTACAGTCCGATGGAATAATTCCCACCTGACGTAGTCAGAGGCATAGTCAAACGTGTACTAAGTGGTGAATGCAACACCTGACATGACCATATTTCGCTGGAGATATTATAAACCAACGTGACAGATCCTGAGCCTTCCATATTTCGTTTTGGTTAGTTATCGGTGCTTCCATCACCGGAAAAATCAATGTGAAATATAAATTGACTACAGTATAACATAAATATATGTAGTAAATAATAAGTAGTTTTTGGTGTTGACCACATTTCATGTGTTTGTTGTTTTTATTGCTCTATTTATGTATCCAAGCAATTTTATAGAGGCCATAAATGACTAATTAATATTAGAATAACTCTTGTCATTGGAAATATTATGTTGAAATGTATACAGTGCATCTATGACAGAGGTCGCGAGATTATCACGCGTCGCGAATCATAAACATCCATAGAGACAAATATCTATTTGTCTATCATATCACGGAATGTCCGTGAGTATAAATAAAGGTACCTATGGCGTTTTTCATATTACAAGAATCAATAATAGAATTAATTCACAATAGCCTTTGAGATGTTATGACGAACACGAGTCAAAACATTGGGTTTTTCTAAAACGATTAAGGAAAGCTGAGTCCTTAGATTGTATGTACTAATATAAATATTTTTATATTGCCTGAAAAGTGGTTTACAGGATTTTAAAAATTATAATTTATATGTATATATACACTTTCCACTAAAATCTGACATGCAAAATTAACTAATGTAAGAAATGAATTAATTAATGTAAGAGTATACATATTCCTCAGCTTCATTTTTATTTTCTTCATTATTAAATTTGTGGGCGAGTTACTTCGATAAATTAAAGTATTCATCAACAGAATTAAAACACTTATTCATCAGCCATCTTTTTAACTCTCTTTTGAACATAATTTATCGGTAGTATTTTTATTTCATCATGCAACTTATTGTAAATTTTTCAGAAATGCCTATTTTATTGACATACAATAGGCATTTCTGCTATACAAGGTTGTGAGAGATTGATAAACAAAAAAGGTAATTTACAATTACAGATTAAGTATGTTGTGTTCACGGAATATATCCAATTTGGGTAAAGTTTGTTTTATCCTTCTAATTGATCCTTTTTAATTATGACAGCGGATTTTTTTTTATTTGTACAAACTTCTGGGTGGTTATGGAAATAAAAGGCTTTACTATTATTACTAATTATGACTGCGGAAGCCGATATTCCATCCTCTAACGGTGTCGGTAGACTAAAGTAGTTTGCGTCAGGTAAGAGATAGTCTTCAGCCTTTAGGAGAACAATTTACGAAGCACGTCTTTCCACGGTTTAGGAGTGCCTTCTGTATTCGCTCCTAGTTACGTCAGTTGAAACAGCCAAGGTCTCCAGAATAGTATTAGAATGCTAAAATAAGTCTTATTATTATTCTAATACTATTGTATTTTTATTATTACAAATAAATGTAGTTATAAAATTAATTCATAACTTTATCGACATACAATACAATTTCAAGAAGTATGAGATGTCATTATATGTATGTTATTGTACAGTGATAACATGAATGGATCTAAGAATATTCATTCATCATTAACATTATCATTAATTATTCACGTGTCATACTTCATGGAAAGGGTTTTGAGTTCATTATTTCATTACCTATTTTTTTCCATTGTTGACTTCTGTGAATCTTTTCGGATCAGTGTCCTTTAGCATTAGGTATATTAATTATAAGTTATCTAGACCTCCAATTGTGTTCTTATTAATCAAGCTGGAAATTGTAACTGTATTCCTGGTTTGCTATTCAAGGAAATTTGCAATGTCATCGTTAATATTACTATATGTTCATACGTAGCTACATCTCCATAACTGCTGTCGTAAACGGAAAAGCAGAAATGCTGACCATGGAGAGAACATATCTCTGCTCACTTCGCTAAACCGTCCATTGATGTTTTTAGTATTCCTTTATGTGATAAAGTTGTCAGGGAATTCTAAGAACACGAACTTCGTTTTATTTCTTGGGAATGAGACGAATGTAGAGAAGCTTCGTTACTTTGTTTTACACAGTAATTAATTATTTCTGATCTGTGCTGGCATCTGCTATACGATTTTTATTAACGGTTTTTATTTTTTTAATAATATTATAAAACGATGTTTTAATCTTAACATAAGCGTAAAAGCTATGTCGAGGCAACTTTTTTTACATCAGGAAAATCATCAAGAAATGATACATGAGGTAGAGACCTGAAGTATACCCAGCTAATCGAGGACACGTGACGAAAACAATCTTCCGCGACCTCAAAACTACATTACTATTTAGCCACCCAAAAAAGTCTAAATTTAATATCACATTGGTCATAAAGTAGTATTTGTTGTTTTTTCCTTGTCCTTTCTCTTTAGCTCTCAGTGGAATCGCAGGGACGCCCGATTTAAGGTCAGGAGAGACAATAAAGCCGATTATTTTATATTTCCATTTCTCTGAATAAGTTATCGTACGGTATATGAATATAAGTAAATATCGCGTTGAACATAACATATAATGTACTCAAACGCTATGTACTTATTATGATCTAGACGGTTCTACCGCTATCTGTAATATAAATTATCACTCAAAGTTTTAATAGCCAGAATTGTGCTGACGATCTTTAGGATTTATGTAGCGTACCGCTAGCACATAATTCACTTCTTCTTTTCTATAAATCACACGCCTATTAAAACTGCATTAACTTAAAACTATGAAATGGAGTTTAAATTGAAAGTCTATTTTCCAAAACTTTTGAGTTTATGCAATTTATTATAATATCTTTAAAATCTCTTGGTACTGGAATAAGATAATTAACATTTGCCAATCTAGATATGTAAATGCGTATTAAATTAATAATTATGTAGAGCTCCTTATTTATCTATATTAGTATTTGTTGCACGACGGAATTTCTTAACGGGTGGCCTCTCAGGGTCACAATAATATTATAATCAATCCTGCTATTCAGTCTGGTTATCTTGTACTAATTTGTAGCATCTACTATACCTACTAGGAACAAAAATAAGGCACTTTTACATGCAGGTCAGAATAACAGTAACATACACGTAAATCAAATAATAACTAAACAAATGCTAAATAAAGTAACAACCTCCAGTAAGGAATATATAGGCATTTTTTAGCTTTTTCTGAAAAGTTAATAGAAGCTACTAGTTAGAGCATTGTTGTTGCTATAAAATGATATTTCAATGCATTGAAATAAGACTAAAACGCTCAAACTTTCTCTACCATTTAATGTCTTCGGCAGTACATCTCAAATCATTAATCCATGTTATCATAAACACCTATCTAAGTATGTCGAATTCTTAACAACCCTACCTTTCATTTATTGTAAAGTTTATAAGAGCATAAAACATTTTTATTTTAACCAGACTGTTTGGTAAATAGGTTATTAAGTAAGTCAACAATATTGTTGTTTAAAAAACTACCAATTTTGTGTAGTTCAAGTTTAATACGGCTGTTATAAAAAGATTTATTTTAACAAAACAACTACACTTTATTTTTAAATTGAACAATTTACTGTTCGTACTCAGTTATCACCTAGATTGAACGAGATCATAATTTCATATACTCAGGACGTGCGACAATTGCGCAATGAGTCTGTTTTTTAGTATGAAAGAGTGTGCAGCTATGCATAATATCTAGATAGTTTAGTGATTAAAAATAAGTATATTTATGTATTTATTTACATAGATTTTTATTCATATGTACATGACGGTAGGAAAATAGTACCGAAGGGTAAACCAAGTTATCCGAATGACTTGGTTTACCCTTCGGTAGACATATCTATTCTACATAATTTATTCTTAGTTATTATAAAACTTCTTATTTGTAGAGCTCTCTCCAGACGAGGTGGCAGAAATTACTGAGTCATGTTGCTCTCAAGTGGAGACAATGGTCGCTGGATTCAACACGCCAGACGAGTGTGACACCATCGAACCATATTACACGGAGCCGGACGAAATAGATATTTGTCGAACTGCAATCAAAACTTGTTGTGAAGATTTTTTCAAGTGAGTTTGAAATTTTAATAAATACTCTACAACTATATATTTATACATATACTTATGGACCGTAGGTAGCTGACGTTCACTAGGTTTTATAATACGAGTACTTGGTCCTGGAGCAAATTCATCATCTTGACCTATTGCTGACTAAAGGGTTGCAGCAATATGCTGAGCAGAGTCCTTTTTAGTAGATATTTTACAGCTATTGATTTACTTTTTTAAAATGTTTTTAAATGTGTATACATGATGCCAATTCAACTTATTCAATATTGTTTGGTAAATAAATATACATTATTAATATTTTAAATATCTTCACGTTATATCAAGGTAGCAGCGACAGCATTTGTGAAGAAGAACGTAGGTTGCGTTTTAGTCCATCTAATCATACTATGTATGTAACTAACTTTATCATATACTAAATAATCAAAAGATTTTCTAAAATAATATTGTCAATTTTATTTCTAAGTATTTTTAAATATAGATACAATTCTATTTCAGACAGAAAAATGAATGTTCAGAAGGAATGAAATATGCCAAAACAAAACAATGCAGTACACCGAAATCTAAAATGGGAAAGGTAAATTATTCCATCAATTTTGATAATTATTCCTGCTGAAACTTTTTCTAAACTGTCCCTCCTGATCTCAAATGGTTACTTTAACATTTTTTCAATGTAATTGGCATATGAAATAAGCTGACGACCCACCTGATGGTAAGCGGTAACCACTGCCAATATACATGAACGGCACTACGGACATCACGTTACCATGTGACGCCCCGTGATGCCACTAATGCGTCTTATCCTGTAATTTCAAGGCTTTATCTTTTACCCTTCGACCGACGGCTTTTCTACAAAATCTACCTTGTAAAAAATAGTATGCATACGTTTACGCAACATTAAGGGGGTCTTCCTATGTGACGGCCTGTTTTTTAGGGATATTTTAGGATTTTTTTTCTACGACCAGTAAATATTTAGAGCTTCAAGTTTTTTATCATTTATTAACACATATTTGGACAGTATAAATATAAAATTTCAGCTAAAAATATTCAGTCAAACTAGAGTTACAGCGCTCTGAACACCCCCGCCTCGAAAAAAAGAGCTCCCACTTCCTCCACGATTCCGGCTGATCGGCTTATCTGAAAAAAAAAAACGGCGTTTTAATTTGTAGGCTTAAAAGCACGGAATGACCTATAATCAAATGAATATAAAAAAAATTGGATTTTTGATAGACATTTGAAATAAAAGTTGCAAATTAGGCGTTTTTTTTTTGTTTTTTGCTATAAAAAAATCGAAATTTTGAAAATTTTCGATTGATAATAGTTCATTCCATGCGTTTACATATATTGAGTGTGCCCTGTAAATTTCAAGTAATTCGGTCCAGCCGTTTCTGAGATACAATGGAGGAAAGTTTGAAAAACACAGTTTTGAGAAAAACGCGTTTAAAGTTTCAAGTCCGTTAAAAACTATTAAAATATCAACTTACTCTCAATCGGCGATGCCTGGTCCATAGAGTATTCCTTCCTCTTCCTCGTGAAACTCTTTTAAAGCAGATTGTTCAGCTCTTGAGTCAATCCTGGCTTGTTTAACGACATCACTTACGCGCCGCTCAGAGCGTAAGATTCGCTTTTCATCCCGTTTCTCAACATACGCTTGGGCTTCACGACCAACAGGGCATCCCATAATCGACATAACTTTTAAAATACCTTGAAAACCTTCATTAAAGATAATAACTGCTAAGTAGCTAGCAATTTCAACAACTTTGGGACCAGAATGAAGATGTTTAGGAGCGAAAGTCCAAATCAAAGAATTCAAAGATTCGTTATTGTTTTGTGTCTCTGCTCCTAAACAACGAATTAATAATTCGTCTGTCGATAAATCTTCGAAAACCGGTTTGATAGCTTCTTGGACTTGCGGAATTAGAGGTGGTTTATCGTGATGAAATTGGTCCAGTTCATTATTAGCTTCAGCCTTACGCCATTTACACCAACTGTCTTCGCCTTCTGGACAAAATTGATCCTGAGGGTTTTCATCACCTTTACTATGAACATTTCCACTCGTACTTCCTTTCCGTCCACTCATTATGAAAAAAAATAATTTGTAGCTGTTGCTCTCTTCGAAGTTCAACCAAGACTAAAATAACTTCGGTAAAATATTATAACAATAGAAATTTCTGTTTAAGTCTGTAGAAACGTGTCTAAACTTGTATAAACAAATATATTAATAAAAGGGAGGCCAGGTATAAAGCCGACGGTACACAATAGGCCCGGTCTCTAACTGCCAACTCACCGCTCCGAACCGCTCTTTCTTTTACCTGCTGTATCTTTAAAACGACTTCGAATTTTCTAAAATCGCTTTACTACCGTATTCTAGACATGTTAAGGGAGCAATTTATGAAAAAAAAAAATCGATTTTTTCAACCCATCACATAGGAAGACCCCCTTAAGTGTTTTTTTTTTTGTGGATGATAATGGAATGGTGCACCCGCCTGCGCTAACGGTTTACGCTGGCGGGGCACCAGTAGAGGATGATAAGATGAGTATGAGGTCAGGTCAGTTAGCCCATCGTGACTAATTCACCACGAATTAAACACGATGGTTTCCAGGGGGAACCGCGTGGAGGTCGACCTGACAAGGTACATTGCTGGCAATGGGGTTATCAATCCACATTACAAACAATCCCCCCCCCCCCCCCCCCCCCCTTAAGTGTTACAAATCTGTTCGAACTGTAAAGTTTGATTTTAATATCTTTGATGGTGTACAAATGATATCCTGTATTCTTTTAAGGTCTGCTGTGATGAATGCGTTTTCGGGAAGTCAATTGGAGAATTACGTCAGGATGAGAGGGAGTGTGGGGAACTAGACGTGGCTTACCTAGCACCAACCACGGTGCTCAAGAACAAAGCATACATAGACTGCTGTTTAGTAAGTCTCATTTCAAATTTATGATAAAGAATTATCTATTATGATTACGACATTACCTTTATATTTAATGTCCAAAAATTTAAGTCTTGTATTTGGATATTGTTTTTTTTTTTATGAATGAGTATCATATAATGCACTCCTATGCTAATGGTACACTGTTGTGGGATACTAGTGGAAGATGATAGAATGATGATGAAATATTGTCAATTTGTCTGGTGAATTCACCGATGGTATTCGGTCATGACCGCGTGGTGGTATCTGATATTTTTCCTTATTTCCGTATCTAATTTTTAAATTTATATTAATTTGTGATTTAATATTATTAGGAAGCTGCAAGACAACCAACAACAACTGAAAAGATTATTACAACAACGAAAAAGATAGTTACAACAACGAAAAAGATTAAAGAGAAATGCAAAAGTGATTCCTGTGAGCATGTTTGTAACGATGACGAAGGCAAAATTAAGTGCCACTGTCACGAAGGGTACCGGCTACAGGACGATAAAAGATCTTGTAAAGGTAAAATGATTGACATATTACTGTACTGGTACGTTTTTTAATAATTTTTAATTGATTAATATTAACATTGATAAGTTTGTATTCAAATCAGACTTAAATATCGATAAAAAAAACTTACAAAATATATTATGTAGTAGCAATTTTGATAACATGGGCATGTTATGCGGTGAATGTCTTAAAGAAAGTATAATATGATATACATGGATGGATGAAATGGGAGAAATTGACCGAAAAAAGTATGGATAGACTGTGTAAAAGATGATATGTATAAAAGGAGAGTAAACTTAGATGTAACGGCTGATAGGGATTAGTGGAAGAGGATGATATATTGCGCCGACCTCAAATAATAGGATAAAGGCAAGCCAATGATGAGTGGGATAAAAGTCCCAATTTAAGTGTTTATTTGAATCGTGGTGTAAATAGTTTAATTAATTTAACGGTAGCATCTACAGATGTAAATGAATGTGCTGAAGCTATAGACGACTTGTGCACAGCGGAAGACACTGTGTGCCACAATACACCTGGAGCCTTCAAGTGTGTTCCAATCAAGAAACGCGCGGTTGGTCTCAGCTGCCCTGCCGGTTTCAAGAAAAATGTTCAAAGTCAAGTCTGTGACGGTGCGTGTCAGTTCTTTATCTTATTAATTATATTTTGAGTTGGCTCGTCGGAAGTGCTTATTATTAATTAAAACTAAGACGAACACTAGGTAAACGTCAGACCAGTATGATCATAACTGCCAAAAGCTTAAATATTTACCTTTATTGCCAGTGTTAAGTACATCCTTATTAATTTTGGTTGGTTAGATTTCAGTCTCTACGCAGCATGCTTTGTAGCCTGTGTTTTGATTTGAAGTTTGCGATATGGCAGTGAAATTACAAGGAACGGTGTCAACACTTTTATCATTAGTAAAGGCAGGCAACGAATGTCGACATAATGTTCGTGGTGCTGTTCATGTATAGGCGACGGATTTCGCTTTTTATAACGTAGACTTCAACTTGTAGTCATTTAGACAAAAAACAAATTATAATCATTGCTGGTCAAAGAATATTTCCCATAACTGAAAACTTAAGGCGTACTTTGTTCTTATAGCTTTAGAATAAGAAGGAATAGTGAGACATTTATTTTTGCTCCATGAATATTAAAATTTTAATTTAAATAATAACCACCAAAGTCTTTCGTTTTCGTATTTCCTTAACTTTCTAACATTGGACGGTAGAGAATTCTAATATCATGGCGGCCGCCATTTCTACAATATTTCATAAACAATTAATTAGTTAAAAAGTTCGTAGAAAATAAATTAGAAGTATATATGAGAAAAGAAATAAAACAATGATTATTCCAATAAATTGAATATACCTAGTTTTCAAAAGTCAATTTTATTATTCTGCCGTCAATTCGTAGTATTCGTCGTAGTATGCTTGGAAACATTTCCATCGACCTTTTAAACTAATGATGTGCAACTTATTACTGTTACGTAACACTTTCGTGTGATATAATACTATTGTAGAATTAAATAGGTAATTTGTTTTTTTGTTTATAGATATAAATGAATGTCAACATCCCCGACCCCCGTGTCCCAAGTATCTTTGTGAGAATACTATAGGAGGCTTTAAATGTGCTGGTAAACCGGGTATACCGTATTCAGAAGAGTCGCCTGATGCAACTACCGAGATTGCCGGTAATACTGATTCTGCTCCAAGAAATGACATTTGTCCAGTTGGATTTAGAGCAGGTCCCGACGATGAATGTCTTGGTAAGAAATTTGGTTTTTTGTTCGTAAAGTAGAAACTAAGAAAAGATCTTACCGAGCATAAATAAATATTTAATGTATACAATTATAAAAAACTACATGCCATAATAGGTGTATGTATATATATGTTTTTCAAGGAAAATTCGCAATTCTTAAAATCTGTGAGTAGGTACATTTTGAGTGAAAATAAACAGTACAAAGAAATAACAGAATACTGAGTCATACATTATGACATCTTGTCTGATCTTGGCGTCTTCGTCCTCCGGACTGGGTACGCATAAGTGGTATCACGGTCACATAACATAATAGGCAACGTTTACCACTTACCATGGAATGGGCCGTCAGCTTGATTACCAATATATTTACCTTCAACAAATATCCTTTTTAGACATCGACGAGTGCGAAGAGCGTCTGGATGATTGCCAACGTCTGTCACAGCACTGCATCAACACACACGGCAGTTTCTTCTGCCAGGACCACGTCTCCAAGCGTTGCACGCCTGGATTCAAAGTTAACAGCGTAACTGGTATATGTGAAGGTATGCTATTTTTTCTAAATAATCCATACTTTTATAAATGCAAAAGTGTGTTGCCAGTTGGTCTGTTTGTTGCCTTATTACGGCTAAACGGCTGAGGTTGTATTAAGGGTTAAAAAAAACAAATTACAAATATGTGAAGTCAGATATGTGAAGCCCATTGTGGTGTATTCACCAGCAAATACCTGTTAGTAGATGTTGGTTACCTAAGCTATGGGATCGATTTAAATCAACCATGATGACTATGCTAATTATACTTTTTATACATGGTAACATAAGATGTATGGATTGATGTACACAAGATTTCGAATTTGAATTCAATTTTCGAAATTTCTAATTATTTTATATGGTAATTATTTCCAATACTGCTTATGGTTGATTACTATAATATTGAATTTATATAAGTATTCAGTTTTAAGGCCTTTTGTTGATTCAAAATTTACTTTTGCCACTAATTTTATTGTGTTCAATATTATTAACAATCATATATATCAATATTTTTTTATTTGCAGATATAAACGAATGTGAAGATTCAATGGAAGTGTGTAAACGCACTGAAGTATGCATCAATTTACCAGGAGCATACAACTGCAAGTCCAAAATCAGCACACTGCCCAAGTAACGTAATAATTATTTGAGCTTATATCTATACTAGCGGTTACCCGTCACATCGTTTGCTTTGCATGATGAAAAATAGTTACAATATATTGTATAGTAAATACTAAAGGTTTTTAATTCATTATAATGAAATACTGTAGCCGCTTACGCTGACGTTATATGCTGGCAGGGCAGTGTAGGAAGTAGTCGTCTTAACATGGTACATTGTTATCAAAGGCCACAAATCTCTAGTACTAACAATCCCCCCGCAATGGGTTATATTTTTAATGGATTGTGATGGAATGGTGCATCCGTTAACCCATTGTGACTAATTTACCAGGAACTTAGGTCGGTTTGGACCGTGTGAAAGTCAACCAACATTGCTAATGGAATCACTAGATCCCCTTTGGTTTACATTTATAATCCTAAATGGATTGTAAATGTAGATCAAACTTACTTATTTATAATAGCTGTTAGAAATGGTATTGATGCTTTCAGATTGGCAAAAAAGACTTGTCAAGAGGGTACCAGGATAAGACCTGGAGGAACAATATGTGAAGGTGAGACGTCTACAACTGTTTCTGTAACGTATCCCCTTCTTTATTCTAGTTATGGTGTAAATATTTAATCCATGACATTTCGATGGAAGAGAAATCAAAATCTCCATTTTTTATATAGTACCTACTCGTGCTTTGCAAATCCAGAGAGAGAGTGAAATTACAAAACAAGAAACATGACATCTTAGAGGACTAATTGTAATTGTAATTTCACTGCCAAAATGTACCTTATAATCGATGGGCCGTATGATTGTTTGCCGCTATAAATTAACACAAAATGTTATAGTGTCGACCAGATTTTACCTCATGCCTCTTGGGTAGTAAACCACTTAACCATGACGCTCTTATAAAATCTCATATAAATTTATACATTTCCTATTCTAGACATAGACGAGTGTCGGGAAGGTACACATCTGTGCGACGAGTTTCAAAACTGCATCAATACATACGGCGCTCACGAGTGCCGTTGTAAGAATGGTTTCGAAATAGACCCCTCATCTGGATCATGTGTAGGTAAGTGTGATTACGATATTTTTATTAAAATAGGTAATAGACGAAAGGAATGATAAACACGCACGGTCCAAACATCAGTATTTATGAGTATGATTATTTGTATCAGTTTGTGTGTTTTTTCTATGTATATTACTTAAATATATTTAAAAAAATTGTATTTAATAATGTTTATAGATTTATAAATAGTTCAATCGATTGTGTTAGTTTCCCATTAATGTATTGTGGTAAGCTTTGCTTAGAATTTAATGTTTCATTTATTCCATTCGGTTTATAAACGAGCAAAGTTGTAAACTATTGTTTTATATCATGAAATAAAGTAGCGGTCTCATCTCGTAAATATATCCTAGATGTGGATGAATGTTCATTGAAGTTGGACAAATGCTCCCCTGGCACGCACTGCGTCAATACCCTGGGCTCGTATACCTGCTCCCGCCGCGGACCGATCACTACAAGCACATCCACCACCGTCTCACCATCCGAATACGAGTACTACTATGAGTAAGTAAATTTCTATTAAAAATGGTAATCATTTATTAATTTGTGAAAACGATTTCAATGAGTGTTTTTTATTTAGAAATCTAGTATTTCCATGGAGGTTTCTTCTAAAATTAACATTAACTAATGAAATTAAATAATAATAAATAATATTAACCAATAAGAAATGATATACTCTATGACATACATAAGACAAATGAAATCTGAAATAATTCTAATTCGTTCACGAAACAATAGACGTATGTAGGTTCTTCGTAGTACTTCAGCGCAATTTTTTTAAATGTAATTTATGCATAATTAATATAATTAGTACATTTTACAAATGAATGGGTATTTTAATGAAGGACTTAATTGAATATATTTTGTGTATTTTTTTTCAGGGAAGATAATTCAACAGACGTGTCAGGTGAACCCGAGTCAATACCACCAACTACAAGTTCGACAACACCAACACCCAGAACTAGACCTACACGACCCACACCTAAACCGACCACAACTCCTAGAACCACTACTCCTAGACGAACAACATCCAGACCTCCCACAACAACAACAAGAACAACAACCTCTACCTCTACTACACCCCCACCCCCGAGAACGTCATCTACACATTTTGGGTCCTATCCTCCTAGAACGCAAACACCTACAACATCCAGTACCCCTTTTACTAATAGACCCGAAAGACCCATATACACACGACCTACAACTACACCTGCTCCAAGAAGACCTTATAGACCCCAAGACAGACCGAGACGGCCTGACGATGCTTCAGGGAGACCTGAAGATACACCTAATATTCCTGACGAACCAACAAGGGGATCTGAAGATGAGCCAGAGCAACCACCTAGAAGACCATTAGAAGATACACCAAAACCTGAAAATCGACCCATAAGACCGGCCACTCCCCGTACAGATAATAGTCGAAGACGGCCTAGTTATTCCAGAAGGCCATCTGATCCAAGACCAGAAGATAGGCCGAGAGAAACAACTACTACTTTGAAACCAGAAGAAAATAATCCTGACATTGATGTGAATAACTTACATTGTTTGCATGGTTATGAGAGAGATTCTAATGGAAACTGTGTAGGTTAGTAATATGATTGATTCTTTGAACGTTATATACCAACGACGTATGTCAATTAATTCGTCAATATTTTATTTAATTAATAATGTTTAATTTAGATGTGGACGAGTGTCAAGATAATCGGTATGCGTGTAGTTCTCTGGAGATGTGCGTAAACAGAGAGGGTGGATATGTCTGCGAATGTATATCAGGATTCCGCCGTGATACCTCCGGGTGGTGCGCAGCTGTTATCCCTACCTCTACTACGACAGTCAGTACAACGACTGAAAGCACTACGACAGGTAATTAATTTATCATCAAGCTATTCTGTTAGGTTTTCCGATAAATCATTCCTATTCGCTTTTGTATTCAGGTCTTCTTCGTTACTTAACAATGACTGCATTATTATTTTATTTAGCTTTCATTTCTGGAGGTTTTCAACTTATTCGGTAGGAGGAGATGACCCACGGAACGGTTAACTGGACGCAGGATATATACATATAGATGGGGAGAATTATTAGAGTGGATAATAGAGATATAGATCTACTGTTTCTCATTAAACTGAAATGCTATCAAATTCACTGCTAATCAGGCTTACAAACATTGAACTAAATTGGACGCCTTGGTATTTCTATTAGTTTTTGTCTCTCTTTTTCCCAGTGGCGACGACACCTCGTTGGCGTTATACTCCAAGACCACGTCCATATTCTCCAAAGCCCGTAACGTGTGATTTTGGTTACAAGTACAACTCTGAGCAGCGAAGATGCATTGGTAATTACATAATTTTGTGCCAATTATATGTAAAACAGTGTTTTACTTGAAAGGAAAAATAAAATCCTGTCCGGTTTCCTATTACAGACATTGATGAGTGTGCCACAAATCAACATTCATGCGCCCGCAACGAGGATTGCGTCAATGTAAATGGAGGGTACAACTGTGTATGTGGGAAGAAATGTCGAGCTGAAAATGGGGAACCTAATGGTAACTATATTTTTATATTTTAGTGTCCTCGTTTGCCATTTGGTAAATTTATCAGGATTTGTGTGCGATTTCCCTACTGATCACCCGTGTAAAATACTGCGTGGATTGAAATTGCAGTGCCCTTCTTAATCTCTACTACTGTCATTTTTCGTGAGAAATTTTTGAATCAACATTAGTTTTTATCGTTAGAGTTTGAGGGCCTCACTGCTCATAGTTTTAAGTGAGTTTGTCGCTGTAGATTCTGGCTAAACAGGAGTCACAGTGGTGGGAATGTGTGGCGGGATTGTCCCGATTACTACTAGGTACTCGTGCGAGATGCGACTATTGGTGTCGAGAGTTTCCAGCCCGCCCTCGCTGTACACCCAGTGATCTAACGTGGCCTACTGGACGACGTCACGTGCCCTCCGATGCACGATGTAAGTGACAATTAAATTTTTAAATGGCCAATAAAAACAGTGTTTAAGATTGTGTCACGATCTCCGGATATCAGGAACTCCTGGGGCAGCGCCATCATTATTACATACTTTCCATACTTGATACCCACTTCTGAGTATAGGTCTACATACAATTAGGATGGCAATATTACATAGCGCTTGCCATGTTCTGAAGTTATCCCTTTTACTCATGTGTTTACCTTTCATATTCTCCTAATTGTCTCTTGCGAGACTCTTGGGATGAAAAGGAATTGTTATAACACTATCGAATTCTTATCGTAGTATTTTGTTTAGTTTATTATCCTGTATCACCGAACCGGCCGAGAAACGAGCCAACACCCTCGTCTGATGACGATGTCAACTCAATTACCGTCGGAGCTCAGTATGGTCAGCGGGGTCCTCGTCAGATGAGAGCCAGCTTTTCAAGGGTCAACTACGGAGGAATATACTCCTGTCGTTGGGGTTACAAGCTCACTTCTGATAAAATGTGTATTGGTAAGTTCTTAGTGAAATTAATTTCTTCGGAAAAATATTTATTACTATTTAAACCCCAAAATAACTTGTATATTGTAATTGATTAACAAAGATGTAGGAAATTCTCAGATAATGATTCAATAAGAGTATATTCACAAATGATGTTTAGAAAACTTTCATGAGATAGGACTGTATTTTTAGAATAGAATAGAATATACGTTATAATAGATTAGATAGATTATTTACATATATTTACTCTTTTATATAAGCAGAGATGACATATATCTGCTTTCATTTTAAAGTTTCCTATTACTAACATTTTTTGCAGACATCGACGAATGTGCTGGAAATGAATCCCAGTGTGGTCCACAGCAACATTGTGAGAATTTCTACGGCGGATACTCCTGCAAGTGTCCCAGCGGACATAAACTGTATAAAACACAGGACCAGTGTGAAGATATCGATGAATGCTATTATGGTTCTGTAAGTGTATATTGTTGAAGTTAATACCTATAAAAAAAGCGTCTGGTAGTTGATATTGTTAGTAGAAAACCTAGTCACTTTATTGCTTCTTTTTTTAAATGGAATGGTACGCTGGCTAATAGTAATACCTACTGGTTGGGCACCAGTGGAAAGTAATGTGATAAGCAGGAAATCAGGATAGTTAGTTTAATAGTTGCAAATTTGCCAGGAATTAAGCCGCAATGGTTTTCCAGAGGAGACGTAGAGCTTGACTTGACTTAGATCTTTAGACCTGAAGGTCACAATGGTACTACTTTAAAAGAATCGAATTTTGTGAGTAATACACAACGTGACACAACTTTATAAAATAGAAAACTGAGCAATTTCTTTACATGAAATCGGCATAACATTATATATATTTTAAAAACAGCCAATAAGATATCATACTAGGGATTTGGTGACACAGTAGTCAAGGGTATGCCTGCTTGAGATGGTTCAAGCAAAAAGAATGTAAATGTAATAATTTCTAATGTAATGTAATAATTTCTAGTAGTAACCGAGGGTAATTAAAACATCGCCATCGGGTTCCAAGTGAAGAAATAATTAATCATTTCTAGTAGTAACCGAGAGTAATTAAGACATCGACATCGGGTTCCAAGCGAAGCAGAACTTATAATATGTACCATCTCGGTACTAGAAAACCATTAGATTCATCTTCGGTCTGCGTAAGTTCGATCATGTTTCTGTTTTTCGTAATAAATTAAAATGGCTCCCTGTTCGATCACCGATCGTCAAGACAAATCCTCAATCTTGAGGAATCAAACCCACGATTGGACATAAGGCTGCTAACCGCTACACTACCGACGCCGGCCACTACATAAATCTTTTTATTTCAGCCTTGCTCCTACAATAGTAATTGTATCAATACGGTAGGCTCGTACCGATGCGAGTGTAACGAAGGTTTCCGGAACGCACCCTCCAATGATAAGATGTGTGCCGATATTGACGAATGCTCAGATGATCCTAATGTTTGCGAGCAAGATTGCGTCAACACGTGGGGAAGTTACCGATGTTATTGTAGACGTGGATATAGACTGGATAATAATAACAGGTACACATTTATACAAAGCTTAACTACAATTGACCTCATACTAAATTATATATGACATTTTATACAAGTTTCAGTAAATTTTTACAATTTAATATCTTTGTGGTCTGTTTTTGTACAAAATCGCCATCGTAGGTTCCTTTCGGGGTAGAATCAAAAGACGAAACCCCTGGCTCCGGCATAGACGCTCGCAATACACCATGTGGTTTTTAGTGGATAAGAATTCCTCTCACCGCCTCGCCACCCCCCAGCGGGGCGTAGGTTTTCTGAATATTTTCCAAAGGTTTCTCTGACTAATCTATTTCTGTCGCATGCCGCAAATAAAGAAAGCTTAAGTTAAAACTTGCTTTATTTTACCTTGGGATACTAATCTTAGCATAACACCTTACACCTCAAGCAACAACAATCGAATAAAATGCAAGGTTGTAGGGATATCCGTAAGCCAATATTTTTTATGAAATAGGAACGGCAAACAAACTGACGACCTACACTACGGATATCACGTTATTATGTGATACTCATGATATCTATCACTCTGCTTTTGTTGCCATTTAAGAAGATTAATATGTCATACCTCTTATCCAGCAATTATTGCATAAATCCTGCACCTGAAACACAGCTGACAAGGATCAGTTACATAGCATCAAGTTGCTTGGTTGCTAAACTAGGTCAGACTGGGGAGATGTCAGATCGACCTCCACGCGGTTCCCCCTGGAAACCATCGTGATACATTCCCGGTGAATGTGTCACGTTGGGCTAACTGATCTGACTTCATGCTCATCCTATCATGCTCCACTGGTGCCCCGCCAGCGTAAACCGATAGCGCAGGCGGGTGTACGATTCCATTATCATCCTTTAAAAAAAAAAACTAGGTCAGATTGAACTATCCACGCAGACGCCTCTTCAGTGGTTATATACATATCTATGTCGATACATCAAATTACAATTTATTTTATTTTGTTCAAGGACCTGTGTGGACGTTGATGAGTGTAAAGAGTGGTCGGCATCTAGGTTGAACGGACGACTGTGCAACGGACAATGTATAAATGAGCCGGGCAGCTACCGGTGCTCATGCCCGGCTGGGTACAAACTCGCAGAAGATCGCAGGAGTTGTATTGGTAACATTTATCATTATATTTCTCCCAATTTACATAATGTCTTTTTAAATTGTAGCCTATCTGTTATTCTGATGTATAAGCTATATTACTATAAAGTTTCATCAAAATATGTCCAGTAGTTTTTCCGTGAAAGATTAAGAAAGATCTATCCATCCATACTCACAAACTGCGTTTACAATATTACTAAGATTTAATATGGATGAAATAAATAAGACTACTACAACAATTGCAGATATTAACGAGTGCGAGACTGGTGAGGCGAGCTGTGCCAGATCCAATCGGCCTGGAGACGTCTGTCAGAACACTCGTGGCAGCTATCATTGCCACCGCATCGAGTGCCCTGATGGATACAGACTCGAATCCAAACAGTAAGTAATTATGTTGTACTAGATATTATTTTGACCATCGAGGATAGAAGGCAAGCATAACTAAATAACTATAGGTAACTACTAATGACAGCCCGGTGGTCAAGCGGTTTGCACATTCCTTTATTTCCGATGGTCGTGGGGTTAATTCCTGGCACGTCACAAACATTTGTATTCGTGAGTATGAGTGTTAACCTAAACAGGTACACCTGTTTGGGTATTTTTTATGTATATTTTATTGACAAAAAAACATTATCTATATATTTACATTAGTTGTTTAGTATCCATAACACAAGCTCTGCTTAACATACGGCTGAATTCCACTATGTGAATTCACCTAAGATATTATAGGACATTTTCGGTTACGTATCTATACAAAGCATAGGTACTAATATTGTAATAATATTATTATAAGAACGGAAGAGAATTTACAAGCTACTTTCCGAAACCAATCTTGGCTACAAATTATTAGTATTATTCGAGGGCATTTAAAATCTTTCTTTTTATAATTTATACTTTTTACTTGATTTCCAGCCGTTGTACTCGAATCCAGCGCTCGTGTCCTATAGCGGACTGGTCGTGTCTGCAGCAGCCCAGCGCTTACAGTTACAACTTTATTACGTTTGTGGCGAACATCTACATGCCTACAGGAAGGGTATGTTTTTTACGCACAATCAGTATAAATGCAACACTTTACATGCCCACACTTTCCTGAGTATATTATTTTTTCGTTTTTCTATCAGTGTTTCCCTCACCGGAAAATTAGAGAAATATAATAAATAAATATATAGTTTTTGTCTGCTGTTGAGTGTACGTTGGTTGTGGTATCGCGGTGAATTGTCATTGCGGTCCCGTGAATAGGCACTCAATTATCTTGGAATTTTTAGTGAGTAGAGGTTTTACAGTACCTATCCGCCTACCTCGGGGCGGACGGGTTTCCATGAGGCATTTTCTTTAAGTTAAAAGAAAAGTAATCCCAGACTAGACCACGACGCTCCCAGACACATCAGTGTAATCAATACATATTTGACTATTGTTTGTTTAGTTGGACTTGTTTACAATGCACGGCCCCGGATGGAGAGACTCTGTGGTGACGTTCGAGCTACGATTGATAGATGCGCAGTCATCGGGTCCCAAGGAGCCGGCCGACTTGGGATGTTTCGAGTATGTATACCTATATATAAAACTGATAATTTGTATGTTTGTCCTTTGTGTATTACATATATTTATTAGATTGTGAAAAAGTTTAGTAGTAATCTAATCACACTCTATGGAGCTAGGATCGAAAAATCAATGTAAATAAAAAAAAACTATTTTATTACTTTTTATGTAACTGGAATGTCGACACCTGATGGTAAGTGGTAATCACCGTCTATATACACGAATAGCATCACGGACATTGCAATCATGTCTGTGATACCATTCATGCATTGCTCGTAATGCCATTCCGGAGGGCGAAGATGTGATGCCTCCATATCCTGTGAATTTCAAGCAGTGAAACAGCTTACAAAACAAATTTCTCAGTTAAAATAAGTGAGACTGAATTGCTCACACAGACGAATTTTTACAAACTCTACCTAGCTCTGTTTCGTGAGCTTACAAATAACTGTAAAGTTAACATAACAAAAATAAATCATATATTTTTTTAAACTAATCAACTATATAATAAAATCTTCTTTGTTTCAACAGCATGCAGCCAACGAATAACGTGTGCTTAATTTCACTGCTGTGCCCGCTGCCGGGGCCGCAGGTGATCGAGCTGGAGTTGACCATGTCTCTATACCAACACGATCAGTTCGCTGGTAGCGCAGTCGCCAGGATCATTATCATCGTTTCAGAATATGAGTTCTAATCTTTGTTAATTTATTTATGAAGTCATCATTATTCAACTGTTCATTGCAAATTGACTTGAAATTATATATCCTATGTTTTTTAATATATTTTATAGCGGTCTGTCTGCCTTTAGTACAAAATTAATTTAATATTACATTTGACACAATTTAAATATATTATATATAGGTACATTTACCTATTTGTAACTGAAGTTAATATTCTTTTCTTTTGAAATATGATTGTGCAATTATTTATTAGTTAAAAATTTTATAAAACTGTTTCAAAGTTACATTGCTACACGGTTTAATAATGAAGGTTTAATTACTTAATGTCCGCAAAATATTTAAGGTACATTCTTTTTGCTGTCTCCATGTGTGTCAAGCGACTGACTGAACCTCTTGAACCAGACATCAATAAAAAAGGGAATATCGTCATATTCCATATAAGAAGGACTATCATAAAACAAAGCACTTTATGTACAATTTTTTAAATCGAAAATATTGAATAATTTAAGTGAGATGCCATGTACAATAATTGTTAAATTAATTATAAGTCACACGATTTGTAAATAAAACAATAAATTAATTTGGAATATATCTTTTTAATTTTATTAAGCACAAGCATTTTATGCACCATTCTGAGATGCTGTACCCGATTATATACATATATCTATAGACAATAGTGCATTTACATTAGTAACTGATTAAGATCGGCAGATCAGAACTTAATATCCATTTATAAATTATATTTAAACAACAGACACAAAACAATGTACATAATACTATGTATCACTAATACGCTCTGGTCCCTATTCTGAATCTCTTCGTGACGCACCAATACATAACATATGAAATTATAATTATACATAATGTATTTATTGTAAAACAATATATTTTACGACTTGTATAAGTGTAAAAGTTGGGTAACGTATGGAAGAACTTAGGCCCAATAAGCATAACCTTAAATTATTAGTCACGCATTATACGATTTGAATATAACGCCCACATATACTATTCTCCCTTCAGTAAACCTAAGCTAGCATCCAATACACTCCAGCAAGCATCCAGTATACTCCAGTAAGCATCCAACATACTCCAGCATGCATCCAACATACTCCAGCATGCATCCAACATACTCCAGCATGCATCCAACATACTCCAGCATGCATCCAACATACTCCAGCATGCATCCAACACACTCCAGCAATCATCCAGTACACTCCAGCACGCATCGAGTACACTCCAACAAGCATCCAGTACACTCCAACAAGCCTGCAGTACACACGGCAAGCATCCAGTACACCGAAGCAAGTATCCAGTAGTACGAGAGTAGACTGGCATATTAAAATATATAGACCACAATTCCATTTCGTACATGCATTTCATTTCAAATCGTATAATGCGTATAGTGACACGAAAAATTATAGCACAATGCTTTTAAATGATAAAAAATAATTAACAATATGTAAATTACAAAATTCATCTCAAAAGAACAAAAAAAAAATACTTTATAAATCCAATATTATAACAAATAAACAACCAATGTAATGAAGTAAATAGTAATACACATTCTTATTATATAAAAATACGAAATTCCCATAACATGATACATATATAACAATATCAAACAGTTGCAGACATATACGTAAAACATATTTCTAAACGATTTGTAAATCGCCTTTATATTTAATAAATATATAATATAATAATGATTTAATTAAATTCACAAAATTAAATCGCGATTTATAGCAAACAGCTTAACGAAAGCAAACAAATATTTATTGATTACAATTATACAATACAATTAAATATTTCTTTATAGACCGGCCTTAATACATTTAACGTTCCGTCAACAGCACAAGAAAAAATACAAGACAATATCTAAATACGACTTAAAAAAAAACAAAAGAACGACAAGATCAAAGTTTCACAATACCAGCTGCCGCATTCCTTAAGCGTATTTTCAAATAGTTATTCTTAATATAAACTGTACTTACAATTTATAAAAAAAAATCTATTTTAAGTTTATATGAAATTTTGTTAAGAATTTATCAATATTTAATATAGGTCTGGTAGCGAACTAGAATGCTCGAAGAACCACAAAAGCACTTACGTATTTCATTTACAAATATAATATTGCCACATTATTATTGTACTTCTTTATACATTATATAAAATTGTAAGTACAGCGTCTAAACTTTTAACCTCTTATTTATAAAAAATATCTACAAACCAACTTTAACTACATATATTTAATGCTCTGTCTGTCACTTTTTTAAGTTAATAGCTCGAAATACAAGGACTATACACTTTAATAGTCAAAATACGTTTATCAGTAGACGAATCTTTTCAATAAGAGGGTATATTTATATTAATGGTAGAAACGACGATCTACAACAACATTTATATTTCGAGAACAAACATTTGCACATGTAATGTGTATAAATCTTGATATGACCCGGTAAATTCGATAATTAGGGAACTTCAGTTTAATATACGTTAAGGGTAGGGTTATTTGTAGAGGAAAATCCTGTTTGAAAAGTAGAATGCAATATACTAAAGAAAATAAGTAATTAGAAAAGTAGTAATTTCACTTTAATAAAATGTAATAATATAGAAGCAAATATAAAAATAAACCGACCGAAAATATAAAAATGTTTTCGACCCGCCGGTCCATTTCTAATTTGTGACTCGTTTAAACATATTATTAATGTAATCTATAGTATGTTGCTTATGGCAAAACAACATATAATAATTGATTAGATAAAGTAACAGATACTGAAATGCATTCTAAAAATTCAACAATATAATATTGCAATATAAATTATTTATACTACATTTATACATGTAGTGTATTAACATCATATATAAAAATTGTATTATTTAATTTTATATTCATTTAATAATTATAGTATAATGTTTATTTACGTCTTCATTAACGAAAATAAGCATTACAGTATTAATCCTTATTGTTCTATTATATTTAAAAACATAATATATCTATACTTACAATATTATTGATTTTAGAATGCATTTATAGAATATTTAAATTTATGGACTACATAAAAGAACATTTTATTAGTGATCTGATTATAAATGTTAGTTCTATTATTATTTAAAAAAATATATAAACAATGATATATTCATTGTTTATATTTTTTTACGCGTATTTTTTGTAGGGACCTTTTCGGTCCCGTATACAAACTCGTACAATGATATCTACTTAAATACTTAGCAATTGTATTTGCTACTCAATTATCGCATTATAAAACAATATTAAACACTTCACTTACTTAAAAGCTATCGTTGAAGGTTATAGGTATTGCTAAGCTTATTAGCGATAGAGAATTGTCACTATCACTAATAAGCTTAGCATTATACCATTTATTATACAGATATATGTATATTTGTATGATTACATCATGTTATATTTTCAAATATTATGTCAAATGCTGTACTTTTGCCTACATTTCATTAGGATATTATAAATTCAAAGTGGCAGAGGCCTAACAAGGACCTCTTGCTTTAACCTTAAAATTATATATCAATTGAGACAATATTTTTTAACAAATTCGAACTTACTCGTACTTTCCGGTCTAAGTCGGAATTGTTAATCACTAGACCTTCGATCATATTTCAATATTAATTATTTTATATTATAAATTATCATTGCACGAGACGACGGAACCAATTAAAAAGTCTATTTGCATATTATAATTCCCCATTCAGATTCGAAAAACAATTTCCTAAATAACTAAACATTATATCAAAATTTCTCATCAACAAATATCAACACAATTATCAACATACCTAAACAACAAGAAGCTCAATAAAAGCTACTAAAATGGCATTTGATAAATCACTTATCAATTTTAAAAACTAGAAAAATATTTCTCCTTACTCACTATATAGCAACGACCAACTGATTGTCTAATGAATGACTTATTATATTATTAGAACAGCAAACAATAAATTAAGAAATAAAGACAGATTGGACGACAATCTTTGGAATAACATAAGGAAGGCTGTTGATTTCGCTTACACCTTCCCAAATTAAATAAATAAATCTCAAACAAACAACCATAATTTAATAATGTCATCAAAATTAGATCAAAAGTCGCTAAAACTAAATATTATTTAATTGAATGTATATTAAGAAGATATTCCAAAATGTTTTATATAGAAATTTGTTACAATGGGGCTCTTGATGAGACTCTAATTCTAAATTATTCATTAAATTTAATATTATTAATTTACTTATGAAATAATTATTTTTAATCTTAATAATATCATACGACGGCCTCGGTGGTTTAGACACCGCTTTACTTCCGATGGTCGCTGGTTCGATTCGTCGCACGGTGCAAACATTTGTATTAATGAGATTATTTGTATCGGTCTGGGTGTTTTCTATGTATATTATTATGTGCGTATTTACAAAAAAAAACTATGTATTTATTACTATGATATTTACTAGAGTGTGCTGTTTTAATTGTCCAGGGTTATTTTTTTATTATTGTAAATAATTGTGGTATATGTTTAGGTTCAGTTTTATTTGTAAAAATAGCGGTAAATATAATATATAATAATAATAGGATAATTTACACAGCGACATCTAGTACCACCTCCAGCTGAGCTTGTATAATGGATACTAAGTAACTAATAAAAGTATATAAATACACTGTTTAAATACATACACAATATACATAGAAAATACTGATACAAATATTCATACTGATGTTTACAAATATGTGTATAGTTTGCACATGGGCTTTTGTTATATTAATTATCAATATACAAAAGGAAGGTACAGGCAGATATGCAGGTTTCCTTACATATTCCAAGGTGCAATGTCTTTACTTCCTACACTATAAAATATTTAAATATATTTTCACATATATATTTAATTACGTACATCTGTCATTTTTAATATCAGTTCACAATTACCTATTGTAATCGGGGCATTGCCAGGATTAGTAAAACAGTTCCTAGGTAAGACTAACATTCATTTAGGTATATAAATATTTAGTATTTATGTTTCTGTTAATGCCCCAATTTCATATGAAGGTTTTAAATTACTTTAAACTTCCTATCTTCACATATAAGTTTCTTTAAGTAATTATATTTTCATATGGAGTCAACTATGTTATTAAATATCACACCGATATTATAAACAACCAAAATTAGTAGTAATAATTCAATATAGACTTCTATCGTATATCTATGATATATTGTATAAATCACATCAATATATTATACAATAATTAATATGTGTAAAAAGAAACTACTATTGTTTGACAAGTGTTTTATAAATTATGCATGTATATTAATAGATGAGATTCATATGTAGGCGATAAACAAACATACAAATAGTTCAACAATTGCACTTTAAAGTAACATAAAGTATAATTAAACACATTAGGCAATCAACCGATCTATCCCTAAACGTATATATTTAGTGTAGTTTTAGATCTGTGAGGTTATGAACATTTAGGCTTATCTTGTCATGGGGTTCACAACATATACACGTTCTATCACGTCTAAAAGTTGATAAATTTGTTCAAACAATGTCTTTTAATGCACAATATTAGTTTGATATGAGTCCAATAAAAATTCAGTCGATAGTTTACAAAATTATTTCACTATTGTTCACATTTAAACAAATTTATCAACATGTATACAACATTATGTGCTATGCACAACAAAACACATAGAATCTCTATATGTGCAAACGTAAACTAGAACTAACCGACTCGGTCATTAGGGATCATTTTTTCTTAACAGTGGAATTACTGGCGCAACTACTCGATCGAGTTTGGATGCCGTCTTTCTTCAAGAGGCTGACGCCAAAGGCGGGGCATTTTTTTCTTAACGCTTTTATTTTGTAGAGCTTATTGCCTTGCGAGTTGTTCGTTTCTTCGTAATTGTCTGGAGTTACGTCGGCGGTAATCACAGAGTTCGATATACAGTCCATTGGTTCGGGACTGTTGGATTTGTCTCTTTTCCGTCTAAACCTAAATGGTATTTCGAGAGAATCTGCAGATATGTTGGTAACATTTGTATCGCTGGAAGACAGGTCCTGAGTGGACTCAAGGCCACTCTTGGGGAGGTTATTTTTGGGTAGTTTCTTGCGTGAATTTGAATTGGATCGGACTATTAGTTTTTTACGTGGTATATTAGTTGTGTTGTTTTTGGACTGAGTGACACTTTTGAGGTTAGGTTCGGAGGGAAGCCGGTTTTTGCCGTTGAGGTGACAGTTCTCCGTGAGGGCGGACAGCGTTGAGGTGACGTTGCTGACCGTGTTGGCTACGGAAGTATCGTTGGTAGAAATTTTGCTGACGCTTACCGTTTTACGTGTGAATGTTTTGAGCGGACTCGTTCCATGAGTGTAGCCTATAGCAGGACGGGCAAGGTTGGCGCGCTGCCCGTGGAAACTGCTTTTACCTGAAAAACACAAAACTTCATTCGTACATCGACTTATTGGCATTTAAAAGCTTGTAATAATATATCGTTAATGAGGTAAAATAAAGCATCAATGTAAAATCAATATATGTTTATATTGACGATTGTACTTAAATAAAAAAATGTTGTATTATAAAATTTGAAAACCATTAAATTGTTTATCAATTTTTGGATTGTAAATTGTAACTGTCAATTAAAATTATTATTTATTTCAAGTTCAGTTTGAAGTTATTTTCGAATAACTCTTACGCAATAATACATTGCGGGCAAATTTAAAATGATTTAATTACTAAATTATCATATACAAAAATTAACAACATGGTTGATTAACTATTAAATATAAATCAGAAATTATATTTTATTTTTGAATAGTATATATTTCTATTGTTTTCTTTTTTTGTTAATAACTTTTCCTCTCAATTGTTACCTACTTGGTAATTTACTAACACGGGCTTTCTTAAGATTGTCTGGAAGAGAATGCGTTAGCGATAAGACAGCTTTTTGTGCTTTCTTCTTTCTTAAATCTTCTGTATTATTTTTCATTATTTCATTGTATCAAATTTTATTATAAATAAATAATGAAAATCAATAATATATATAGTACATACCTGTGAATGGTTTGACACTATTCAATTTGTTGGCTTGCGAGTTGGCACTTCTAGTTGGCGGAAAGGTCGACGTCTTAGCGGCGTACGACTTCAAAGTCGAGTTGATGATCCTCGGCTGTGGCTTCAGGTTTGTGTTGTTGGCATTCCTGATATTGTTAGTTGGCATCATATAGTTCAATTTGGGCGTGAACACAGTTTTCGTGGGTAACATCGGAGTCGGCGTGGTCTTGTACTTCCCAATTACTGTGGTCACATTGTTTTCTGAATCTGTTTCGTTAGCGTTCAAGATGTTTCCGTTGTCAAGCTGAAAAAAGAAAGTTTTTAATGTAGTTAGAACAACCTAATGGCCGACAGGATGGGAACTGGCAGTCATTACTCGTCGACAACACGACGAAGATCACGTCTATGTGACCATGGTCCTCTTTATGCGTTGCCAGATCTAAGGGCTTAAGATGTTGTCTTAAAATCGGAACACAGTTCATAAAGCTAGTTAGTTTGGTGGCTGGAATAGGTGAAACAGAAGTGATGTGATGCAGGGTGAAGTTGAACAAAGTCTAGTCTAGTCTTTTGTAGAATAGGCTATAATTAATAAATGGCCGCATTTAATCTTTATCAGTCGAGTTACCCAAGGTCTTCTCAACTTGAGATTAGATGGCGCTATGTGTAAAAAGTAAAAGAAAAATATGGAGTTCGACCTCTATATTAAATATATACTACACTATACCTCGGACTTTATCCTGTTGGGTGAATTCTTGGTATTATTGAGTATGGTCTGCAGCGACACGGGCTTATCGCGCGCTGGTGGCGGTTCAGGTGGCAGGTCGCTGTAGATGCCTCGCGTGAACACGGGCGGCGAGGCGATGTTATGTCGCCGACGGTATGCTTCGCCCTCCGCAAGCATGCGGGGCTGCGCGCTGGATATTATTGAGACGTGTTGATTAATGGCTTTGTACAAAGAGTAATTACGGACTCGTCATGAATTATGTTACATCATTTACAGTAATTCTTAACTATCACAGATGGTCACATTCTAATAGTTAAGAAGTTTTAATTTCATCAGCATCACACTTACATTCATCAGTATATTTCGCCCAATTTGCAAAGTACCTTTTTAAATGTGTTATACTGATGTATTACATCCATTCATCCATTATAAACTTCACATCTTTTATAAACAAGATATGATTCATCCATGATGATGATGACTATAATATAAGACGATGATTGATGATGATGATGATGATGAATGTATATTGATTTATGATTTATCCATGAACTATGAGACTTCTCCACTTCACCTCAAATAATTTATCAATTACCCTTTAGTATACTATAACACAGAGATACACAAGAATAACTAATGCTAAAATAGTACTAATATAATAATACAAAATGTGTAATTCCACAAAAAATAACTATTTTAAAGTATTCAAAGTACGACCATGCCAAGTGACGCATTCATCACAACGTCAATAATTGTTATCAATTATTCTTATGCCTCTGATTAATCTGGGATAATAATAGTGAAGTATATTATTGTTGTACAAAAATATTGTAATAGTCATTATCGATCATGTTTGTGTGGTTGAAATATAAGTTTTAGTGTAAATGACTCACTTCTCGAGAAACCACTGTTGATGTCCAATGACGGAGCCGGGTCTACAGATGCGCAACCAGGCGATCGCCTCGCGCGCAGTGAACCCGTGATGCTTCATCATGTAACATGCGATCAGTGTTCCCGTCCGGCCCAGACCCGCTGTGTGGTAAAGGTGTACAGAATCATTGAATAGATCATATGTTACTAGAAGAATCAGAACATAATGCCTCAATTTAATAGCATCATCTGCTTCTTCCTTATCCCATTCATTTGGGTCGGTATAATGTTTTTCTTTTTAATTCATCCCTGTTCGCAGTTATCTCGTTATTTACCCCTTTCTAACCATATCACCTGGGGGGAAGGGGATTGTTAACAATGTGGACTCATGACCCCATTACTAGCAATGTACTATGTCAGGTTGACCTCCACGCGGTTCCCCCTGGAAACCAACGTGATAAATTCCTGGTGAATTTGTCACGATAGGCTAACTGACCTGACCTCATGTTCATCTTACCATCCTCCACTGGTGCCCCCCCCCATTATCATCCAATAAAATAAAAAAACCATATCACTTTTCACACAGTCCATCCATCTCTCATTCGGCTTTCCTCTGCCACTCACTGTCAATAATCCACTATCATATGTAACACCTTCGTTAAAATATTATCTTCATTCCCGCGCATTATATGCCCATCCCACGAAAGCCCAACTTATTATATTATAAGAAAAACGTTCATATTTCAGAATATATGAACGAGAAATATATATATATAGTATAAAGTAATAATTATGTATTAATATAATTTAGTAATAATTAAACCATTAATTATGTATATTAACTTTGACAACGCTATGTGTATTTTATTATTGTAAATACTAATATTATACTGAGTGATGTTCGGGTAATATTCAAAATCAAAATCAGACTTATATTTATTCCTTCATATGTCAAATCTCTGAGTTCTTTCGAGTTAAAAAGATGTGACAAGTAATTTAGCTATTCTTTTCAAATGGCTAGTACATGTTTACAAAAATACAGCTTCAGTTTTAAATTTTAATTAGGGAGAATAGTGACCACTTTTCGGTACTATTATTCCGATTTTGTAGTTTGAGTATTGGATAGCTCATTTATCAAGGAAGGCTATATCACACTACGACCAGTAGAAGCGTAGCTGCAATGAAATAATGTTACAACAAACGGGAAAATAAAATAACTAGAATTAGAAGACTGAAGCATAAATTCCATACTAACCTTTACAGTGCACTGCAACAGCACCTTTAGCTGCCTCCGAGATTTTTATAAACCTATTGACGATCAAATCGGACGGCACCGACCCGTCCACGAAGAACAGTTCCCTGTGTTCAAAACCGTGCGATGTGAACTGTCGGGCGTCATACGACTTCTTGTTCAGTCGTACGATGGTGGTGACGTGATGAGTGCGGAAGTACTCGTGGTAGTGCTCCGGGCTGTGGAGGGGGTAGCCTCTGTCGAGACGCGACCGGTGGTGAGGGCCGGAGAACGCCAACATTTTACCGGGCACTATCCAGTTTAGGTCGCCGTTTTCAACTTTCTGTTGAGAAAGTATGAAAGCATTGTGTATAAATACGATTTGGTCCTGAAGGCGGTAACGTCACTATATACTACATATACTACAAATGGCTAAGTTTTTCTAGTTAGATATACCCACAAATAATAAATGCCATTATTTGACTAACCTCATAAAACAAATACTGCTCTGCATCGAAGTGTTCAAAATCAAAGAAACCAGCGTCGTGTGCCACTTTCACGCCGTGCAGTACGTCTAGTAGCGAAATGTCAAACAGTGGCGGCCCGCCGGATGCATCCCGGAACGTAAGCAGGGTCCACTCGGAGCCATCGGTGAGTTGTTTGTACACTGCTGCCCCGCTGCCATTGAGATATATTATCTGTGAAATATTATTTAATATATGTTAATTCATCATCATCATCAGCCTACTGCTGAACGTAGGAATCTTCAAAGGCACATCTCCTGAACACGGTCTGCAGCCCTTCTCTTCCAGTTATTACCGCAACTCTACGTATGTCGTGGCTCCACCAACTGCGGAGCGTCCTACACTACGTTTGCCAATTTGCGGTCGCCACTCTAGAATACGTCTACTCTAGTGAGCATCGGTTCTGCGACAAATATGACCAGCCCTAAGCCACTTCATCTTGCAACCTTTGGGGGGTTAAGGCTTTCTAGAAGCGACGACAAGAAGCCTTGACGAAGTTTTCCAAAAGCTTCCTGGACCTGTTGTAAATGTTACCATTACCTTTGGAAATATTTTTTTAATAATGTCAAAGTTATAGCACAAGTTAACGGTATACAGTGCGATATGGCGGTGAAATTACATGGTACGGTGCCCCGACCTTTGTCCTCTGGAGTACCACCGACGTCACATGACGACGTGTGGTACGTATTATTCACGCATAGGCGACGAATGTCATTTACCCCCTTATTTGCTATTACAGTCGGTCCATGGTCCCAGGTGGACCGTCAGATTGTTTACTATTCCAATTATATAAAAAAAATAAAGCGAGACTATACCGAGTAAAAATATAAGTAAAAAAGACTTTGTTTTTGTATTAACTCAACGAACATAAGATATTCATTTTTGTATCCCACAGGCGACATCCGGTATTCTTGATCCAATATCATGTTGGAATGATTTCTAATAAAAACACGGTAGCGTTGTACCTTTCTTCACTATTATTGTAAGGTATTTACTTTACATTAGACAAATCCTCTCTTCGATATTTCTATATCTCATTAATATACTTAAGAAAAGTAAATATTTTATGAAAGTTCACTATTTTCCAATAACAGTATGTATAAGGAATAATGGAATGTTTATTTTTTGACGAAGAGGTTTTTTTATAAAATTGAATGGTATACAAGCTAACCACCTGTTTGATGATAAGCGTAATCGTTTTTTATACTATATATATGAACAGCACGGATATTACTTCGTCGTGTGACACCCGGGATACCATAGAAATTCCAGAGGATTAAGAAGTCACGTCTCTTATACAGTAAGTCTTATTGAGAAGTGATTTCTTGATCAAAACTTTTGACGGATTATACTGATTCTCTTTACTCACCTGATCTGAGTACACCTGGTACTTTCGCGTCGATATTTTATCACGAATAAAAGCTAACTACTAAAGGAAGTAATTAATTTCTAATACAAAATTAGGTTTATAAATTTTATGTGTATAGTTTTGTAAGGTTATACACAAAACTATGCCAATAAATTTCTAAAGAAAGTACCTGTATCAATTTAAATACAAATTACGGCTGATTTAAATACTAACAAAATTTTACTGTTTCTCTCTGTTAGAGGTGCTCTACATTTCAACTTTTTTAAACGAGTGACTAAATATAGAGTAGAAAACAAAACTTTCTGTCACGAAAAAGGATGAAACACAGTGGGTGGCGGAGTAGAGGCACTGTAACGCGATGAGGCTGCGAGTGGGAGTTAAATTGCTACAGCGATCCAATTAACTGACTTGAAACAAGTCGAATTAAGTTTATTCGCATTTAAGTACTGCAATTCATTTGTATTGTAACGAAAACGAGCCAGTAGCAGTTAGTCAACATCTTGTACGAGATGACGACTGCATGCTATATAAACTAATTTATGTAAATTGTTTTTGAGGGACATATTTTTTTTTTCCTTTAATTTACATGAATTAAGGTAATGTATATATTACAAAAGTAGACGTAGTAGAGTATAAACTGTAATAATTAAACTAATATAAGAAAACCAATGTGAAAATTGTCTGTCTGTTTGTTACATTTTTATCACAGAATTGTTGTATTTTATCTTAATAACCCTTAAAGTGAAGATAGACTCTATAAATAATGGGATAAAGGCAAGGCAATGATGAGACTCTATCACAAAGACGGACATAAGTATTAGCCAGTTAATAAAAGATAGCTTCTAACACAAGTATAAAATATGAACGATAATTTGACCGCGACTTCATGCGCGTTACGTAAGATAGCATGACTTCTAACACAAATATAAAATATGAACGATAATTTATATTTTATTTACAAAACCAAATCACCGATTTCAATAATAATGTGATTATATGACAGACCGAGATATATATAGTGTCAATAAATTTCCGCAATCAAAACAGAATACGAAGCTAGCCATAAACTCGCAAAAACATGGCCGCAACTGAGAGTACAAAACACTTTTCCTGTGAACATCAAGGTATGTAATTTAATTTGTACATTGTTCTAAACTCTCTATATCATTACGATATGTTCGTGTGAACATCAAACACTGATACAGCTTATAAAAGCAAAAGAGAACATTAAAAAAAAAGAATTGGAATTCACCTAAAAACACGAACATTGGAAACTAAATAAAAACATATTATTTTCGCTCCCTAATGTTTTGGCACCAGGTGATTCACACACATTAAGGGAAAACTACAGCAATTCCACAATGGAAACGTTAGAGGGTTGGATTATGCTTAATTAATTTTAAAACAATTTTACATATGTAAATCCATTTATTTAAAAATATAGAGTTACATTTATATAAAAATATATATATTTTCTAATATATATTTATATCGCTATGACAGGAAGATGTCACAGCATATGCTAAGCGTTGGGCCATATTGCTAATTAATAACTTAAATGTATAATTTTATTGTTATTAGATTTTTTATCATTTCATTTTATTTATGGACTACATAATACATTTCTTTTCTTTCTTTCTTTATTAATTTTAAGAATGTTCATTTTTATATCAATATAAATATTAATATTTTTTCAAAAGTTCCCCGTCAGAACAGTCACTTTGCGCAAGTATAAGAAATTAATGATACCCAAAAATGTTTACGTACCATTTTTTCCTTTATTTTCTTAACAATAAGGTTCGATGAATCACTACCGGTTTCATTAAAGAATTGGCCATACAAATACAGTAAACGATAGTACCTAATAAGGTCAAACGGCAGCGAAATCAATTAAACGTTAAATGGTCCATGTGGTTTATGGGTGGAAAACATCAAGGGCATTCCAAGTACTAGTATATTTTGGGAAAATATTATTAATGGCGTATTGTATCATCTACTGTAATATTAACACTCTAGGGCAACAGTTCGATTTTAAATCGAAAGGTATTGTACTAATGTATAAACCCCATGACGTCAGTAAGAAAGGAAGACGGTTTATAGTGGTACTAAATGTTAAATCATTACAAATTGTGTGGTCAATTTACACTAAGCATTATTAGCTAATGATGCAATTTGTCATTCGACCTTGTATAATTACAATGAGGAATTTTTGTGCTTAATACGAAGCAAATAAAATATGTTTATTCATTATTGTAGGTGTGTTAGAAGGAGACAGGATTATAATCTTACTATTTGGCTTCGACCAGGTGTTCATTTGATTAAAACCTTGTGAGTTTTGTAAATATTAACATAATATAGAGCCTCTGGAATAATCTATCTTAAACAGAAAAGAAATATGTGAAGAAATATGTCAATTAAGTACAGTCGGCTGCGTGAGGACGTCAATCAATCAGTTTATATGAATTTGTTCATATTAATATTTGAAAATGTAACTCTAATTTTATAGTTTGCCACCTACCTTTCCCTTATTCAAAACATCTATCTCCCTGGTTGTCTGCTTTGAGCGATAACGCCGCTTTTTGTTAGCATATTAAGCACTTTTTTGGAAATATTTGTTTTTTATGCACAATAAAGAATTTATCATTATTATTGGTAAGAAAACATCGCGGCATGTGTTTATGTTCATAGCGTCATTAGGTAACCTAAATTAAATTAGATATTAAAACGGCATTGTATTTACGTGACATGATTCAATATTTGATTACAGATATAGACATCAGTACTCCTCAGGTTTAAAATGGGAACTTACAGCTGCCGAGCAATATACTAGGTAAGTTGTGTTTGGATTGAAGATTGCAGAAGGCAGTAAAATTTAAGTTCTCCGGAATGCCGCCGCCTGGCTGGTATCACGGGCGTCACATGATTAGTGATGTCCGTGGTTTTATTCATGCATATAGACAATGCTTACTACTTACCATCAGGTGGGCAGTATTAGTATAAAGTAGTCCTGGAGTCTAAATTGACTATAATAAAACCAGCTCTTTTTATTTATATAGTAGTGTAGTTATATATCATCTATATAATAAATATAGTAATAGTAGATATATGTCAAAATATGTTAGAAAGTAACTCTTTACCTATCTTGAATGACAACGAAGTAATAGCATTTGATAAATAACACTATCACTCTGACAAAGAATATAGTGACATTAAAGTACCCCTAGAAAACGTTTACCATTTCAACAGTTACTTATGTAACATATAATACAATGATAAATGCTTTGTTTCTGTGAGTGCATCAGTGTGACGGCTTCCTAACAAAACGATGTGATTAAAAGTACAGCGTAACAGAGGATTGTGAACACAAGTATTCCCCCTGTCCCACGCAATGGCAATTATTCAATTTTACCAGAGTAGAGGTACAAGTGAAATGCGCAGTAGATTCGTTTTTTTTGTGATTGTGTTTGAAAGTTTGAATCTTACGTTTTACGTAACCAACGATTTATCTAATAATCTTGAAATTTAGCAAATCGTAGTATTTGGTATGGAGGAAATATGTTACCCAAAATTATTGTTATGCGGACGAAGTCCTAGACAAAAGCTAGCAAGGATTTAATATTATATTTTACACGAAAAATAGTCTTTTTGTAATATTAAAATATTTATTAGTTACAGAAATCTTAACATGTATTATTTATACAACAAGGATTACTTATATGGGTAACTCTGTAGATTTTACCAGGGCACGGCACGTGCAAAAGAAATGTATTAGAGCTCTAAGTGATGGCAGAGTATTATGAATAATAGTATTCATTCCTGCTTTTAAATTACATTTTTTCTAATTATACATATATTTTGCAGTAACTGTGTTCCTGCAAAATACATGTATAATAGAGTATTATTAATATATCTGCCATCATGTAATGATCTAATGTTAGTAACGGTCGTGAATATTTGACAAAATGCATGCTTTCTTATAATTTGCATATCTGTTCTGGTAAGTATAGCTGATCAATATTTTTTAACGTAACGACTTATCTCCTATATCAACATTTAGCAATTAAATCATTCCATTTCATTGGTAAAATCACGACTACATTTGTTTGAGCTGTTTAGAAGTAAATTTAAAAAGGCCAAAATTTAAGAGTATTATTTACTTGTATGTTAAGTTGAAATATGTAATATTTTTGACGAAGTGCTTGATATTAGTTTTATGACGTCTAAGACATTCTTTTTAGATAGATCTATACAATAAACTCACCTGATAGCTCCCGATAAGATACGCCGCGTTGAGTCTGAGCGTTTCGTTTTCACTCGTATAGAACACGATCTTCTTCTTCGGGTTCTTGTCCAACTCCTCGTTGAGTTTCTTGCAGAACTGGTACAGATGGCAGAGATGATAGGGTCCGAAGTCGAAGTAGAAGTTTTCGTACACGATCTCATCTTCGATATGGAAGTATTTGCTGTTTCTGGTAGGTTTCGGTTTATATCCAGTTTTTAATGTGGCGAAGTACAATCTATCTGGAATAATATACAAGTATAAACACTTTAGTAAAGAGCGCCATGCCCTAGTAGTTTCCTACCCACTTAGATTAAAACGTCGTAAGTTCAAATCTGGTCATGATCATTATCCTATCTAAGAAAACGGGCGTGAAGGTATGTATTATACTTTAGTAGCCTTGGCCTTGTCCGTTAGGCTTGAGTGAAGGCCGTATGTCAGCCTAAGCTTGTTAGAGAGCAACGCAGTCGTCTCCCCGGGGATTTTTTATTAATTTTCTAGTTCGTCATTGTGCTAAGTGTTATGGTAAACGTAGTATCTATACACATGACGCTCTCGGTGGTCTATTGGTTTAGCACACCGCTTTATTTGCGACGGCAACGGGTTCAATTCCTCACACAATGCCAACTTTTATATTACATGAGTATGATTATGTGTATTGACTGGATATTTTTATATAAATATATTATGCTTGTACAAAAAATCTAAGTATTTTATTAGATGTCCATAGTGTTTGCATCTAATTACATAAACTATGTAAAAAATAATAATAACGTAAAAAAATTTACCAGTTGACTTTTTTACTATTTCTTCTCAACTGAAGTGGCTAGCCGAACTGGACGGTAGGGATAGTGATAAAAATACGACGTGCACAAAAGAGCTAAAGGCCCTATATTAATAAATAATGTTGAGTTTCGAGTTCACAATATATACAATATGTACATTTTATCTTAATTTTCGCGTGTACTGCCATACTTTACAAAGTTGTAGTACAAACGGCCTTGTCGTTACGCTCCTTTGAGATGTAAAACCAATGAATAACAACATTGTCCTATTGTGTTTGTATCGCATTTTGTGTTATTGGACCGTGGCATAAAACTTGAGTCCAACATTAAAAACAAACGTATTATACCGTTTATTGACAGATCCTTCGTAAAACGGGAGTCGTGAAAGATTAGATGTTAACGGCAAAAAAGTTGATTGAAAACTGTGACTATGACATGAAATTTTTTTTTACACATGTTAGATGACGGTAACTACTGTTTAAATGCCCCAATTTATAGACATGCTAATTTTAAATATATTACAATTAAAAAATAATATCTATAGCCAAAGTTATATCCTACCATGACCACGACAAAATGTATAGTGAAGTTCGTGATCGATATTAAACTATCCCAAAATAATTGTTAGCACTTCTAATTTATTTTAAGTTTTTAAAAAGACATACTCTTAAAATATATAAACAAAAGGACAAAATGTAGGTCGTAATTTTTTAAAAGACTACTCAAAATATTGATATAAGAATTATTAATATATCTATGAGAATCCATATTATTATTACTATTACGAAAATGGGTCAGTCCGTCCGTAAAATTTTCACTATAATCTTTTCTTATTAAATGGCTGTAGTGAAAATATACCAAAAAAAGGGATTATTTTTCAGCCCATTGAACCGATTTTAATTAAATTTAACGTTAAGAGAAATTGTGTGGTAATAAGCTATATTTAACCTCAAAAAAAAAGGCATACAAAGTCCCGAGTAACAGTTAGTTTTATGTAAAAAAAACGAAAATAAAACATCCGTGTCAACACCAATTACAGACCCAGCCGAGCGTAAAACCTATAATAATGTTTAGGAAATAACTGCTTAGAAGACCCACAAAGAAAATTCAACAGAATATATTAAATTATACGGTAATTTTTGGAAATTATATATCACTAGGTGCATATTGTATACATTTTAATGGAGACATTATGCCTCAAATAGCGTATTTATTAACAGAATAAGTTTAAAATACGTATGTGAGTTGCGTGGAACAACAAAATTCATGAATAGTAAGCAGGTGGTGGTTCTTGTAGGGTTGCAACCCCTGTCGTGACGTCCACGGCAGTGTCCGTGATATCTTATGTCAGAGTTCCTCAACCTTTCTTTGTGTTGTATGTAGTAAGTGCGTAGACTGACTGCTTATCTAACACAACATCACCCGCGACTTCCTCTGCCTTTATAGAGATAAAAGACAGCCTACGTGCGTCTTGGTGATACAGTTCAGTCGTTTAGTGGTAAAAAAATGTGGCAAACAGACAGCAGATTTACTATCACATATGTAATATTAGTAGGGATTAGAAAACATGAGTATAATAATAATAACCCCAGACAATTCAATGTCATCCAGTCCCGAGCAAAGCACAACTTGTGCTAACAACTAATAGAAATAATCACATATATTTTTCGTAAATACATACATAATATGTATATTATAGAAAACACCCAGACCTATACAAGCAATCATTCTTATGAATACAAATATTTTATCGTGCAAAGAATCTAACTTCGAACTAGCGATTATCGGAAGTTATCGGTAAACGGTGCGCTAAACCGCTAGAACACCTACGTACAAAGTCAGAAACCAGGAAGAGTATTCAACACATATTCTATTTTTTTTTTGCATATACGAGCTTGCAGGCAACTGATAGTAACGACAAAGCACCGAGGACATCAAATGATACTCAAAGTAATTTATATAAGTATTGCTCTGACATAACCCCTGAATTTGGTGTCGTGTATAGGCCCCGTTTAAAAGAAAAGTAAATTTATACAATCATCCATTTAATTACTCCAGTTCTTATGGCAACCCTGGGGTGTCCTGCTATTGCATGCTCCGCAGTAATTTAGTCAATGCATTGTGCTAGCCAGTACGAACGTACGTTATTTTCTATTAACCAACCTTCTTTATGTCACTCAACATGATCGGTTTGCGTTAGCATGCGATTGTAATGACCTTGAGAATTTGAAATATATTCCAATGTATAGTATAAATTATAACTACAATATAAATAGTTTATTTTCAATCACGTTTCGTTTTTTGAGACACAAATAATGTGAATGGTCTGTTCTTGTACAATTTCAGAATGAAAATGTTAAAAGATCGTTGATTCTTGTATAAGAAATTGTTACATTAAAAAATGTATGTGGTTTAAAGAATCGCGTTTCTATCTAATAGTTATTGTACTATCCTTTAAACCTACGGAAGTATATGTTTTCTCTCTCTGTAAAAATATTAAAAAGCTATTTAAACCTTAGGGAGTAATATCCCTAAGGCGTAAATAGCTTTTTATTATTTTTCTACTTAAAAAAACAAATCCTGGGATTCGGGGAATATCCACGTTATTCTATCATATGGCAAGTACATAAAATAACTCTACCTACTCCGATCACTGGTTATAATAGAAGATACAGAAAATATATTTACAACATATGTATCTACGTTCGACCTAGGTAAAGTCAAATTTTATAGAGGGTAGTCGCCTTCGTGATTTCTCAGACGTTCGATAGTCTGAAAATGAATATATTGCAGGGGTATCACTTAGGTTAACTGTTTTTATTATATACTAGTAGCGTCTTGCGGCGTTGGTCGCGTGATTGTTAGCTCATATTACTCGCGATCGATAATTCTCGGTAAAAAAAATCTTTACTGCTGGCGCATATTGAGTGATGTGGTAAGTTTGACGTGTCTGTGACATAGTAGATCCTATTACGAATGTGCCGATTATAATGCGGTCATTTCAATTTATGTTTCGTAGTCACAATTTATTAAAGATCTTTTGTTGTTTCAGGAGTTAATTGACTTTTTTAATCTTATATATTAATTATTTACTAAGTTAAAATGCTGATATAATACATTAAAACATCTATTCATTTTTCATACATTAATGTCATAAAAGTAAATATATATACATACACAAAATTAGTTCTCATTATAAAAGCTGCTTTATCAACGGCTTCTTTAAGTCCTTTCTAGATCCAACTAGACTAGATGGAGATCTAGTCTAGTTGATGTAACTCACGATTACATCAACTTCTTCAGTGTTATCTTAAGTATGCTTAGTGTTGGCTTAGTTATAAAACCGTGAACTTTAAATGCCACACCGTTCTACGGAAACCAGCTACTCGTGCTTCAGTCTGTAATAGATTTGCATATACTGAAATGGCTGTAATTGGGTCTAAGTTTCGTGCTATATTGCAGGCTGCAGTGTGTTTTATTATAATGGCCCAAGTTATAAAAAAATGCGAGAAATATTTTCTTTAACGTAAATAAAATGGCAAACAATATGATCTCAAACCACATCTCATATAAATGAAGCTACTTAGCAGCTGAAATAGGTAAGAAACGGGTAAAACGTAAACGACTTTATACAAAGTCTACTTCGGTAAAACTTTTATAAGACATCAGTACGAAGGTTGATTAACTTGACCTCATGCGCACCATCAGCGCAGGCGGGTGTATCATATCACTATCATTAATTACACGAAATTATATCTGTAGGTATATAAATACAAACTCGATGTTTTTATTATAACACGAATCATTTACGCTATTACATTGTGAATATACAATTTCCTTTTGTTTCGTAATGATGTAATAATCCAAGGCCATTACTATATCCATAAGTCGTATAACGAAGCAATGACCTAGGCACATTGTAAATGGGAAATGAAACGTTTCTTTATTCCGTATCAGTATGTCAAGCTGTACGCGCCTACGTTAATTTATTTATACTGTGAACGCGATCGCCCGTCCTTGGACCACACCCTAAGTTTGCATACAATTACGTAACTAGAAGGTCACGCTGACACTCGTAGCGCACCTTGATTGCATGTATACGGTCGAATAGGAAATTACTACTATTTTCAGCTTTCTGAAGTAATCAAACTGTGCATAGTCGTTTAATCAAGTTATTTATTTATTTATTTTATTAAAAAGAATATTTATTTATGGATGGCAACGTAAATTATTTAAATAAATAATTAATTTCCTATTCTACAAAAGAACTGTCACACAAACATCTTGCTTTGTTAACGTGATGTCCATAGTGCTGTTCATGAATATAGGCGACGGTTACCGCTTACCATCAGGTGAGATGCCGACTTAAACGTAATTTATTTACTTATTTATTTTCAATACCTAAAACTATAACCTAATAAATACTGTAACATTATAGATACAATGCATAAGTAAAT